TATGACTGCCTAATGTATTTATTATGAGGTCATTTACAGAATAATGAAAGAAAAAACAAAACAAAGAAATGAAAATTGTGCCTGTGTCTCTCTTTAAATATTGATAACATTAACAATTTAAATAGAGCTTAAGTCTATTCTGCGTTTGAGACCTGATGATTTTCGATACATAATACTTAAGATATGATGTATTAAATTCTATCAAATGCCTTTTATGTCGACAAGAGTATGACGTTGATACGTTTGCTCCAGTAAAATTTCTTAAATATAGACATCAAATTAATCACACTACGAAACAGTCAAGGGAATATAAAAAAAACTGTTTCACAAGGAGTTTCAAGCGCGTTGGATATCCGGGCGATCAGATATTGCTGTATTTTCTACAGATTTTGGCATTTGGTAAGCAAATAGTAATTCATGATTAATAATTTCGAACTTTGTGAACTATCTTTAACATTTGTCAATACAACAGAACTGGGTGGTTTTATTCTTTCTGTCGAATTATTATTCTTTCAGTCAGACCGCAATCATTTTAAGACCGGAGCTGAAATTTGGTGCAAGTACGGTGCCAGTAGCAAAATACATCGCTTCAGAAATTTACTTAAACACAATTAACCTTTCATTATATAGCCACAACTTCTAAGTCAAAAGTTATCCAATTGACTGAGCTTCTACTAAACATTTCAAAAACAAACAAAAATAGCTGTCACGAAATGATATTAATGAATGACGGATGCAATAATCAGTTTTGAAAAAATAGGCCACGCTCTCAGTAGGATAGATTCCCGTGTCCGTGTAATTCATATTCGTCAGCGTTAATTGTAAGAGACAAACAGAAAAAAAATCAAACCATTCAGCCCTTACATATCCTATCAAAATCTAATTTGATTGTTAACCTTAACAAGTTGATCATCAAACGTTAAGATGTATTAAAATTATAGCGATTCTTAAATAGCATATTAGATATATAAACAGACATTACAGGAAGGCGACGTAAATCTTAGAGTAACTCTGCTTTTGAAATATATATCCCATGAATGTAGCGTTACTCTAAAGGCAGGTAGACACAATCAGATTAACCTTATCTCTACTGAGGCATGCACATATCAGGGAAGGTTCACAGCATGTCCAGGTGAATAAGTCCTAAGTATCATGGATAATTGGTCAAATTGGGACTTATACAAGATGATGACCCTAAAAAGAGCTGTTTTGAAAGGAACTTATAACATTTTGTTTTATGCCTTTGATGAAGTTGTCTTTTCCTCCCACGACGTGCGGATATATCAGCTCGTAACAAATGATTCCCGATGAGGAGACTGATATTGCGGCCCAGCAAATTCTCTGAAGGTCTTGGACATGTGGTTTATTAGGGAACCGAGTAATGACAAGTTAAACACACACGCTCTTGAGTTGTTGCTGCTGTTATCATCAGACAGAAAGGTCAGATAAACAGAAATTTTCAATGACTAGATAACTAGCAAAAACGGATTGGGAAACTTTATAAAAAAATTATAGCAGAAGATTTTGCATTTCATTTGTTCACGTTATCTGAATTCTAATGCTACATTGACATTAATTTAGTAATTAATTATTCAAAAATAAAAGGTAGCGTATTGTCAGGCAAATACAAATATTGTTACGTCTCTGCGCGTTTTGTGACCGGTAGGGCCCCCCTTTCGACATAGGTCTTTGTGAGCTGTCAATATCCGTTTTACTAAGACTTTGCAATCTGTTTGTTATCTGTCTGTGTAAACTGTTTAGTTATCTCTTTCTAACATAGGCTGCTCAGTAGTTGAGCTGCTGACCGTGACTGTTACAGGGCCGACTTTAGTGCTTGGTTGGGTGGTCGCTTCTCAATGTTTGGACTTCCAACTATTTAATTATTATTTGAAAAAAATCTAAACTGAATATAAGGGAAACAATATTTCTACAGTCGGTAAATTTAAGGTAAGATAATTATTATTTCCTAACCAATTTATCAATGTAGGAATAGAATTAGTAATTAATCACGGTGGACAGTCGCGGTGAAACCACAACAAAATGACGCGAATGTCAATTCCCATGGTAAAATAATGCAAAAATATTTAGTGCGAGTAGATGCAATAAAGAGGAGATTTATATTTTTTATAGTTAGAAGAAATTCACAAAGTGTTTACGTCAAAACTTTAATAACACGAATCTTTTAAAATTCATTTAAATATTTTAAAAGATCATGTATAAGTGAGTCCCATCAAAATACAAAATACGATGTGCATGAGAGGAATTCGAAGTTGAAAAACCCCGAATGAAAGCAGACTGGCCTTTTATATGCAACAGTCCCCATTATCCACATCTTTGTGAAAAGAACGCCGCACAGATATTTTGTGGGGTCAACAGGGCTTTGTTGAAGAAACGTTTCACAGTTTATTCGTGGGGAAACTCATTCCACAGTTGTATGTTTTTGGGAACATGATTTTTGTGGGATGAAGGAAATCAATAAAGTGCAGACATATAACACAATACAACACACCTCAAATTTACGTTTCCTGCTAGGAATATTTTGATACATAGTAAATATTGAAGTTAAGCAGTTTATCAGAAAGTACAATATCCTTTGTTGATATGTGTGTGTTCGTCGTGTTTGTAGAAAAAATAGTAACACAAATAGCCGCTTTCAAAACAGGCGTTTATATAAAAAACATTATAAGATGGGAGATGAGATTAAATGCTCAGTCAAGTGGTTTCGATCTATGGTAAGACATTTCTAAGATAGATTTCTTTATCAGATATAGTTGGCATCGATATATCTTAGCACTGACTTGTCAGAAAAGGACAAACAATAATTAATCTTTACAAATTACGCAAAAAATGAATACAATTGTGTTACAATATTTGTTAGCTAACGACCTAGACTAAACACAACCACTATGTTTGACATGATATCTATAGGAGATGTAAAGCAAATAGTTTTTCAGACAAAAACCAAAGGCAAACAAAACATAAAACAAAAAAGAAAATACCAAATCACACTGGAAACAAAGTTTTAAATGGAGAGATAAATCTCACAAAAGAGGTTTCTAATATCACTCTGTGACTTACACCCGAAGATTATATTGTAATTCGACGTTGGAATGAAAAATGTAGGGAGGTAACATATTCGAAAGAAATTGTGACATGAAAACAAAGGAGAATGTTGTTGCATTTCTATCCTGACAATATTGTTTCTAGCCATCTTTGGGTTCTTAAAAGTAAAGCAAAATAGAGCAATGTTTCTTTGGCCAGGTTATTAAATTGTGTAAAGCTATATGTGTATAATTATCTCAGAATATATATATTGTTACAGAAATGGAATCTGATATAAAAATCTTTTTTCGCAAAGTTTTGGTTAGTACAAAGAGATTATACTACAGTCTACTCCACTTATAACGAACTCGCTTATAACGAGTTTTCGTTAATAGCGAACTAAATCTGAAATCCCCGGCCCATTCCTTTTTGTGTTATATTAAATCACATCGCTTAATACGTACACACCTAAAAAATTTCGATTACAGCGAACCATATTTTTCAAGCCCAAGACGGCGTAAAACATAAATTTCCTTGGTTTAAACAAAATGTTATAATTGAAATATCGGGATTCACTGGATCCGTACATAAATACCGCTATCCGATAATCATTCAAGTTATGGCTTCAGGGAATAAAGATTTTGATAAAATGTTCTCATAACATAATTTCCTACTTGTTTTTCGCACCCTCAGTTGAAAATTGCTGTAAATACCCAATGATTTCCAAATAACCGATTCTCTTTATGAATATTGACCAAACAATAAGAAACAAATAGCAAAAGAACATAAATGATTATCACATTATAGACAAGTCCTACATGTCTAAATACATGTAAATAATATTTTCAATTAAATGGCCTGCATAAAATTACCGCTGATTACACCGTTAACAGATATGGCTTTTTCACGGCAAATTTGCCCAACTTAACAAGTTAACATGTTGTTGCTACTTCGCTTTAAGCGAGCTTCGGATATAACGAAGATATACCGAAATGTGCCATTGACTTTGTTATAAGCCGAGGCGACTGTTTACACATTTTATACGATCGAAGTGCACGGATGTGAATGCCAGCGTGGCTCTACACAAGTGAAAAATTCTTTTCACTTTCGGTGAAAAAGTTAAAAGCAAATTGTAAATTGAAATTTCCTTTTAATGATGGTGAATATATATAAATGGCAGTATCCAGAGATAGATAGATAGATAGATGAAAGACAAATATATATAAATGAAAGACAAATAAAGTTTCATATAAATCTTTTCTTTTATCAGTACAATTAACAGACAAGCGTCCGGGCTTTACAAAGACTAACTTAACAATTTCAAATTGTGCAACTACTCTCTGCAATGAGATCTGAAAAAAACTAGGAAATAAGATCTGATAAAAACTAGAACATAAAACGCGAATACTTAACAACTAATGACAACAAAGAATTAATATGATAGCGAATAGTTTCATTATAAACCAACACTTTATTCAAAATTTTGAGTATATTTAATTAAAAAGCAGGATGGTAAAAGAAAGATATTTTCATCTGTCGTCGTTCAAAAAAAGCACATTGTCTCATTATTGATGCCTATTTTAATGAAGAAAATGTTTGTTGTTAAAATTCCATGATTAAGCTTGAAATAGCAATTATTTCCTTAAATTTGTGAGTAGACTGTAAATATAAATTTAGGAAGATCATATAAATCTTTTGATACGTTGGCATATTAATAAAATGCAAAACAAAGATCTTTGTATTAATTTACAATACGTGCTGAACTAAATTTAGAAATAAAACATTACACGGCTTATAAACGGAATTTAGGAAATTCTAACATAGACAAATCTTAGATGCATTTGAATATTAAATAGAGAGGCTTTGTTTATATAAAAGGTCGACAAAACAAGATGCAAAAGAGAAAGACAATCACGAACTTTTCATTTTTCTTTATTTTTTTTGAATATGGATGAAACTTTAACGTTACTTCCGGAAAAGTGAGATAATTTGGATCATTACCTTTTTAATAAATATCTAAAAATACCATTATATGTAACAGTAAAATTCCAAACATGCAAGAAAATGTCAAAGTTATGATGAATATTCATAAACAATTGCACAAAAAAAAATGCTACTGAAGATGAAGTTTAACTAAGCAATTAAATGTTATGAATGCATTTAAAGTTATAATATAAAACATTCCATGGAATGAATGATTTGTTACGGCTAATCTAAATACAGTTCAGATAAACACAATATTATAGATATCATTAAACTTTACACTCAAAATCACTTCTTAACTAGTTAAATGTATGGATAATGTTTTGTATCTTTCGTAACATATTTTAAGCACGTGTGACAGAAATGTTTTGTAGATTTTTCACAGTTAATTAGTTGTCTTTAACTACACAATACATGTACCGACTAATGCAGACTATCATCACCCAGTCCACTATTGTATACCATCCAAGGAAGGATGTATTTAACATGTCTCTCAATATAAAATACGTACCTAAAATAGATAAATCTAATTATAATGTATGTGATTATTTTGAATCGGCTTATTGTTATTATGCAATTTATAAGCTAAGCATTATTAAAATAACACATTTTTGTTCTTAACAAATATTATGATTGATAAGCAGTTAAACTGCTGCACGTGTCGTCATTTAAATTAGTAAAAACTATAATAACTTTCAAGCTTTATTTTGAAATTATATACTGCTTATAGAGGACATAGCTAAAAAAATCACAAAAACCAGAACATTGCCAGTTTCCTTCACAAAAATGCAAGTGGCGAAATTATTGAACATGTGTATTCAAAATTATCAAAACGAGCACAGTATAGAACAACGACATACCAAAACCCGTCAATATTGCTGAAGCCATTATCAGAACCGAGGGCAAATATTTAAGATCAAGGCAATTCACATATTGCCAAAGCCAAAGTGTTATTGCAATCATGATATCAGTTGCTCCTTTAGCTATTTCAAAAATGGCAACATCGCCGCTCACTTTGTCTGTGCCAACCATAAACAAACCTGTGGTAAACACACAAGAATAAATAATAAATTATAAAAACACACATAAAAAATAACACCATCCACCGATGTCCTGTCACACGGTTACTGTTATGTACCGTAATAAATCAAAGTTTGTGAAGGCAGATATCATTGAAGCAGCATACACGTTTGCTTGCATAACAAAATTACTGTGCATGCGAATAACGTAATTCTTTATTAGTTCTAATGGATGTGGCACAATTTGCTAATTTGCTCCGCTATCATTTTAAGCATTGACAATAAAAAAAAATCCGAATATTTTTTTCTTTACAGCTAAACCTTGTTTTTTAAAAATAAATCTGAATATATACTTTCTAACTTTAAATCATAAAGATCATTTGATTATTCATCCATTTTTTATTGATAGATTATTCATCAAATAATTTCATATACGTTACCAAAAACAAATCTTGCTGTGGCAATAACTGTTAAATGCAACATATAAACTGAAAACATAAAAGTGTTACATAATAGTAAACAGTATGCATTTTAAAGAGGAAAAAACCAACATGTACAGCTAAAAAATACATATTACATAAATATCTTGCGACAGACAGTTTATCTAATGCTTCCTTTTTATTCTGAGCTTAATGATTCATAGCTTCTACATTAAAAAAGATCAAGACATTTTGAATGTTTGACTCAGACATAAACCTTCTGCTCATATACATATATTGACGGCAGTAAATCACAAACCACGTTTTGTATTACGTGATACATTATCCATTTATCGGCTTGGCGTAGTGGTGGCCCATGGGACCAGTAACTAAGGGGGGGGGGTTGAAACCCCGTCCGGTGGGGGCGTCGTTGTTTCCGTGACCAAGAAACTTTACACTCATTGGTTAGTACTGCCTGGCTTCAGTAACGGGTTCGAGTGTGTTTCAATAAACTCATAGCTTCTAACATTTAGTTGGGTTTTACATTGCAACAAGACAAATACAATCAAAAATAAATAACAATAAACTTAATTTTCCGTTTAATAGCTGTCATCCAATACACTAATCTACAATTTGAAAATAATTAAGCTTTACTCTGCTTCTTGTGTTATGAACAACAAAAATGGAGTTTTACTTATAACTATCGAATCCCGACACGGTCTTTGGATTCTTTCATGTGAGGAAGCTATCCAGCTAGCTTACGGAACGTCGGTGGTTCTACTCAGGTGCCCGTTCGTGCCTAAATTAATGCACGGAAGGGCACCTGAGGTCTTCCTCCACCAGTAAAGCTGGAACGTCGCAATATGACCTATACTGTGTCGATGTGACGTAAATCCCAATCAAACAAACAAACTTATAACTATCCGTTGATGATATTTTGGGCATTTAAAACAACCGTAAAACTAAATTAAATAATATTCATGCTTCAACATCAGTATATTATGTTTGCCTATTAGGTTCGTTCATGATACTGATTGTGTAGTTAAAATTTTATTGATTACGTAGTTGCTTTTATATTATTAACAATTCTATCAATATCTATCGTTAATTATGTTAGTAAATTGTTTACCTGTCAATTCCATGAATTTCCCTACTTGGCTGACAACAGACCCACATTATGAAAAAATGAAATATAGTATCTAATAAATGCGTTAAAGCTTGACAATGTCTAATTCTCAATCAAAACTGATTACAGCTTACCATTAATTTAGCTTTACGACAATGAGCTTGTACACTTTGAGCTATTATTGTTAATGCCGGCAAAGGTAGTTGGTACTTTTGAAGGAGCTAATTTACTTTTGTAATTGTACATTTCCCTTATTCCGAAAGAAGAAATTCTTTGCTATGTTAAATAGTTAAATGCCTACTAAAGCAAAATTATTACAACGTAATCATTATGTCATTGTTTTTATCATGATTATTATCATTATTATTTCAATAATTAAACCGGGATATTGATCATCAATCGAAAATGACTCTTAATCATGTTACGGACCGTCACAAAAGTTAGGCTACTGTTCGATATCAATAACGAAATAATTATTTTGCCTGCAGAATAAACATTAAATAGGGATGTTATTGACAATAAAATGACACTTATTGTGGTATTGATGGTCGTACTCGTAGTCATAAAAGAAGTAGAATTCGTTTTTCTTTTCGAATACGTGGTGATCGTCGTGGTCGTATATGTAGACGTTATTGTTCGTCATCGTCAAGATCGTGGTCGTCGGCGTAGTCGTGGGCTCTGTGTTTATCGTTGCCTTATCATTCTTGCAGTCATATAAATCATAGTGTTGCTGGACCTTATCGTAGAAAGATTTTTGTTCCTAGAGGTTATCATTATCCATGAGAGTGCAATTTGTCGTTAGTAAGTTATATACTGTGTTACGGTTAATGTTAACATTTAACGCGTAATATATATAACCTTAATGTCAGTAAAAGTGTATCTCTGTGTTATGATCGACGATAACAGTTTACGCGTATTGTAACCTTTATGATCAGTTAGCAGAAACTGGCGCATCATTACAGGTGATTGATGCCTATGGACTGATTAATTTTCAATGACTTAAACATTACCTGATTCGTTATTAGAATATGTTTGCGGTCTCTGATTGATTCTTGAGTCATTAAGGCTCCTGAAATAGATTGTGTTTCTTTTAAAAATCTTATCAGTATTCTCCCTCACATTTATATACGAGTACACCATTCATTTGCACACAAATTCATTGGTTTCTTTTATTAAGAACTCGATTTCCTGATTTTATTTGTACTAACGAAATAGTACCTTATGATAAATTTTATCATAGTTGAATGTTTGTGATTTATGTGTGTCCATGTACTTATAACAGATAAAAGGATGATAGATGTTTAAGAACCAATACAAAATTTAAACAGGAGATTGATGATTATACTATTTGTGTAGACAATCTTACTAAAAATAATGTCTAGAAATTTCCGTTATACTTCTTATACTACTTATGCACAGGTTAATGTTTATATTCTGGATAAATGTGAAAAACCTGATATCATATACATATACATATTCTTAGAGCAAGAGTTATATGAATACTATGAAATGAAAAGATTGTATTTTATAAATGATCAGTCTTATTGTAATTATTTGTTTGACTGAAATCCTTGCAATAAACAACAGTACCTAATCACCCGGTCAGCCAACCGTCTACCTCTTGCGTTTTGAAATCTTTCTGAAATAGTCATTGAATTCACTTTACTTGTGAAAGATGTTTCCGTATTAAGATTGCTTTGTTGTTCTTATTGTCGACGTTTCACTGGAGTTAATTTATCAACGTTGTTCTCTATTCGACAAAAGGACATTTCAAAAGTAGACATGTATTAACGCAAAATGACGTTTTATGTCATTGTTTTGATTTAATGTATTAGGGCGTCTTGACAACATCTGATTATAAGAATGTCGTCATATATTTTGTCCATAAAAATGTTGACAAACAATCTCGGGGCGTTATTAATATTCAGAAACGAAATCCCGCCAATTAAGAGAGAAATATGACGGATTTGTTATCGAATTTATTCTTGTCAACAGGACGAACAAAAATGAATGCTTTGCATGATTTGAAAAATTATTTAGGCTTTATTTAGTCTATCTGATGGTCACACCGATTATAAGGTCAAGTTAGTAACCGCTATAAAATGCATATATGATTTTGGTTATTTGCTGAGCATTTCATACTTTACCAGTAATTACCTTACTATGGTGGCTAATTTAGAATGCTTTTGTGCGTCATGTTTGCGCTAGCGACACGACAAAGCGGCAAACGGCGCGTTGTCGGACTTCTCGCTAACGACGTTGTCGTCTTCTCGCTAACGATGCACGCCAAACGGCGCGTTGTCGTGAGGCGTGTTGTCGCGATGTCACATTGTCGCTCGGTTCAAATCGAAGGATTGGCTTATAAGCCAAGCGACAGGGCGACATCACGACAACGCGCCTCACGACAACGCACGGTTTGGCGTGCTTCGCTAGAGCTCGGCTCTTAGGCCGTGTTGTCCCTAGCGACAAGACGAAATGGCGATAACGAAATAGGTTGTGTTGTCTTTCCACCGATGTCCATTATGTTAAGACTCGGTTATATTTTCCAAGAAGCAAAGTTTAAGTTTCCACACAGTCTTGATAGTAGGTCGTAGAGATTGTTGTAGCGTGGACGAAAGACTCTTAGTTACCTTACAAGTATGATGTATATGCTGTATGATTTACCATAATTGCATAATACATAGGCTGTGAGTGTTAGCTGAAATATCATTTCAAAGGTACTCAAACGTCCTTCTATTGTTAAAAGTAAATACGTATATAATATAAGTGATTGTTAAGCAAGCATTGACTGAAAGAAATATCTTGTATAACTGCAAGTTGGATAAATACATATGTACATAATGTACTGCAGATACTGGCAAATACCCAATATTATTTTGTAAAATTGTACAATTGACAAAGCGTCTATCGAATAGTTCAGCTGACATATTATTGATGGGAAGGATTTATTTTCCGAATATTAATAAGGTCTTTCCGCCCGTGTCCATTTTTGTTAAGACGCAGTAATATTTCAAGCTTCCATACAGTCTTGGTCGTAGGCCGTGAATATAGTCGTAGCCTGGACGAAACACAGGCATGCTCTGGTTACGGTCAACGATAACAGTTATCGCTTATTGTAACAGATATGCGCAGATATCTGTAAACAGTGTACTATAAATGGGCAATTTATGCCAAAAAAATATTAATTTTCAATTACTTATAAATTACCTGATCCGTTATTAGAATATGTATGCGGTCTCTGATTGATTCTTGAGTCATTATGGCTCCTGAAATAGATTGTGTACTTATTATATTTTTTATCATTATTCTCCCTTACGTTTAATATTCGAGTAGATCATTCATTTGTTTGCAAATTGCATATGATTTCTTTAAAACAATGTTTTTCCTGATTTCTTTTATATTAACGCAACATTGTTTACGTTTGTAATATATGTGTATACATGTACGTATAATTCCAAACAGTGCAGATACGTGAAAGATGTTTTCAAATTATTACAAAATCAAAATAAAAGGTGCGTGATTATACTGTTTGTGTGTTCATCCTTACTGAAATATATTGTAATATCCGTTACACTTCTTATGCTTATTATGCACAACAAAAAATGGCATTATCTATACACATTCCAAAAGCAAGATTAATTTGAATGCAATGAAATGAAACGATTGTATAATTTATCAGTCTACCTTGTAATTAAAATTTCCGACTGAAACCTTTGCAAAAAAACAACAGTACCTGATCACCCAGTCAGCCAACCGTCTATCTGCGTTTTGAACTCTTTCTGAAATAGTTGTTAAATTCCTTTGACTTGAGAAAGATGTTTCTTCATAGTGATTATTTTGTTCTCCGTATTGTCGACTTTTCACTGGAGCAAATGTATCAACGTAGTACTCTTTTCGACACAAGGGACATTTGAAAGTGTTTCCCTCTGAACTGAATTATTGTTAAACAATATCATTATTGCATAGTTGAAATTATATTCAAGCATAAACATATGAAATATCATTTTTCTGAACATTTAACTGTGGCTTATTTCTGCAATTTTGTGTCTTCGCTCTTCAAAAGTCGAAGGCGCCGACACTACACGATATTTTAATAGCGAATACACGTGATCTTTTCCTGCAGAATTATCGTGTCGGCGGGTCGGTGCCCTATATGTGTCGTGTCGTCGTGTCTTTGCCTTGAAATGCGTATGACGAAGACACGAAAATTGGTATGGAAGCTTGGATTGACTCCCTTAGATGCCTTGATCGTGATAATTTTATATTGCGGCATGTCGACATGTATAAACGCAACATGACGTCTTTCAACATGGTCTTGGTTTTATGAATAAAGGCATCTTGACAACATCTGATTTAGGGCATGCGACAAAGCTTTTGTTCATAAAAAATTTGAGGGTCTAATTAATATTCGGAAACTAAATTAAGATAATGACTACATTTATCGTTGTCACCAGAAACATGCAAAAAATTCATGCTTTATACATCCGTACAAAACACTACTTCATTATTATTATACCAACTGTTATAATAGTTATAGTCCTAATCGAAGTTGTTGGCGTAGAAGTATAACATGCCGGTTTACTAGACAACATTAACTAAAATGCATATATCGAGTTTAACATAACCTAGCTAATGCACATTAAAATGTTTGAGACTAACTTATACTTATCAGAAAGTATACATGTGTGTTTATATATATCATACACACTTTCATATTTGTCGGTAATTTGTTCAAATTTAAATTATACCATTTGATCAAGTTCTGAAGACATGGTTCACATATTATGTGAATACATGGAAGAAACCTGGTTCGTATTTCGCTTTCACAACAAACAGGGCACAACTCCTTGTCGTCTTTTCCATCGTTAGGGATTGGCAACTCAGTACTGTCCTCCGAACTCATTTTATACCCGAGACTAAATTGACATCGACGTTGAATTGGGAATTAAAAAATTCTGGAAACCAAATGTAATTTCTTTACAGTCTTATTTACAACAACTTGTAAACGATTACATCTGCTCAATGTGATAAGGACATGTTTGTGCATACCAAAGCGGTAAAGTAAATATTCATATCGTTTATTTACCTTCTATCAAAATCAATTTTTTTTCTAATTTGCTTATTAACTCTGAAATAGACACATCTAAACTTTAGACATGTTATAAATGATATTAAGATATCATTGGTATAATATTAAATTGGCATAAAATGTGCTAGATTCAAACAAGACAGAACTACTCGCCGAAAAACACGTACATGTTTAAATAACATTCAAATATGATCTCTGCAAATTCAATTGTAGCGACAAAAATATGAAATCAGAAGCATATATAAATACAAAAAATGTGTATTGTTGATATTTTAAAATTTATAAAGTACAAAATATAAAAATGATGCATTAATAAATTTTAGTTTTATTCTTTCTAAATAACAACAAATATAATTATAAAACATATAACGCTTACCTTAAACCAATAATCACAATCAGGTGACTATTTGTTATATGTGTTTTTTCAGATTGATTGTATTGATCAGATCATGAAGTTTTACATTTATTTGCCCAAATGATTAAACGTTCTTCCTTGTTCATATCCGCATAGTTCGGTTGTGAGGTGACAGAGGGGGGGGGGGGGGGGGGCTTTCAATCAATTTTATTGTATGTTATATCTAGATAGTATTTACAAAGGTGTTCATTGTGTAATTTACTATATGTAAAGATATATAACAAAAAATAAAAATGTCTCGGAACTGTGTTGTGGTAAAGTTAAAATCAGTCACCAGATTCCATAATGTTTGAGGTTCTTATCCATTGTGATAATGTCTATGTGAATTTATGTTAAAGACAGAGAGTAAACATTTTTTTTATTTAATTGTGGCGGCCGTGACTATAACTTGATATACCTTCTAAAAAAATAAAGAACTTACCCGTTGAAAGATAACATAAGGAGTTTACATCTAAAGTACAGGTGCTATTCATTTTTACGCTTCCCGTTTGATAAACGTCTCAAATGTTGTGTCTCATGTTTAAGATTGATAAAATTAAGTATCTAGTTTCAATCTCTACTGCGTTTGAGACCTGATGATTTACGATACATAATGATTAAGATATCATGTATTGAATATGGGGTAAGGTAAAGTCATCCTAAGTATCAGGGATAATTTTGGTCAAATTGTGACTTTCACAAGACGATGGGCCTTAAAAGAGCTGTTTTGAAAGAAACACGCTTTGAATGATGTTTTCCTTTCCTTTCACGACTTACGGGTTTATCAGAGTGTTACAAATGATTCCCGATATAGTGACTGGTGCGGCCCGGCAAGAACGCTAAATGTCTCTGAAATGTAGTTTATTCCGGAACTGATTAAAAATAAATCAAATCACTTACTTTTTAGAGTTGTTGCTGCTGTTGTCATCAGCTAGGAAGGTAAGACAACTAGAAATGATTGATGACCAGCTAAGCAGCAAAAGAGGCTTACGAAAAGTTATATACATGTATAATAGCAAAATCTGTTTTGCTTTTATTGGTTATAGTTTGTTCAGTAACGCTATATGAATTCTATTGCTACAGTGACATCACTTCCACTTACCTAGGTAGAACGAACAATAATCGAAACATCTTCAAAGATTGATGAAAACAATGGCTATGTATGTATATACTGTACAAAAAAATAGACTGAGGCACATACACGAACAACGGCTTATGGTGAAAAAAGTAAAGGAAACATTAAAGTGATAAATTTCTGTTACATGTATAAACCCGGAAAAATAACATGCAATATTTAATAAAAGCGGAGAAGACTTCTACCGATACATGAATACCATGTTCAGAAATAAAAAGTAACGTATTGCCATAAAAATACATGCAATTATAGACAACTGTTATGGTTTTGATACTATCCATAGGGGACGTCAAATCATATATTATGGCAACCGGTGGCAAACTTAAAGGAATACAGAAGACAATCGTTATCACACGGAAAACAATTTTTGAATGGAAACTTAATTCTATTACATAAACTTTATGTTTTTGCTTCGATATTGGGATGTACAAAGTGTGATTTCATGATGGAAAGCGATAGTGCAATGAAAAAACGAGAATGATATTACTATTATCGTTTGATAGTAAGGCATCTGGACATCTTTGAGCTACAATATATTATACTGTTTCTATTGGCCAGGTTATTAAAATATGTAGAACTACATGTATATATCTCAGAATGCTAATAATGTTCCAAAAATAGAATCTTCTGATAATAATAATTTTTATTAATGTTTCGGTTAGTACAATGAGTTCTACTTCATGCGTTTGATCAACCAGACTACTCGGATGTGGAGACAGGCATGGTTCTACAATGGTGTTAAAGTCTTTTAAATGCTGGCGAATAAATAAAAAGAAAGACAGACATAAATTTTCATAAATAAACCTTTGGATACATTGGCAAATCTATAATATGTTTAAACATTGATTTATCATAAAAGAGTTAAAAGATAGGCTGAACTAAATGTGAAAGAAAAGTTTATAAACGATATTCATGAAATTATAATATAGACACACATTTTAGACTCATTTAAATATTCTAAATAGAGGGGATTTGTTTATATGTATGGGCGACAAAATAGTATAAAAAGGAGGAAAGACGATTACCAACTTTTCAATGTTTTTTTTTTTTTTTTTTTTTGCTGAACATACATGGAACTATAACGTTCTTTCCGGGGAAAGCAGGTAATTTTGATCATTACCTGTTTTAATAATATGATAATACTAATATGTGTAAAAGTTAAATCCCAAACAAAAAAGAAAATGTTTGTTAACATAATGATGAATATTCATAATCATTTACACAGAACTGCAGCTGAAGATGACTTTCAATTTAGCAATTAAATGTCCTTATGATTCATCACTTATTAAGACTGATAAACACAATATTATGGATATATCATTACAACATGTACTCATAATCACTTCTTAATAAGTGCAATGTATAGATAATGTCCTGTTTCTTTTGTAACCTATTTTTCAACACATTATACGTTACATGTTTTGTAAGTTATTCACATCAAGGTCATAAGTCGCCTTTGACAGTAAACATTTTTTATTCCAATAGACTTTAAGGCTTATGAGGACACAGAGATGCAACCTAACGAACAATGTATGACATCTACATATAATAAACAATATCAACAAATTTCAAATATCTGGAGAAGGTCAATTTTGTTTGATAAAGAAATACACACTTTTGTACAAAATAATGCAGAATATCACAAACCAGTCCATTACTGTATACCATGCGATAATTGTTCCGTGATAATCACCTGACCATGTAACATACGTACCTAAAATAGATAAAATCTTTTATATGTTATGTCAAAATTTTGATTCACAACTTATCAGCTCAGCTACATTTGTAAAGACCAGAACTCTGTTTAGGTCAGGGTATCGCATTGTAACATGGCCAACGATTGGCTGAAAAAAAGTGCAGGGAAAACCGTATGATTCAATTTAAACATGAGGTGATTAGATGAAAGTGGGGTATTTTTAAGTATAAAAACTAATTTAAAAAGCAACACTACATTGTTTTCTGAAGTAAATAAAATATTTCATGAGTCTCTGTGATAATTTTGACTTGGATATTTGCATTTATAAAAACTGTATGTCAGTCCTGTGATCAGCAGAAAATTTCAATGAAATGGGGGGGTGTAATCCTCTTTGAAGTCATTTTACAAAAAATTTGGTTGGCTACCCCTATATGACAGGAACATTTTTATGTGTCAGGCATTTCATTCTGCTAGAAAAAATTACCTCTTCAGCATGAAAACTCAATTTTAAGGTAGGATTAGGGACCATTTCTTATAATGTAAGTCTATGGAAATATCAATGTGAGTGTCTGACCTTTAAAACAAAGATTAAGTGACTGAATGATAAGCTATTACAAAGTGCACGTGTCGTCTTGTAATTAAATAAAAGCTAAGAAAAAACAAAGAACACAATGTAAAACAACGACATACCAAAACCCGTCACTATAATTGAAGCCAGTACCAGAACCAAGGAAATATGTTTATGATAACGACATTTCCCCTCTAGACAAAGTGTTATTGCAAAAATAAAATCAGTTGCTCCTTTAAGTATTTCAAAAATGAAAACACCGTTCCATTTGCCTATGGTAAAAACCATAAACATACCTGAGGAAAAAAATCAAGAATAAGTATTAATATAGAAGTAACATACATAAACTAACAAAATAAACCGACATCCTGCCACAAGTTTAATGTACATGTCAAAAGGTCAAAGTTTGAGTAGGCATATATTATTGACACATATATGCATAACAAATCAATGCGTAGGAAAAATTTAATAACCATTTGGTTCTAAAGAGGTTCCTACTTTAATTTTGTTGTAAGATAAAGCAAGCGTTAACAAATAATTCAATCTAATTGAATATTCTTTATAGCTTAATTTTCATATGAATAACACTTTCCCTCATGAGCATATTGTAAAAATGGCGGTTTTCATTGAAAAACATCCTTTAACAAGTTCAAACTGCTATGAAACTAGAAAAAATACTTCAATACTTATAAAACTTGGCGCAAATGTTAACTGAACAATTTGTAACGACATGCTCAGTCTTAAATTTCCTGTTTCCATGGCAACATCACAAAATTACCAAAAATCACTTTTTGCGTTGATTTTTTCGATCAAAATTGATTTCAACGTGCTGAAACGTCTCAATGGATTGAAATAGAGTCAAAGGCTTTTCAGCGTTAATTACACCTTATGATCGACCTGAGGTCATTTTTAGCCTCTCACAAGTTTAATCTTTTCTTGGCGATGAAGAGGACTACCACCCCATTCAACGCACCCAAACAGAGAGGGGGCACATCCCCCTTCTGGCAACCCTTGATGTACCTTTTTAATAGGGGCGGTACCGAAAAATTGATCACAGCAACATTTCTCAAACGAAAAACAGTGTTTGCGGCCTAAATAGAGATATTTTCACTGTTTGATGCCTAAAAAAAGGGAGGGGTCGAAAAACCGTCAAAACATGTCTATATGAAGTAAAGGGATAATTGAAAAATATATACATCTTTTAAATTTAAATCTTTACAGGTTACTTGATTATCCATCTATTAAAATGTTATTACGTTACCTGATATAAATCTGTAAATGGCAACAAAGCATAAATGCAAGATACAAACTGAAAACAAAGTCAAATTTTAGTTATAACAATAATGTATCTTTAAGAGAACAAATCCCCTGAATTTCCCACGTTTCCATGCACAGCTAGGAATTAGATAAATGAATATCTTTTTGTTTTTGTTTCAAATACTGTCCATTAATCTGAGCATGATATTTCATATTTTTCCCCTTTCGTGAAACTCAAGATACTTTAAATGTTCGACTCAGATATGCATAAAGTTTCTGCTCAGATACAAATTTACACTGAGTATTGTATTATTAAGTGAAAAATGTTCAGTTTTGCGGAGTGGCATAGTAATTAGTCCATCGGACTATAAAGGATTGCTGGCCGCACGGGTCTTAACCTCGTCAGGGGCAATCCGTTGTTTCCATGAGCAAGTAAATTTGCACTCATTGATTAGTACTGACTGGTTCAAGGAACGGATTTGAAAGTGTATAAATAGGCTTAAAGCTTCTAATTTTGACTTGGGTTTTATGATGCAGCAATACATACACAATCGAATTAAAATAAATTATGATTAACCTAAATTCCCGTTCAAAAAACACTAATAGACGCCATAATAATATATTCACAATAAACCAATACACTTATCTAAAATATGAAAATAGTTGCGCTTTACGCTGTGTTATTAACACCAAATGAAATGAAGTTTTACTTGCACCTATCTTGCATTAGAAAAAATAATTAATACTTATTTATGCGTCATTCATACACGAACATCAGTTTATTATGTTTGCTTTCTTTATTTATCATTTGAAACTGATTATGTAGTTAAAATGATACTGATTTCATATCAATTTTAATATTATTTCCCATTCTATCTATATATCTATTTTATTAATCATGTTAGTAATTTGTTTACCTGCTGATGCCACAGCTATTATACACCACTGACAACAGCACCCCCAGCCACATCCTGAAAAATGTGAATATAGTACCTGATAAACGACTGAAGCTGACAATGCCTATGTTTCAATAAACATACTTAGATACGAAAGTGAGTAATGACTGAAATATAAAGAATTATTGAACTCTCTTTTTTCATTAGTATTTTGATTGCACTGTTATATAACGAGGATTTGTTTAAAAAGTTATCGGCCCGATGTACCTCTGGTAGTCAGAGAACCCATCTAATGGTCTTACTTTTCAATATAATCGCCCTCTACATCAATGCACTTTGCCCATCTGTACTCGTACTTGTTCAACCCTTCAAAAAACCTCTCTATTTTGGTCCCCAAAGAACTCATTAACCACCTGCATTGCTTCCAAAACGTCTACCACGAAGCTTGGTTTACAGTTTCGGAAATATGTAGAAGTCAGAGGGGGCCAAGTTCGGAGAAGATGGGGGATGCAGAAGAATTTCAAAGCTGCAGTTGGTTCCAGCAGCCATCGTAACTTAGGATATGTGAGCTGGCGCATTGTCAGAACGCCTAGAGCCATTTTGTCTATCCTTTTACGCGCGATTTCTGACCAAGACGTCTCAATTCGTCTTCATATTACATACCGTTTATGGTATGACCTTAATCAAGATAGTCAATTATGATTGTCCCCTAACTTTACCTAAAAATTGAAGCTATCATCTTCCCTGCTGATGGCATCCTCTTGAATCTCTTCGGAGGGGGTGAGCCAGGGTGCTTCTATTGTATGCTTCGTTTTATGATCCTGGATTGAAATGATGGTTTACATGTTTCAACCTGAGTTGCGATCCGGTAGATAAAATCAGGTTCATCCTTGTAGCGGCACAAAAGATATCTTGAAATGTCAAGCCTAGTCTGTTTCTGGTTGTCAGTAAACTGTTTGGGGAGCTGCCTAGCGGAAACCTTTGACATGCCATAGCCATCAGCCAGAATTGTCTTAACTGAACCAAAGCTATACCCACTTCCCTAGCAATGCTTCGCAGGTCTCGCCTTCTGTCGCACATGACCAGATCGTGCCATCTTCAGCAGTTTCATAGTTGGTGGCCTCTTTTGGCAGCCCAGACCGCTCATCATTCACCTCTCAAATTCAGCAGCTCTTTATTCACAGTGCTATAGGAAGGGGGCGCCTTCCCAAGTTATCCACATGGTCTTCATGGATTTCCTTTGGGGACGACCCTTTCTTACAGAGGTACTTAAAGACGACTCAAATTTCTCCATTGGGTCTAAATAACACACCCCTTTACTGATCATAGTGTTTTTAATGTTACCCAATCTGTGTAAAACCGCTTGTAACTCGGTTTGATACAGGTATTAGGGCCTATAACTTTTTGATCATACATCGTATACTTACAGCTAAAAACAATTTTAGTTGACGCCTTAGCTTAGGGTGTACCGCTTACATAGAACTGAACTCGTAATCCACTAGGTTGCAAGATATGTACAAGTACATTGGATTTTTCAAGTTTTTTTTGTGTAAATGTGTATAGTTCATAACAAGTGTCAAAATCAAAAACAAAATCACAAATATTATTAGTGTCAAATTAAAGCAATATCATAATCATCATCGTTATTGTTATAATAAGGAAGGAAATCAGGACCATAACAAAATTTAGGCAAAAAATTTGAAAGCTCGAATTGACGTTAATTTATATGTCGGCATGTCGACGTGTATTAACGCAACATAACGTCTTCTGTCATGGCTTTGATGTATGAAATAGGGCATGTTGGCAACATCTGATCAAGGGCATGGTGACATATCTTTTGTTAATAAAAAAGTTGACGAGAACTCTCAGAGAGCGTAATGAATATTTGGAAACTAAATCACGCCCATCAAGTAAATTGAATAGCGTTCTTATCAGAAATAAACTAAACTGAATGTTTTGTATGATTTCTAAAAGAACATTTCGGCTTTATCACTCCGATCCTGAGAGGTCAATTTAGTTAACTTTAGAAAATGCACATTTCATACTTTTACCAGTAATTATCTTACTAACAGTTAAATAACATAGATAAATACTGGGATGTACTATCCTGTTAATAAAATACATATGATTCACAAGATATTTATTTTAAATGTCAAACTCCGCTTCCACAAGTGCGGACATGCTGCATTTCGTCCTTCTGTTCATAACACCTGCTCCATGAAAATGAATAACACTCTGTGTAGGGCTGTAAAACTTATTTCGTAATCATTTTGAAGTAAGCACCTGTTAATGTCAAAATAATTGTATGCTTCTTTAAGGAACAATTTTCTTTTAGTAATATGTTGACGGCAATAAATTAGGCAAATCATACGTTATACGTTATTTTTTACGATATGTCTTAGATTACACACGAATAAATGACTTGAAATACTTACGTCGGTTTATGTTTGGTTTGCTGTAAACAGTTTCACGCATAATTTATAGGGGAGGGGTGTCGGGCATTACATTCGTGGCTTATAAAACCAAGGCCCTACGATCGAATTTATAGGTAAACAGAATGTTTCATTTGGTTGTTAACCGAAACAAAAACTTTTAAAGTTGTCAAGACATTTTCTTATTATGTCCATCTTCATGAAACTGACAGATACGATACCGAAACAATAGCTATAAAAGAGGTGACTTTTATACTGCCAGTATTATAGGTACCAGTAGCCTTTGCAGCCTACAAAATGCACGAAGTGCATTGTATCAAATGCAGTATACAAATTGTTAAACCTAACAAATATACTTCATCTTCTCAGTAATCTATTTCATATGCACAATACTAATACATAGAATTGTATGTTTGGCTGTAATTGTTACTGATATGTATTTTCAAACGTACTAAAACGTCCTTTTAATGATTCGGGTAAATACGTATATAATATAATAGGTTTGATAAGCAAGCACTGAAAGAAGTTATTTATGTTAGACAGTCTCTAGTTAGATAAAATACGCATGAACACAATGCACTACAGATACGGACAAGGATCTAATTTTATTTCGTATACTCTTTCAAAGTATTTATTGAATAGTGTTGCTAAACTGTTGATTTGTTTTCCGACTATTATTCAGGTCCTACCGACGGTGTCCATTATGTTACGAAACAGTGAGCAAGGTTTAAGCTTCCATGCAGCCCTGATCGTAGGCTATGGATTAAGTCGTAGCCTGGACGAAACACTTTTAGTTACCTTAAAATTATGATCTGTGTGCATATACGATATAATGGCAAGACCATTCAGAGTAATTTGTATTCTTTGTTTCGGTGAACGTTAACAGTTAACGCGTATTTTAACCTATATGCGCAGTTACCGGTAAACTGTGCTACATTACAGTTAATTTATGCCTAAGCATTATTAATTTTCAATTTCGTTTAAATTACCTGATCTGTTATTAGAATATGTTTCCGGTCTCTCATTGATTCGTGAGTCACTATGGCTCCTGAAATAGATTGTGTATTTTTTTAAAAATTATCCTAATTCTCCCTCACGTTTTATATACTAGTACATCATTTATCTGCCTACAAGTTACATATATTTTCTTTCTTTATCAAAAACTTTTTGATTTAATTTATATTAACGAAATAATACCTTATGATAAATTGCAACATTATTTAACGTTTGCCATGTCTGCGTCTACATGTACTTATAATTTCAAACAGTGCAAATACTTGATTTGAGGTGTTTTCAAAATATTACAAAATCAAAAGAGGAAGTGCGTGTTTATACTGTTTGTGTTGTCATCCTGACTAACAAATTACTGTAATAGAAATATCCGATATACTTTTTATACTAATTATGCAATGTTTACATGAACCAACAACAAAAAATGGCCTCACCTATACATATTCTAAATACAAGATAAATTTGAATACAATGGAACGAAAAGATTATATAACTTATCAGTTTAATGAAAATTTCTTACTCAAATCCTTGCAAAACACAACAGTACCTGATCATCCGGTCAGCCAACCGTCTATCTCCTTCGTTTTGAACTCTTTCTGAGATAGTTGTGAAATTCCCTTGACTTGAGAAAGATGTTTCCACATAGTGATTATTTTGTTCTCCGTATTGTCGACTTTGTACTGGAGCAAATGTATCAACGGTGTACTCTTTTCGACATATAGGACATTTGAAAGTTCTTCCGTCCGAACTGAAATAGTGTTAAATGATATTATTATTCCGTAGTCGAAATTATATTCAAGCCTTCACCATATAAATATTAATTTTCAGAACATTTTTATGGTGGCTGATTTCTGCCATTTCGTGGCTTTGTGTCTTCGCCCTTTAAAGTGGTCACTTATCGCGTCTTCGCCTTCGACTTTTGATTGCACCTACACAATACATGATATATTTTTGGCGAAATAACGATATTTTAATATGTGAAGACACGTGATATTCTGCTGCAGGATTATCGTGTCGGCGGGTAAAAATCGGCGCCCTATAATATAATATAATACTATAATATTATATAATATAATATATATAATATAATATAATAGGCACTGACTATTAATCTGGTACAACTGCTAATTTGATAAAAACGCATATACAAAATGCACTGCAGAAAAGGGCATATACCGGAGTTTTTGTATACTCAAACAACCTTTCATCGTGTCTATATATTATTATTGCCGGAATGGTATTTCAAGGATGTATAATTCAATGCATTTAGTTTTTGTTTGGTGGGAGGGTTTTTAAGTTTCCAAATATTGATTATGTCTTTCCAACGGTGTCCATTATGTTAAGACATGCTGATATTTTCCACGAGGCAGAGATATCATAAGGTAAGTCGAGATAACATAGATTGTAATAGCTTTTCTCGGCTCTCATCAAATACATAATGGACAAAATATATATCGGCATGTCTGCAAAGACAAGTTGACAAGATGTCTTTATTATCCCTTTAAATAATGATACAAATCGCAAAAATATATGTCGACATACCGGCACATGAGCTACCACGCGCATGGTATCTAGCAGGGTCGCCATTAATTGGCCACTTATCGAGTCTTAGACAATTGGGGCGAATACACGATGACACGAAGACTCTTCAAATTAGCCCATAAATGTGGTTTCGCATTTTAGGCGAAGACACGACAACACGACAAATATAGGGCGCCGATACGATGATTTCACCCGCCGACACGTTTGTTTTACAGAAAAAGATCTCGTGTCTTTGCCTTTTGAAATTTCATTTTTTCGCCAAAATTTTCCGTGTAGGCGTCCTCAAAAGTCGAAGGCGAAGATAAGATAAGTGAGCATTTATCGTATTTTCGTCAAGAAAGCAGTATTTTGACTTTCACTATTATAATACACGTTGCCAGCACATTGTTACAGTCGAAATCGTAGTCGTTGGCGTAGAAGTAAGGCATACCTGATTACTAAATAACATAAACAAAATTGCATATAACAAGATTAATAAAACATAGCAAATGCATACCAAACGTTTGAAACTGACTTATATAAGAAAATATACATGTGTATTTATATGTGTCATACACAATTTCATATTTGTTGGTATTTTGTGACAGTGATTAATTAAATTAAGGAAAATACATAAATCATACCATTTGATCAAGTTCTGCAGACATGGTTCACATATCATGTGAGTAATTGTACATGGAAGAAACTTTGGTTGTGTTCCGCTTTCAAGACAAACAGGGCAGAAAGTGTTGTCGTTGTGTACGTCATTAGGCATTGTCAACTGAAAATGAGTCGCACTGTTCTTCCAGGGACAAATTTGACATCGACGTTGATAAGAGAATTTAAAAACCTGGAAATCAAACCGAATTTCTTTAAAACAGCAATTTCAAACTCTTAGACCGATTCAATATGCTTAAACAAGAAGAGTACATGTTTGTGCATACAAGAAATGTAACGTTAATATTAACATCATTATTTGCGTTCTATCAAAAATTAAAATGTTTTCTTAAATGCTCATACATACTATAATAGAATTATATATAGATTCAGACATATCTACAACCAAGATATGTTATTAATGATATCTAGATATACACCTGGAAATAAGTTAAGCACACATCGAAATTTAAAATTGGTTGTAATTGAAAGCACTGTCATGAATGGACGACTTAATTGAGCTAAGAAATAGTATTTTGATAAGTATCGATACCAATTTAGTAAACATAAACCAGTAAATTTATGAGTTTAGTTTATTCTTAATCAATTAATGTAGCATGAGCAAACGTAAGTGCTTATAAGTATGGTGATTTTACATTTACTGGTAGATAGTTTTGGTAAATGTTGACGACTATGTAACCTTAAATGACATTAAGAGCCAAATTTTGAATAACGTGTTTAACCGCCACGTGCCCGAACGGCAGCCTCAACCCTTCTCAAACTACCAGGCTTTAAATCGACTTTGAGGTTAAATTTTGGCCATTCTTTGTGCAGAGCTTGTTCCACTTGTTGCAGGTTGACTACAGGGTGGTTTACTATTGCCCCCCAAAATATTTAAAATTTCAATTGTGGTTATATCAGAACTTGAGGCAAAAATGCCGAGTGTGAGGAGAAGGGTTAGGCTATCACCCAATTATAGAACCCATTAGTGAAGGTCTACATTAAAACAGAAGCATATAAAATAGTGTTTATAATGTAAATATTATTGAGTACACAATAAGAAATGATGCATTAGTAAACTTGAGTTTTTATTATTTAAGTAACTAAATTGAAAACAATTGAAAAAATAAATAAAATAAATAAATAAAATAAACTAAAATTATAATACATATAACGCTTACCTTAAACCAAAACTCACAATAAACTAAAATACTGTTTGTAATGTGTTATCGGGGTTGATTTTATTGTTAAGTTCGTGATGTTTGTGACGGGAGCAATACATTCTTTTTTCTTTCATCTGTTATAATACATCAATAGTCAGAACATATTGTGGGTGGTGAAAAAAGTCTACTTTGTTGGTTTCTTTTTCTTCAAGACCTTAAGCGATATCAACAACAAATTCCTTGCATTACCTAGCCAGAACAAAAAAACTTAATTACATCAGGCGGATAAAATACGGAAACAATATTACATCAAAATATGCTGCAGATGAACAATAATCTCATTTTCACTTCCTAAGGGGTGTAGTTAAATTGTTGATAAAAAGGATTATTGGATCAAATATTTACTGGGATTGCATCATTTGTTTCATGAAGCGGACATAAGATTGATTCAAATATACTTCTAGCTTCTAGAATTTAAAACATGCATAAACTTATTATACATGTACCAATAAGTCAGGGTCTTTAAAATAGAAGCAAAAATAATAATATTTCTAGTAAGACGTTATTTTATCTTACGGACGTTTTGCTAGTTTTTAGTCTTAAATGAAATTGAATGTATAAAAACTATAGGACACACTATACGGATATATACCTTTTACTTTAAATTGCCAAAAATTAAAAAATTCTTACTTCCTTTTTCTTATCATAAAGTTTAGTTGTGAGTTCACTTTGGGCTTTTTATCACTTTTAAGCCTACGGAGTTGGCACAGAGATTGACATAAAACATTCAGCTTGACATTCGATTTATCAATGTCGAGATAAGATGTGAAGCTAGCACGACTTTCAGCACAACATTCGAAAATCGATTAATCACTGTTCAGATAGATTGGGAACCTGGCTATGCATTCGACATTCGTTTGTGTCTCTTTTATTTTCGAATGTCGAACTTTATGCGAAGCTGGCTCATCATTCAGCAGTCGTTAAGCTCGACAGTGTGTCTCTATTGGGTTGTTAATCTTGCTAGACATTCAGCAAAACATTCATCTCGACATTCAATTTTGTCTCCTTTTTTGAATGTCGAGATATGAAACTGTCTCGACTCAATTAAATCGACATTTGTTTCTGATTCTTTTTGAATGTGGTGCTAGGATGTGAAGCTGGTTTGACATTCATTACTACATTAAGTTTTGTCTCATTTTCGAATCTCGAACTGGGATGGGAAGCTGGCTAGACAATCTTCAAACCATTTAGCTCGACATTCGTTTTCTTGTCTCATTATTCAATGGCGTGCTTTTATGTGAAATTTCGAGCTTTAATGTCTTTTTGGGTATGAAGCTGGTTAGACATTGAGTACAACTTAAACTTGATGGTAGAGTTAAAATCATTCATCGTATTCATTCCTATTCGTCGTGATAATTTCTATGTGAATTATGTTTACAAAAGAGAGTAAGCATGCTATGTTGAATCTATCAATGGATATACCAAGCGTGTATTTCATGCGAACGTAGACACCTATCCGTCGAAATATAACCTTAAGAGAATACGTCTATAATATGGAGCCTATCCATTTGTAAATAAACGTTTGCAATTTTGTGACTCGCGTGAAAAAATCGGTTAAAATAATTAAACAGTATAGTCTATAGTGCGTTTGAGACCTGATGATTTACGAAACATAATTATTATTATACATGATGTATGGCAAGAGTTTAACGTTGATACGTTTGCTCCTGTTAAAAACAGTAAAGCTAAGCATTTCAGTCTGGAATGTAATTAAAAGTAGACACTATTAGGCTTTTTGTACCTTGTCATTTACGCAAAGTAAACACATTTTTAAACTGCATTGTCAAATTCGTTCACAAATAACGGTAAAGAAAGAGATTAATATGAGTTTTAACTCCTAAGATACTTGTAAATTATTCTTGCTTGATGAATGAATAATCGTAAGAAATTAAGCAAGCTTGACAATCATTAGTACAATATTCCACTGATCCGATAAAATTAGTAATTTTAAATTACTATCTATTTTCTGAAGTGATCAAAATGATGTTTGTTAAAAATAGCTTAATTAAATGTTTACTACGAAACTTTACTATCGTTCAACCGTATACTAATTTCATTTCAAGCGGCATGTAAAACTGTGTATGAATAACATAAACTCATTAACAAATTTGTACTTTTCTTATCTCAGAGCTTTAAATAGTCAAAGCGTCAAAGTGTCAACATTTATATACATGTGTTAGCTATATAGTATATTCTTATCAGACAACGTGGATCATTAATGATATAGGTTACGGTGTAATGATTTATCGTATTTAGACATTTTTTATGACAAAAAAGAAACAATGACGACAGTAACTGGGTATATAGTACCGGTAGAAGAGTTCCGCGATTTTGTCGTGCGGTGTAGTAAATCAGTCGGAATAGCAGAAGATCATGCGGACAGTTTGGCTGAAATGGTTGTATCGGCGGACTATCGAGGTCACTATAGTCATGGCCTGAAAAATCTAGGTCAGATCTTTTTTATACAATTATTTTATGCTTTATTATTACCTCAGAGTACAAGTTGAATGAATGTTGAAATCATATTTATGAATTAAGCATTTCTGCTCACGCATCCTGGCTGACAATTATCAGAGAATCGAACACACTGTAGTTTTTCTTGATGAATATATTTGGATAATAAGAATCATCTCCAAATTTTTTATAGTCTAAGAATTGTCTTTGGTTTACAGAGCGATACCTAATCTGTGTCAGGAAAGGAATTATATCCAGAAGTGGAAAACCGGAAGTAGTCAAACAGACAGCAGCGACAGCGTTAGTGGATGGACATAAATTACTTGGTAAAATATAGACACGCTATTAACATATGCAAAACTGAGTCCATTCCGTCATACTGATGACAAATTCTTGTCAAAATTTTATTATTATATTTTTCTTACATAGACAGCAGAGCACGTTTGATGGTATTAAATGTAAAGTTTAACGAAGAATAAGTGCAATTCACAATAAAGTACATATTCTTTAGGACAAAGGTTTCAGATGATTATATTTGTTTTACCGTGTAGGTCCAGTTGTTGGAAATTTCTGTATGGATTTAGCAATGGAAAAGGCGAAGGCTGCAGGGGTTGGGATTGTTTCTGTGAGAGGTAACTATAACAAGGTTATATCCACAATAAATGCTCATAAAATGTTCAAAGTAGCAACAGTATATTAAGGACAGAGAATGTTCATTTAATTATACATGTATTTGTATGTTCATGCTTATATTCACATAGTCCTAAGTGCGGCTTTAGACTATGCAGTTGATTTCCACGCTAACTTTATAAAATATATAATAAAAAAAGAGTTTTTACATTTTTCAACAACTATTTGTGTATGGACATTAATGAGTTCCATCAATTATTATAAAGATATATAACATACCAACTAAGACATGTCTCGATTGTATTTCTCCGTTAATTAAATTCTCTTTTAAAAGCGTCATAAGTTTAAGAAACAACGAAATTTCTTTTTCTACAATTACTGTAAAATTTTGTGTAATATATTTTTCTTCTATATTAAGGCTCAAATCACTATGGCATGGCTGCATTGTATGGTCTTCGAGCTCTTAAACATGGTATGATCGTAAGTAATTTAGATAAGTATTATCCGCATCATGCCTTTGTCAAATATGGATTATCCAACTCACCTCATTTACCTACCTCATTATTTTCCTCCAAGCATATACGTGTATAAACCACCTTACCACATTTTTAAAAAAGAAATATTACCATGTTCTTCCTTTTTCAAATATACTCGTACATTAAAAGCATCAACCCTTTTACTAATATTAATTACATGTATACACCTTAATCCTTTTTCTTTACATAATAATATATTTCACAACTTTTACCTTTTGTTCAAATATATAAAACCTTCAAAATTAATTAATTCATCATAGCCTTTCAATAAGTATCGTAATTGTTTACCTAACTGCTACCCTTTGTCAAATATGTATAACTTATCCCTACCTATTTTCATATAATTATACATATAGCACGAAAACTAATCGACACGCACTGTGGTTGTTCGTTAGAGTTTACTTAGCATCAAAGTTATCTACAATATCATTATCAAAAGTATCTGTAACATTCCGCAAAAATATCATTTGAAACAGTGTACATGAGCAAAATGCATCAGTGTAACTTTCCAGAAAAACTTAGCAAGCATGGGATTGAAACAAATAAGGCTATGGTGTCTTTTAAATAGCACGTTTTTATAACCGAGAATACAATTTGCTTATTGTAATATTGATTGGTATTGGAATGTTTAATGAACCTAATAGATCTAACTTTATTTACAGGGTATAGCTTTAACGAATACGTCACCAGGAATGGCACCGACAAGAGGGAAGGAAAATGTTCTTGGTACCAATCCAATATGTGTCGCAGCCCCGGGGACAGATGGTGACAGCTTTCTTTTAGATATGGCTACTAGCGCAGTGGCTTATGGGAAAGTAAAGCTAAACTTTCAAGATATAGTTTTAGATCTTTTAACTTTGCTCTTTCTAGTACAATTATCATTTTTCATTCATGTGTCGGTCTAAGGTTCGGATGGGTATAATAAATATGATGAATGATCAAAAAAGCATATTATGACGATTCGGCGAGTGGTTAACGTGATCAACTTCATATCATCTGCTCCTCACTGCTTTGAAATCGAATTCTGTAAGGGACATTGGATTATTTTATACGAGAAAGCTATCTAGCTAGCTTCCGGAAAGTCTGTGGTTCTCCTCGGATGTCCATTCGTGTCTGACATAATGCATGAATAGGCATCTGAGGCCTTTCTTTCTAAAGTAAAGCTTAAACGTCGTCACCTAATGGCACATTTATAGTGTTGATGTGACTTAAATTCAAACAAAACAAACAAAAACAACTTTGTGTTTTCTGCTATAAACCATGGTTTACCGATGTACATGAAAAAATAATGATTGAAACAGATAAGTTATGCTTGCTCAATTATTCTTGTAATAATCATTCTCTACCTTTTTACAGGCGATAAATGCAAAGCGTATAGGTGTGACTATACCGGAAGGCTGGGCTGTGGACAAAGATGGACAAAATATAACTGACCCTAACTTTGTGTACGGGATGCTTCCTTTAGGAGGAGTGGAAAGCACGTGTAAGCTTAAGTCGCCATGTATATTATGTTGTTTAATCGATATTAAGATATGTATACTTTGCTTCTACATTGGACAATAGAACTTGGAAAGTTTTCGGACATAATAAAATCATGGTGGTCTTATTTAATATTAATATTACATTATTAATTATGTATTTGTAATGTTTTTAAGTTTTAGTGTGGCATTGGAGATTTCTTTTTATAATGAAACACCAAAATGTGACATTTAAATGAACATAAGACGATATTTTGGTATTACTGTATAATTATATTTGTTATAATTAGTATAAATAGTATATATAATTCATTCGTCATGAAATTCTGTATTTTCCTTTGGTAATATCAGCTTCTTATTAAGATAAATACATTTAACATATTTTGGCGGAATAAGCATCAAGGATATATATTTAGCTTTATAATGATATGTTAAAGGCAAATACACGTTTTTCTGTAAAATTATTAAAATTACACAGCTAAGACATTTTAATGAACCGAGTTATGTGGTAAAAAGTGCATACACGTATAATGTCATATAAATGAATTATTCAAAATATATTCACAGCCGGTTATAAAGGGTATGGACTGGCTATGATGGTGGAGATATTCTGTGGAATATTAAGTGGCTCAAACTACGGTCATCATATAATATCAGTTAGTGATCAGATTAATAAAGAGGCAAACTTGGTGAGTTTAATTTAAAATCTTTTATGGCATGGCTTACATTTACATTTTACGTTTTTAAAGCAATATTATTAACCATTACGTTATTCTTTAATAAATAACACATGTATTATATATAAAAGTTAATTTGTTTCCACGTAAATGTCTGTTTACAAATAAAAATATAGTTGTAAACAGATTGCTTTGGTAGATAAAGAGGATTATCATGAGTTTGATACGAAAATCGTCATTGAAGTTTTAAAGATCGTTTATTTGTAGCGTCGCTTAAAATATTGTCATTAACTCGTCCTGAAAATCCAAATTATTTGTGTCAGATCCTTTATATCGGTAAACACATATCTAAATAACAAGGTTGAATAGGAAAATAAATGAACAAAGTACATTATAAAGATGTTGCAATATATTTATCGCCATTGATTGATTGGCATTAAGTAAATGCAATTTTTCCAAGAGCGTGATTCGGTCTTGGCAGCATCGTTTGTACGATGACCCATTTTTTACTCGTACCTACGATTTTGCTAACATTGCTTTGATAGTAAAAATTAAACCATTTACAATCCTGATTTTGTAAACTTTGTCGAATGATATTTATAAGTACTGTAAATCATTATAATTGTTTTCTTTTATTATAATGTATAAATAATAATTATAATATATAAACGAGCCGCGTCATGACAAAACCAACAAAATGGGTTGGCGACCAGCATGGATCCAGACCAGCCTGCGCATCCGCGCAGTCAGATCAGGATCCATGCTGTTCGCTTACAAACTCTATAACCAGTATAGAAACCGATAGCGAACAGCATGGATCCTGATCAGACTGCGCGGATACACAGGCTGGTCTAAATCCATGCTGGTCGCAAACCCATCATGTTTGTTTTGCCGTGACGCGGCTCATATATTCTTCGCAAACAGGGACAATGTTTTATAGCAATTAATCCAGACGCATTTGAAGATGGTTTCTCGGAACGAATGAGTGAACTTCTAAACTACTGTAGAGCCTTAGAGCCAGTAAGTGTATTTTTCAGATAACTAAATAATTAAAAAACATCAATTAATTGGTGTCTGTATATCAATGAACATGTAATGAAATTTACATGATATTTATATTAGATATGCACATGCATAAATATTTACTTTCAAAAGAAAGTGTGCACTTGGTGACTTTGAAATAGTTACTTGGGCAGAACATAGGCAAATTTGGTATAAAAATAAAAATTGATATGAAAGTTGATAACTTTTATGCCTAATTGCCACACAGTTAATCACTATCTTTTGTGTTCGAGTCTGCATGTAATTGACGTTACGAAATACCTAAGGAATCGGGTTGAATGATGTGCTTCTAATTGTGATACTTAATATACCAATGTCATGTTTAAATAAATAATAAATATACAAAATTTACTTGTAACCAAGTGCACACTTTATTTTGCAATTGAGTATAGTATATTATAAACACAAAGAAAGAGCTACTTTCTGTGCAGGTTGAAGGAGAGAATGAGGTGTTGGTAGCAGGAGATCCGGAAAGAAAACACATGGAGAAATGTGAGAAACAAGGTGGTATATTGTATCATCCTGAACAAATGAAACAGGCTGTAAGTGTCCATGTTTTGTTGTTGTTTTTTGTTCTTTTTTAATTAATGCATTGCATCGTTAAAATGTAAATTAAGTGTTTATTAGATAGCAATGTAAGGTCACATTATCCAATCAAAATATTTACAATCTAATGGATAAGCGTCAATTTGGTAGGAAGATGGTTGTCAGTAGCTTGATATTGGAATAACCAACTACCTACTGGCTGGTAGTTTGTTTCGACTAATTGGCCTATATGTCGGTCGTAGAAATCCTAAAGAAAACACATAATAGAAATCGACACTCACATTGCGATAGAATAGCAAATTTTTAGATGTAAGTGATATTATGCTCATTTTTCTTTCGCTGTCAAGTTCAGTTTTATTAGTAATACATTTCAAAAGATTGACAGTTATAATGGTAATTGACAAGTAATTTATAATGAAAAATTTAAAATTATATGTACCTAAGTTATAAAAAGACCGCCCTACTCTGTTTTACACGCTGTCGAAACTTTCTGAAAGATATCTGAAAATATCAATTGAGCACAATTATGGCAACATGTAAATTTAATTCGAGTACTGACCATTGCATCTGGACGGCCATAATGTCACTAAATTAAAAAAATCATAAAATATAATCTCAATGGCCAAGCAATTTATAAAATGATAAAATCCGTAACGATGTCGGCTTAGTTACAGCGTAATTAAAATGGTTAAATAATAATTTGAAAACTAATGCAAGGGTACACGAGGATATGTCTTGCTCTAGAATGTAGCGAAATACGCCAAACTTTGACGGACATATCGTAGTTGTTTTGCCTTGTTCAGTGTAAAATTTGCTATAAAAACTAATAGAATCTGCTGTTTGAATAATATTTGAATTCCATATTTTCAGAACTCGATAGCGGCATCATGTAACGTTGAACCAATGAAAGTATTAAAGACTTTAATGAAGTGAAGTGAAATATGTTATAACTGTGTTTTTATTTATGATATGCAGACTTGATATGTCTTGATTTGAATACACCACTTTTAGAATGGTTACATTGTCCTTATGCACTCACCACTACCGTACATAAACAGGCTAATTCACACCAAGTCCGCAAAATTTTCAATTTTCAACGTAAATGTCACATGTGTATATACATCAATATTATTGTATTTTCACTAGAAAATTAATGTTCTAGTTTGATAATTTCAACTTAAAATGTTGACATTAAAAAATAGGCTCGTTCAGACAAGCTGCGGTCAATGTTGCAACTATCCGCTCTTCTCATAACTTGAGGTCTGGTCAGCGAAGTCGACAAGTTTATCCTCGCCTCGTTTTATGAAGTTTTTCCCCGAGAAATCTGTATAATTTTGACACTCCAAAATAGCTGTGTCCGATACCTGGAATAATTAATGTTATTAATGTACAGTTAATTCTGTAATTTGAACTTAAGTCTATCATTTACGGGTAGAAGTACTTTTCTGGGAGAAAATAAAGAGATATACGTAAATTTTTTACACCTATTGTAATAATTTAGATACTATTATGATATTTCTGTAACCCAGCCAACTTGAGCCAAGCCTAAATAATGTATATATATTACAAAAATATCGGATTTGATACTAAAATAATGCCATTGTAATAAGAAAACATTAATACTAAACGGGTATTCCTATTTGTAACATGTAAATGACTCCAATATGTGAACAATGTAGATACATGTTTACACCATGAAGTCCATTATGCAAACCATGAGGTCCAATATGTAAAGTTAATCACATGTATAAATCTTGTAAACAGTGAAATCTTAGATATATAAACTATCAATATCAATAAGTTTACAAAGAGGTAAAAAAAATAAGCATGAAGAAAAAGAAGGACTTTTATTTGTACTAAAGCCCTTAGAAGAACCATTGACAAAGCATCAATATAATTATTATATACAAAAAAGCAGAATCATAGCAATAAGTTACAAGAAGTCGACTTGGCATGCGAAATAAGTTACCAAATTTAAAAAAAGTAAAATTTGTTCATAAGCACGTTAAGCATTACAGGATACGCTTAGCTTTTTAGATTTTGTTCTAAATTGGCCATGTAACTGTGTTTACCTTCTCCAACTTGGTGTATTTTGGACAAATGTCAGGTTTCACAGGACTGTTACTTTTCTCATTGTATGATACGTTTATAGCTAGCCGTCTTTTCTCACTGTTGTTTGGTCCACTACAGTGAAGCAAGTTGCAGTGAAAGAACACAACATCGCCTGAAAAGCAGCATCAACATCAACCATTGATGTTATAATAAAATAATTTCTGAACGAGTAATATATGGATATCAAGAAAACGATTTTACCACGACACATAAAGATGAAATAACAAACATATACCTTAGATGGACACAAAAATGTACCGACTTATTAGCCAATTTCGGTAATTCCAATGAAAATAAAGTTTTAACAATTAAAAAAACAGTCTATAAAATGTATCGCACGTTTTGTTAAATAATGCAATTTTACGATAACAAACAAACATCTTGAGTGTTCTTTTTGTGTCGCATCTAAGGGAAACAACTCAAACTAAATTTGTATTAGAGTGTCTCGCGAGTTGTTTGTTCTTGATGACTTTCAGCTGCACCATACTTTTTCGATTCTTTTAAAGGTAATGGTAAATTATTCAAAATTCACTATCAGTTTCAATGAAAGCATGAATATGTTAAGGATGTTGATCTAGAACGAACCTGGTTGTAGGTCTACATTTACAAGTTCATACTGCTTCTTTAAAAGTTCAACCCGTTCAATGTCAGCTCCTTGCTGCCCACCAGTTTTACCGTGATCAACTCTTCCACATTTATGTGTTCCTCTTAAAACCTAAAATGAAATCAATATTATATTCGATCTTTTAAAATGCAATTATTTCGCGCTCTTTTGCACAATAAAAATGATAAAATAAAGTATTAAATAAAACTTTTCTTTGATAATTCTACCCGTTATGAATGAAAAAGAATGAGTTAAATTACTTATATATAAATTACTTAAACAGATTCATTTAAGCTCGATTGCGAAACAAGTTCTTGCAAATTGCAAATGTAGAAACATGGTCGTGACCCGAGTAGAGTTGGGATCTATGATCTCTGGGTTGAGAGGCAGACACCTTAACCACTAGGCCATCGCTCCCCTTAAATGACACATAAATGAAGTTACCACAAGACCACCATTTTCCTGGGTACACTCATCTATCGCAATAAACACAGCCAACATATCAGGTCGAAGGCAGTAGTTGTACCAATATCTGTCGACGATAATAAATCTATCAATCTTCGGTAAACTTACAACAGGTGCTTTTGAACACAGTTAATAAAATGCAACAAGAGCCTACCTATAAGGAACCAACTGATATTATTATGAAGTTATTTTACAGTACAGAATATTATATAGAGGATATTTGTTTGTTTTGTATGTAAGATTGAAATATAATTTCACTGAGTGAACACCAGATGCAATATTTTCACGAGTGGCGTAGCCACGAGTGAAAATATAATAGCTGGTGTTCACGAATGAAATATATTTCAATCTTATATGTAAAACAAATAAATTTTCTTTTTATTTTATGCTTTTTAAGTGATTTTAAGTAATTTTTTACTGATTTTGCCGCGTAACGTCGCGCATTCTCCTTTGTGACGTCATTATATCATGACGTCACATCATCAGTTTTGAAATCTAGTTCCGTTAAATTTCTCTAATTTTGTTAAATTTCTAACATGATGTATGATGACATTGACTTTCTTTTCCTAAAGAAGCAAAATTTACGTACAACGGCATTTATTTCTGCCTGTTATTCCATTTATTTATGATTTTCTGTTCATCCGCATTCAGATATAGTCCGGCTACAGTGAAAATTATATTTTATAAATTTCACTAGTGGTTTATCAGAATATAATCATCTGATATATTACAATAAAACACTGGAAAGCATGAAATAAGAAGTTATTATACAGTACAGTGTAGTACTTAACAATATATAATGAGGTTATTATATGTTGTTAAGTACATGTACAATATTGAATCCTTTTGGACGAGTACATAGCGACCAAACCTTTATTGGACGGAACACTATAGCAAGACGAGTTGTATTTCAGTTTTGTAGCTGTTACGAGTCCAATAAAATCTGTATAGTACTGACCACTTTCTTTTACACAACCATTTATTGATATTTTGCAGAACTTTGTTTATCCGAGTACAATATGGATTTGATATGGAATTTTTAGAATGGAAGAATGAAAACGAGGCTGATTTGATAAGATTGGATCAAATACTTGTAATGTAAATATTGTGGGATTAGGAGAATACGCGATACAAGCTGGATTTCATTGGCTACATTTTATAAGGTGTATGTCAAACAGTCTAAACTATAGACAACAAGATTTGAAATTAAGGTGTGTTCTTGACGAATCAACTAACGCCAATCAAATATATATAGAGAGAGGGAGACTCTATATATACTTAATATTAGTACGTTGTAAAAGTTTAATCATTTCCATAGAACTATTTGCGATGCCATTTTATAATGATCATACATTCATTTATCATTACCCATAATCCTGGTGCCATTCAAAACTTCCGCCAACTTTTGGTTCTTTGATTAGAAATTTACAGTGGTAATGGTACAACTCCTCCACTCCAAGAAGCTGAAAATAACTTAAAAGTTTAATCTACAGACGATAAAAACATTCTATTTCACACGGGACATAAATAAGAATCAGGATGACTGTCTAAGCATGTATAATACGTCACATAACGAAATGATAACAACTTTCAGAACATGTAGTTATTCTAAAATCTCTCGAGTTAATAGTAAGTTCAACTTGAAATATTGAGCAGAATTTAGGTATTTATTCATTTGACTACTTGTTTTCATTTGCTTAAGATTAAATCATATTCCTACAAATTTTATTCATCTATGATTAAATGAAAGTATTTTACTTAAATATTTATTTATTCATTCTTACTATGTTTATAGTAAGTTGTAATATCATAATACTTCATCTTAATTCGTTTAATACCAATAAATTACTTTTTGTTTTAAACATGTGCTATTTCTACTTATTTAAAAGAAAGTGTGTTTTCTCGAACTTGTTTCTTACAAATGTATTTGTGCAACTCTTATTCCCATTCGATTCACCCTGAAAATAAATTTGTATGTAGAGGCTATAAGAATTGTTGTTATAGAGATTTATCCATATTCTTACTTTATGAAATTTTTAACATTAAACAACCTTAAGCGAAATAAAACTGACTCATTTCAATAAGAACAGCAGAACAAATAAAAAAAACTAGAAACCACGTGATTAATATTTGCTTTTTTGTGTCCTAGCTGGGTACCAGACCTAAAATTCTAGCGCAAAATCTAAGTAACTCATGTATCGCTTCGGTATTTTCCGTGAGCACAAGGTGTGAGGATACAATGCTACGCGGCGATTTAATCCCACACTACAGTAATGTAAGCCACAGCTTTGAATGGCCAGGGAGGATTTCTTGGATATAGTGAATATTCTGGATTTAACCTTTTACCCCATGAGCATATTGTGAAAAATGGCCGTTTTCATTGAAAAGCCTCCTGTTACAAGTTCAAACTGCTATGAAACTATGAAAAATGCTTCAATACTCATGAAACTTGGCACAAATGTTGACTGGACCATTGTAACAGTATGCTCAATCGTAAAAATTTTCTGTTACCATGGCAACGGGGGACGTCTCAAAATTGCGAAAAACCACTTTTTTGCATTGTTTTTCCATCAAAACTGATTTCAAAGTGCTGCAACTCCTCAATGAATTAACATAGAGTAAAAGGCTTTTTGACAGCGTCGGTTACTAGTTACCCTGAAATCGACCTGAGGCCATATTTAGCCGGTCACATGTCCAAATTTTCTTAGCGATGAGGGGGACTACCGCACCCTTCAAACCCCCAAACAGAACGGGGCACATTCCCCTTCTGGCAACCCCCTGATGTACTATTTTGATGGGGGCCGCGCCGAAAAGTGGTCACTTTTTAACAACATTTCTCAAATGAAAAACAGTGTTTGGGGGCTATATAGGGCGTTTTTCACTGTTTGAGGCCTCAAAAAGGGGGGGGGGGGGCAAAAAACCGTCAAAACATGTCTATATAAGGGAAAAGGCTAAATGACTGGTTGTCTTTAAAGTGCATTTTCAGCATGAAATTTGTTTTTGTGACATCTAATATGATCACTGGCAAATTCGAAACCATGGCCAGAAATCACATGCTGTTGATTATAGATGTCAAGGCCGCCATTTTTTTTAAACGTAGCTTTTAAACAGCATGCATGGTAAAAACAAGTCATTTTACAGGAGGGTACACTATTTTAGCAGTAGCAAAAATCTACAATGTTGAGCACCAGTTTCCTTGTGATATTTTGCATGTATAGGGAGTTGCTAAAGCAGAGACGGTGTTCCTTAAGCCTGTATGTTTGTAGGTATTTTTTGCCAGAGGGACGAAATGTGTTGTTTAGGGTCTCGGGCCACTGTAGCTTTTGGGCTTCAACGGAATGAATTGCAACTTTTTTGACTGCCTGCCTATTGCAGATGGGATGATTTCTTTGTAGATTTGCAATCTTATGTCATATATATTCTCAACAAAATGTGTTTTCTTTTTCCAGGTTGTGTAGTTTGGTATCAGAATTGTTAGACGTATTGCTTGTAGGACATTGACTGCAGGAACTTGAAATTAACTGTGGAGTGCTACCCTGGATTTCGTGGATTTTTTTTGAAGAGAATATTTCAACGGTTACACCGTCAGAAATTACGGACTTGTACGGAAATATTGGTTCACGGCCAGATGTATAAATTTAAATTTCAGATGTAATTTCGTATTCGTGTTATTGCAGTTTGTATTTATCTAGGTGCATTCGTATAGATTTTATTTCAGTGTTACGTAACCCACTTTGTATTCTTAAAAGAAAGGACGCTCAAGATCATAAGTTAAAACTAAATTATTCAAATTGAAAAGAAAGAAGTATGCAACATAATATCTAATCACTAGTTTGAACAAGAAGTAGAAACAATTGATCCTTACATTCTGCAGTATCAAAAAACAAATGTTTAACTGTCAATTAAAAAGTAGCAATTAAACTTCTTTTAATCAATTTAAATCTATATGATTATAGATAAGAATTTAATGAATACAAATATAAATTAGATAAATAGAAATTAAAAGATAACTAGCGAATAAATACCCAAATTTTGCACCATATTGAAACGCATGAAAGGGATGCAACTTTCATTGATACTATAAGCACAAAATTACGAACATTTGACAAAGATTTCAAGACCATGACAATTTTGCGATATTTTTCTAGTCGGCAAAATTGAAAAGCTATAAAATTTTGAACAATAATGATGATCTACATTAAGTAGATTTGCACGTGAAATACGAGGTATGTTCAAAAAGTTCGTGGACTTTTGCTGTCATTTTTTACTTGGTTATTAAAAACATCCTTGCTTGATATGAATCGAAATTATGTCTTTATTTCTAAAAGTAAGTTTTACTTTTATCTTATAATTTTACATCCGTTGCAAACTATGTGCACTTTAATAACCATGACAACGCAACATCGGCGCACGCCAAGATTTTCATATTATGTTTAAATATAAACAAATGTTGAAATAAATTTAACGGTTATTTCATAAGGTAAAATGCGGGTAAACATCTGTTAATATTTAAATAACATGACTCTGAAATTCGACGTCATTTTGGACGTTGAATGGCTAAACAAACAAGAAGCGTTAATTGCGAAATGTGAAGTCCGTTTAAAAACCAAAAATTCACTTTTTCGGGAAGTTTTGCCATCAAAATAAGGATACTTTTTCATCTTCATATGAGGTGGTTAAATTAACAAAGGAAACTGGTCTGCTACCTGGTCACTCGGTTTCAACTGGCGCAAGTGATTCAAAAACCGGCGAATAAATTGACCACGGACAGAAATAGGCGAGGGAGAAAGCGGTCAATCGTCACGACGTTTTGAACGTCAATTACAAAAGTTTAACAGGAGGATGGACAGTATGAAAGGTGTGCGAGCTGTCCGGCATGTTTAATACCTGCATCAGGTCTACACATTCAATTCTGACCAAACAATTAAATTTAAACAATATTTTATATTATTCATCAGGATGCATACATATTTACAATTAATAAATGTAGCTACTATTTGCATTACATTTATTTTCCCTAACTTGTTTGATATTAAATGCTAGACGTGTTCAGTAGATTCACCGCAGATAACAATTGTCAATTGATAACATATTTTTTTACTGTAAAGAATCATATTGTTTAAAGATCAGGCAATGGTGGTTTTAAACTGATACTATAAATCACCATTTGAATCAAATTGATACCAATGTCCTTAAAGTGTCAAGATTACTCAAATTCGTGATAAAGAAAGGGGTTAGCTCTCGGACTCTTATTCGGAGAATGGAGCGAAATGTGACCGCTTTCTTTCTCGCTACATTATAACAAACAGAAAAAAAGGTTATGGTTAAATAATTTGGAGACATAGAACTCACGAAAATGAACTTTTAGAAGCAATGACGCTTATAAATATCGACGTCACGAACGTCATTTTGTTTAATCATTAGCGTGCGCCGGGTCGCGTAACACTTGTTACTTGTAATTTTCACAGAATTGTTATTTGTAAACACATTTTACTGATTTTTTCACTGTATTTAAGGACATATTCCAATATTTGTATCTTGTAAAATCGTGTACGCAAATTAAAAGATGTGAACAGTAGTGCCGCAATCCACGAACTTTTTGAACAGCCCTCGTATGTATAAAAATCACCTTTTCTGCTGTAGTAACGACCTTTTCACATCTCGTCATCATACCTGTGACGTCATTTCCTGGATGCTGCCATAAACCAATATTCGGGGAGCGGCCATCTTTGTCCGGTATCTATAACCAATTTTACAAGAAACACCATCAATGTGCAACATCAAATCGGCTAAATTAAATTTGGTACAAAATATTTGATACAACCCCCACATGACCACGCCAAATTAATGTTATCACAAAGCACCGTATATTAAACACCAATTTCTGCAAGCATTTTGAAAATTACTTAAGTATGGTGGCTGATTTGTGTCATTCGTATTTTCACCCCGCGACCCCGCCAAGCGAAAAGTCGAGAATTTACAAGTTAAAAGGGCGGGGTCGCGGGACGAAAAAAACGCTAATTAGCGAGGGCGCGGGACGAGATTTAAGAAATAAAACGGCGAGGGCGGGGAGCGAAAACACGCTCCGCGCCCCCGTGGGACGAAGTTTTATAAAACAAGACTAAAATTTTCCCCATTGTTGATGTCTTCTAGACGCCGCTTGCACACGGCGTCTAATAAAAGAAGTGATTTCGTGACTTCACACTATGTCGTATGTAGCGATTTCCCGTATTTGGTATATTAATTTTGGTCTCAACCCATTACGGAAAAAGTAGATGGCTAACCTATTATATATTGGGCCTCATTGGACTAAGATAGTGTTAATGTTTAAAGTTGAATTCATCAAGAACAGTGGAATACAGAATTAAGCTTCAAATGTGATTGATTTATTACAGAACAATGAATACGAAAATTCAACGGGCCGAGTCCATTTGTATGAGATCAATATGGGGGGGGCATGGGATTTATAATTCAGGGGTTCGTAGTTTAATCTTCGGGCGAGGCGAAATATCGTCATGATAATTTATCTTCAACGTTGAGTCTAATTGACAAATCCGTTTTCCGACCTTTCATTTCAATAACAATAGATTTCACCACAGACATTGACATGTGCTCAAATATGTTGTAATGAAATTCTTTTTGTATCCACGTATCTAATATATAGAATCAAACAGGTCAGGGATCTATGTATAGCTATGTCTCACCATCACCAGGTACATGTAGAAAAATAGATAATCCAGGAACGGCAATAAGTTAGATTGACTGTCCCGATTTGATCTGATCAAAAATTGTGTAATAGTCGAAACAAAAAACAACACAAAAAAACAACATCAAAAAAACACAGTTAAATACACTGCAATTGACTATATATATATATATATATATATATATATATATATATATATATATAGGTTTGTGAAAAATATTTTGCATCTACAAAATACCTTTCAAAAACACTGGATCCAAAGAAGGATACAAGAACGTGGAAAAAACAATAAATTTGGAGAAAATAAACGTTCATACAGTGCTAAAGTATAAATACCCAAGTACTTTCGGCGTATTGTGCCTTCATCAGGGGTGTATTACATGTATAATGTGCACACAATAGAGCACAAAATCTCAATTTGAACTTTTTGATACTATACAGTACACACGTATTGAGATTTTGTGCTCTATTGTGTGCACATTATGCATGTAATACACCCCTGATGAAGGCATAATACGCCGAAAGTACTTGGGTATTTTTTTACTTTAGCACTGTATGAACGTTTATTTTCTCCAAATTTATATATATATATATATATATATATATATATATATATATATATATATATATATATATATATATATATATATATATATATATATATCGGCTGTTTGACGTTTTCAGCTTATATTTACCTTATACGAATGCTCCATCATTCCTCCTTCAACTATAGTTTTTTCAATCTTGCGTACTTCATCTTTATTAAACAGGTTTCTGAAAATGTGCATGTTTTTGCAAATGAAGTATATTTTTAATTCAATGCTTGTATACTTTAGAAATGCACTCTTTAAAAATCATGTTTATTAAAAGAGATAATCAATATGATATTTCGTGACGATGTTGAAGTTAAGACTACAGAGCTGTAATGCAATAAGAAATGTACAACATTACAGAAATAAGCCAGGCTTAAATTTTTTATATTTTCTTTTTTAATCCAAGTCAGTGGTGTAGTGTTAAATATTTTGTAGAATTATAAGCCGGCGGTGTAAAATGCATGATCACAGAAACAATATGTTAAACACATTTGTGAAATAGAAAAAGAAAAGTTTCTTGCTTTAAGCCTTTTAATGGACTTGTATACATATAATATGGTGTCTGCTATACTGATTAAGAGATATTTGAAAGTGAACTGTTTATTCGTCGTCTTGTTTAGAAACACATATTATAGCATAAATTCGGCTATTTTTCCCTCTTTTGCCCATGTTATAACGGGACCAAAACCATGTGTTAACATAGTCACGCGCTCTTGTTAAAGCCCAGTTTTACCTATCCGCAATACATAAACAAACAAAAAATGACGATTTGGCCTTGTTTGCCAAAGAGTCATGCGCTTTTGTTATATTGAAATTATTGATTCGAGGGCATCAATCGCATAAGTAACGGCGAGCAGCATTCAAGTAACTATGCCGGAAATACGGCGTATAGACATCGCCGCTAATCTTAGTTGTCGCCCTTTCTAAGAAACGGACCGTTGTCAATGTAAACAAACCCTCCGAGTAACTTACAAAACAAGATAACACAAAATGAATATGAGAAAATGTTGTTTTATTGATGTTTATATTGATAAATGCTCTTTATATTTCTTTGAGAGAATAATGTTTAGTGCCTGATTTTTTTTATAAACTTGTGTGCTTGAAAAAAAAAACGATTCTGATGTCATTGATCTTTTTTCTACCGTCAATCAGAAATAATTCTAGGAATTTCTGAGGGTCATGTTTTGCCTTGGGTAGAGTAATTCACAGACACTTGGGGTTTGGAGCTCAAAACGCCTTTAAAATCCAAATAAAATGCATATTTATCAATCCCAGCACATGTACTGATCATATATATATATAAAAAAACTTTAATATAAGCCGTTTTGAAAAAATGTCATATTTCAACATCTATAATTATTATAGATGTTGAAATATGATTTTTTTTTTCAAAACAGCTTATATTTAGTTTTCTTTATATATATGATCAGTACATGTGCTAGGATTGACAAATATGCATTTTATTTGGATTTTAAAGGCGTTTTGAGCTCCAAACCCCAAGTGTCTGTGGAGTAATTTAATGTGTATTGTTTCTTAAGTTGATAAATCTCCAATGTTAAGCTTTGTTAAATCAATTAAAATTCGAAATTTCGTCCGGTTCTGAGCATTTATATTTCCAAAGATGTTGGCCCCGGAAGAATAAAACGCATATGTAAAACATGTAGAATTGGATAAATACCGTCCAAGCACAAGGATTTAATGTATGTGTTTTGTATTAAATCGACATCATGAATCTGTTTTAAAATTTTATGCTATAATAGGTTAACGCACGTTTATTTCGTGTTATAAAGTCTGCAGAGTCCCTCGGAACTGTTGGAGCCCTCGCCCTACCGGGCTCAGGCAACAACCGTTCCTCGGGACTCTGCAGACGTTATAACACGGAAAAACGTACGTTAACCCTATATTATAAAATGTTCAAACTTTCACTTACCGAATTATAGTATATCCATCTTTGTCAAAGTTTTTCTTCATATCATCTGATACTTCAAAGTTGTCAATGTCATACTTGTACTCGGTAGCTAAACATGAAGAATAATATGAGCCGCGTCACGACAAAACCAACGTAATGCGTTTGCGACCAGCATGGAATCAGACCAGCCTGCGCATCCGCGCAGTCTTATCAGGATCCATACTGTTCGCTTACAAACCCTATTAAATAGAGAACAGCATGGATCCTGATCAGACTGCGCGGATGCTCAGACTGGTCCTGAACCATGCTGGTCGCAAACGCATAACGTTGGTTTTGTCGTGACGCGGCTCATATAATAAATAATAAATAAAATAAATAAAACACCCTCCTTAAAATCAAAGACTTAATAAGCGATTGCAGAGTATATTTTATTACGTTCCGGGTCGTTTTCTATGTCCTTTAACTGTCCTTATCTAAATAAATGTATTAGACTATCAATAAAATATATCAAAGAAAACATATTTTTATGTTAACTGAGATTGTACCGGAATGGACTTAATACCGAGACCTTACTGTATTTTATCTATATCGGTAGAGTGATTTAAACCATATATAGCTTTTCGTATTATCATCTCAGTTACGTTACCTAGCGTAAAGTATAGGAACCTACGTTTAATATGATGGACATACTTTAAAATGTTAAATGCACACACATAGTTTTAATAATCGAATTTGAATAATATCATGGTTTAAGTTATAGAGTATTTTCCTCCCTCGCAAAATCTCAGTCGCACAGCACGAATAGGTGCAAAAGCTTTAGTGGTTTAAAACACAACAAAACGCAAGCATTTTTAATATCATATCATCACCTTAGTGCAGTAACGGGTTAAGTCCTATTATAGTTCAACAGGTGTTAACCCGTTACTGCACTATGGTGCTGTCGTTTAATGTAGATAAACTGGTAGAGTATTAATCAAATAGAAGAAGAAACTTTTAAAAACTAAACAGTTTATGATATTATTTATAAATTATTCAATATTTTCAGATAAGTTGATGATAGAAAATAGAAAAGACTTACACATATTTAAATATGAATGTATGTATCCAAACACATAAGATTAAGCTTGTGCAGGCGAACTGTAAACGGTTACAACTGATAGATACTGTGTGAGATATGATAGTAAACACAGCATAAAGTCCAAAAAGGTGAATTACGATCATATATATTGTAACGCAATACAATATTAAACCAAACTTTTGAATTAAAAGTCTACCAGGCAATACGTTACTTTTGAATTTGTATTTATATGTGAGCTTGTAATAAAATAAAACAAAAAAACACATGATTGTTATTAAAATTTGCAACTTTTGAAAACCAATTGTATGTTGTTCTATACCGCAAATTAGCCATAGAAAAGGGGAGAAAAGAGGCAGTCTATTTCTTATTTTTATTACATGCTTTTCGTTGGTTTATAATAATATATCAGTAAAATATAAAAAATGATAATTTCACTGTTTAAACAATGAAATTATCAGTTTGATATTTTCATTATTTTGAATTTAAGCCCCTTACGTTGTTTCAATGACCAACTTCGTAAAAGATGTCACGTTGTATTATAATTTGGCGCGCTTTTCATATAGTATTACGTTTAAATGTCTTTTTAAACGTTTCTTTGCATATAATACAAAGAAAATTTTTGTTTAGTTTAGAATAAGATTGGAATATATTTCACCTCATGAACACCATAAGTTCATATTTCACTCGTGGCTACGCCACTCGTGAAATATACCTTAAGATGCTCACTCGGTGAAATATATTCCGATCTTACACTGAACTAAACAAATATCCTCTATACAATGTATAACATACACCCCCGAGGCCCGTCTACAATAACTTATTAACAACCTCTCTCCCACCATAAATAAATAAATGAAAATAATTAATATATGAATAAATTAATTAGATTTAATAAATTAAAAAAACAATAATGAATTAACAAAAATAAAAAATAAACAAGTAGGTAGGTAGGTATTATGTGTCAAAAACTAATTCATAGTCCATTTTCCATCGCCTCTTACTTCAAATCTGGTAGTTTGGAGTAAAATTTCCAAATTATTTGCCAATTCGCAAGTATTGACCTGAATATTTCAAGTCTTCATCTTTGCCATACATTATTACCTTATTATATTATTATAATGCAAAATTGCAAACATAAAGTCCCGGCTAACAAATTTCTACCCGATTTTTCAAATGTTCCGGAGTTCTTGTACTTTTTGGAAACATAGGTTTGAAGAAATTACCCTGGTTTTATACATGCACTTGTTTATTATGGTATAAAATGATACAAATTACTTAGCCCTTTAGATAAGCGATGCACAACTATATAATACTTGCTTAAGAAAGATAGCTGAAAACAACGTGACAGTTTTGAGACATTTTGTTTTGTGGTTTAGGCCATGATACTGCCGCTGATTCAATCTTAACTGTAGATGATAACCTATCACATGTTTATCCTTTGTAGACACTCAAGACCAACATTTTATACACTTTTTTGTGCACAGGATGAGCGTAATATATTTCATAAGTGTTTACAACCTTATTGAATAATAAAAACCGCTAAAACGTGCCGTGATTTAGCACAAGAAACATATTGGCAGTAACAAAAGTTATCATAAGAACTCCAGGACATATTTTGAGGTATCACAAGAACTTCGGAACATTTGAAAAATCGGGTATAAATTTGTTAGCCGGGGCTTTATGTTTGCAATTTTGCATTATGATTAGGTAATTATGTATTGCAAGAATGAAGACTTGAAATATACAGGTTAATACTTGCGAATTGGCAAAGAATTTGAAAATTTTACTCAAAACTACCAGATTTTAAGCAAGAGGCGATGAAAAATGGACTATGAATTAGTTTTTGACACATAATACAATATGTAAGGCAAGCTTAATCATTAAAAGTTTAATTTAGCACCTAAATTTCACTTTTTAAAGATGAAAATTACTATTTTTGACGAGTATTTTTGCAGTATATACAATAGTTTTCCGACGAACTCCGTGACAGTTATCACAAGAACTCCTTGACAAGTTATCATACGAACTCCGTTTAACATACTTTGAAAAATGTATAACCGTTATCATAAATTTAGTGGTATTGATTAACTTTGTTCATAGTACACTAAGATTAGCACGAAAACTTCGTGCATCTTTCCTGATTTGATGACACGCCCCTGATTTTCCATTATCGTCAAAAATGTATAAATGTGTACTATTTTGAGTACTTATTTATAGAAACGTTTGCATAAAACGTGTGAATAAAATCGGATTACTTGTTTTCTATTATTTGTTTGTTCTAAAAGATTGGAATAAGTTAAACTAAATAAAACTGTTGTTCAGTCTGGATTAGTTACACGAGTTCGTAAAAAGAGACCATAGATTCAAAAAGAACGCTTTTTGGCTGAGTCTGTCCAAAATACGTAGGTATAAACAAAATTTGTAACTGTATTTGCACTTACATAGAGAAAGAAATAAACTGACATTAACGGAATAAGATTTCTTTGGCAAACATTTTGAAAAATAAATTAATAGAAAAACCTTTTAATCACTGTTGATGTAAATTACCTTAGTGATAATTTTAGATTTTATGGAAAATCATTGCTTTCAATACAATTGCTTGTTTCATAAGTTTAAGGTTAACTATCCAACGGTAACTAATCAAAGAGGATTTAAACGCTCATTCATTGGTCAGTTCATTATTAGGCCCTGAAAGGTGACAAAAGTGTTACAAGCTTCTACTGATCTAGGAAGCGCGTGACATAAAAAATGGTCCGATGTCTCACGTAGCTTAATCAGTGTCACCCTGCTTTCACACCAAGCTAGTTCTTAACACGTCTAACCAGTTCCTGGAAATATTCTTGAACGGTCTGTGGTCTAATTGCATTGTATAAATTTCGCATGAAAATATCAACAATGCGATCGATCCTAAATAGTTATAAACCGTTGGTGATACGTCAATGCCGTCTTTACTTCTTCTGAAGCTCATTTATAAATCTGGTAAAATTGTCCGGTAGCATCGTATTTAATCAGTTTGAATGGCGTCTGCAGTTAAGTTTAAATCCGCTGTGTTGCTAGTTCCACTCCGTTCCTTATCACGGGGGAGGAAGTGTTACACGAAGGATGGAGTTCTTATGATAACTTGTTCAGGAGTTTTTGTGATAACTGTCACGGAGTTCGTCGGAAAACATCTGTATATACTACAGAAATACTCGTTAAAAATGGTTATTTTCATCTTTCCAAAATGAGTTTTAGGTGCTAAATTAAACTTTAATGATTAAGCTTGTCTTACATCTTGTATTATGTGTCAAAAACTAATTCACAGGCCATTTTTAATCGCCTCTTGCTTCAAATCTGGTAGTTTTGAGTAAAATTTTCAAATTATTTGCCAATTCACAAGTATTGACCTGTTTATTTCTGGTCTTCATCCTTGTCATACATAATTACCTAATTATAATGCAAAATTGCAAACATAAAGCACCGGCTAACAGATTTATAGCCGATTTTTCAAATGTCCCGGAGTTCTTGTGATAACTCTGAAGATGTCACAGAGTTCTTATGATAACTTATGTTATTGCAAGTGTGTTCCTTGCGCTAAATCACGGCACGTTTTAGCGTTTTTAATTATTCATTGAGATTGTAAATCATTTTGACATGTAGTACGCTCATCCTTTGCGCAAAAAAGGATATATAACGTTTGTTTTGAGTGAATTTTAGTTCAAGAGATATTTTTTCTTTCCCCCTGTTTCTTTTTCATATTATACTTTTTTGTTTGACTTAGATTTCGTAGATTTGAAAAATGATTTATGTACTGGTTTCCTAGCAGTTTCCAGCCCCTAGCAGGTTTCTGGCCCTTTATCATTTTCATCCAGGCATACAGTCTATTTTTTCTCAGTACAGCATCTATGTTACTGCATCAATCAGAGAAACATTTGTTTTCTACGTAATACAGCAGTTATAATAGTACAGCGATTAATATGTTTCAGAGTTTTGTCTGTTGTTTTAAGTTACATTAGAGGACTTGCGACACTTACAAGCAACACCTGGGGAATTATAGTTTGAATCCCATTCTAGGTAAATCTGGAACCTGGAGGGACAGTTCAAATTTTTTCGAGAGATTGGTAGTTAGAGCCAACCGCAGTTGAGTTTTTATCATGTATCGTACTTTTTTTAAGACATAGGTGTGGAAATTATCCTGGTTATATACTTATTTATTATGGTATAAAGTGATACAAATTACTTAGCCTTTAGATAACTTAAGGGAAGCATGCCTATATATTGTCTGCTTAAGAAATGTGGTTGCTTAAAACATGTGAAACTGAGAACAACGTGTACGTTTTGAGACATTTTTGTTTTGTGGTTTAAGCCATTATACTGCTGAATATCAGTGGCTGCTGGTTCAATTTTACTGTAGATGATAGTCTATCACCTATTTATCCTTTGCAGACACTTGAGACCAACGTTTTATCCACATTTTTTGTGCAAAGGATGATCGTACTGCATTTCATAACGATTTACAATCTTATTGAATGATAATAAACGCCAAAACGTGCCGTGATTTAGCCAAAGAAACACACTAGCAATAACAAAAGTTATCATAAGAACTCTGTGACATCTTCAGAGTTATCACAAGAACTTCGGGACATTTGAAAAATCGGCTATAAATCTGTAAGCCGGTGCTTTATGTTTGCAATTTTGCATTATAAATAGGTAATTATGTATGGAAAGGATGAAGGCCACACAAAAACCGGTCAAAACTTGTGAATTGGCAAGTAATTTGGAAATTTTACTCAAAACTACTAGATTTGAAGCAATAGGCGATGAAAATTAGCCTGTGAATTAGTTTTTGACACATAATACAGGATGTAAGACAAGCTTAATCATTAAAGTTTAATTTAGCACCTAAAACTCATTTTGGAAAGATGAAAATAACCATTTTTGACGAGTGTTTTTGTAGTATATACAGATGTTTTCCGACTAACTCCGTGACAGTTATCACAAGAACTCCTGAACAAGTTATCATAAGAACTCCATCCTTCGTGTAACACTTCCTCCCCCGTGCTTATACCGCATGAACGACTTCGTAACACGACCACCTCGTTCTGACCACGTCCTCATCACGTCAATACTGCGTTCAGATTGTCATTGCAATCGCGTCTTGGCTTGTCAACTATAAAACCTCAGCAATTTTCTGCCAGTCTTTATTCTAGTTCAACCGATCAAACTCACAACATTTGTAATCATCATGCCTCCAAGAAAGTGAATGTCCTTTCGTCTTTCCCGTCTACCATCTCATTGTATCAATGCTCTGCTTGCAAAAAAAAAAAAAAAAATAAATATTCATTGTTCTGGGCGATTGCGGACCAGTAAGGAAACGTTTCATGGGGAAAACGTTGTAATAACTGCTTTAAAACGCAATAAACGCACTTGAAACGAGTTAAGCGTACATGTACTGAGAACCGGTTATGACTGGATAAAGACGACTTGCAACCTTGTACTTGATTTATTGTTTTCGTTAGAATAACGAAGTGATAACCTGTGAAAAATATGACCGAGTTGCAAACAGACAGATCGGTGTAAACGGGTAAACTCTTATGCGACATGATAACGTTATTGCGTGTCCCAAGTAAGATCGACGTACGGCAATTGCCTTCGAAATACTTTTGTCTCGGTTTAAGTACGTTGATTGTCCGCATAATTGGAGAACTGAAATTTTAAGTTGGCTCAAAATACTTCGTCACCATTCTTAATATCAAACGCATCGGCGTTTGTCCATGTAATTCTTTTACTACCTCTCTGTTTACGCACTGTTAACGTCCGTTAGGCCACGTGTGGGTATTACTTGGTAAAAATATAAACGGATTAACAAATAAATAGAATATTGCTTTAATTTATGTCTTAATATTTAACTGTTTGATCATATTATTCTCGGTTTTTTTTTGTAAATCTATCTTAATCAACGACCTTTTTTTATCATATCTTAAAAGCCCTTGACTCTCGATCTGTATTCGTCGAGGTAACATGCCCCAGAATGAATCATCATATTATTGCAAACAACCGTTTATTACGGTCATATAACCTGTCAGGAATATTTATCACGAATCTTTAATACAGCAAGTTCCTTTTTTGAGGAAAAAGTGAGATTTCAGCAGCCGTGTATATTATTAGTTATAATGATCGTTGACAGGTTATATGGCCCTATATAAACGGCTATTTGTAAATATAACCCGAGCCGTAGGCGAGGGTTATATTGCAAACAGCCGTTTATATATACGGCCATATAACCTGTCAACAATCTTTATAACGAATTTATAATACAGCAATTATCATTATTAGAGAATAAAGTAAGATTTCTTCATGAATCGACAGCAGCCGTGTATATAAAACTATATAAACGTCACGATTATCCAATGAAAAATAACGTTACAAACGTGCAGTATTATAAAAAACTATATAAACGTCACAATTATCAAATGAAAAGCGACGTAACAAACGTGCAGTATTATAAGAAGTCCTAACATAAGCTCTGTATTGGCTTTAGATAAAGTAACTAAATAAAGTAATTGTAATAGTTGCAAATCACAATATTTTGCACACGTTTGACACATTGACAGCTTATATTCAATTTTGTAAAAAAACGGGGTAAGAATTTATGCAAGGGATGGGAAACAATTCGAACAAAAATATTCGATTAACACTTGCAGAGTTCTCGTCCCGCCAATACATTTCTGATTATTATGCACACTGATTTTGTTATCTTCCTACAAGTATTTATGCTATCAAATAAATATTTTATTCTAATGTGATTGGCATTCGTCAGGCAATGAACTTTTCGATTAAACATACACACATATATGAATGAAATAAATTAATACAATAAATAAATAAATAAATAAATAAATAAATAAATAAATCAATTTATTATTTAATGTATATATTAGCTAAGAATGAATGAATGAATGAATGAATGAATGAATGAATGAATGAATGAATGAATGAATGAATGAATGAATGAATGAATGAATGAATGAATCGACGCCTAACATACAGAATAATGTGCACTGAATTATCGTCAAACTATTCCGTTTCAATTTTCAACCATGTACACGAACTTTCATTTCCAAAAAATAATCAAATATTCAAAAACACATTAGTTCTGCGTATGTGCACTTTGCAATAACGGGCATTTGAGGGCTTGAAAATGAGCCAACGTCCAGGGGATAGGCTTCAAAAACGTTTATGCGTCTCTTTTAAAAATGAAACTTTTCAAATATTCACAAGATAATCAGAACTATTAATCGGAAGGTAAATAAATTCACGGAGAAAGCTAGATAACCCGAATTGCTTACCATTTCATTTATCAAAGACATAAGATAATTGCCGCGAGGAAGGGCGTATACGCCCGTAATTTTTCACCATACATTCTTTAAGTTTTTACAATTATAAAAGATAGGCAAGATTATTTGATTACTTCGGTAAATATTGAATGGTTATTGAAGCCCGGACAGGTCTTTAGGGGTTAACTTATCATATGTACTCATTCCGTACTTTGAGGGTAAACGTTTATTTTGTTTTTTCTAATTATATTAAATTAGAAATATTGTAGTATTTTAGAAAAATAATCAAATTAAAAACCACAGCGGGGAGATAAATGGCCATAATACATAATATCCGGCATCAATTGTTCAATTGTAACGGAGAAATTTCTTATAATCCGAGGCCCATAGATTACTAAATCTTACAAAAAAATAAAAATAAATGAAGTTTTTTTTATATATTCACAATGAATTATATCATCATTAAATGTTAATTTAATACTTTTTTTATTTCAAAGACTTTGCTCCAAGTAATGAGTCCATTGTGTAATTTACTTTAATGTTATAATATCATTTGGCAAGGGTTCCACACGGGCCTCATTTTATCTAATAAGGTGTTAATCTACAAGTCCTTACGCAATTTAATTACGATCTTCTCTTAACGAATGGTCAGTTTGAATACTGGTAGTTCTTTTCGAGTTAATGAAGTGTCCATGAAGTTGTAGTTTAAATAAAGTATATTTAGACCATTGGATTATTTGAAGATAACAAAAAACTAAAATAAGACCATTTTCGAAAATTGGTTGAACTGGAATATAAAATCACTTGCTATCAAAGGATTGCCTATATTCCAGACTTATCGGATAAGGGTAGTGTTATACCTTTCTCTATATAAGGAATTTCGGATTATTAAAACTCATTTTCGTTTATAGATGGTATGTAATTTTATAGTCAACTATTAACGAACTATTTATTTTTAATTTATAGTTCACATCGGTCTTGACATATACAATGGCACCGTATTTCTGAAATAATAGTTAGTCGAAACTACATTTCCCTTTATTCCTACCACGTGCAAGAACAACTAAAAACGATGGCATATTTATGGATTTCTTAAAAACTTTAAATAACAATACTTAACTACTAGTGAAAACAATTACATTTTTATACTGTAACAATAATCTTCTGCTTTAACAAATGTTATTTTCGTAGTTTAGGAGAACATGTAATGATGGTATTTTAGCATGCCATAATCTTTTGAGTCAGAGAAATGTTTTGTAATATTATATTAAACTTTATTTCATTTCGACTTCATTACCATTTTAATAAGACGTGTCAACACAAGAAACATGTTTTTGTTCACAAAGATTTAATACAAGTACACATATTTAACGCACCTTTCCATTACTTTTTTGAGATTCAACATGTTTTTTTTTTTTTTTTTCGACTTTTTCCTCTTTTGTTGTTCTGTAATCGAATTCCGGACGAGGGAAAAAAGAAAAGAAAGAAAAAAAGAGTCAACGATTGTTTGTGATCTTTGCAGGACAGGTGCATAAAGGTTGATGTAAAATACGTTGAAGAATCAAAGGTTCTAAATATACGAACTGTGTATTCAAACGTTTTATACGAGTATACACATATTAAGGCAGTTATATAGATGGTGCGAGTGTACATATATTAAGGCAGTTATATATATGGTACGAGTTTACATATATTAAGGCAGTTATAATAATGGTACGAGTGTACATATATTAAGGCAGTTATATATATATGGTACGAGTGTACATATATTAAGGCAGTTATATATTATGTGGTACGTACGAGTGTACATATATTAAGGCAGTTATATATATATGGTACGAGTGTACATATATTAAGGCAGTTATAATTATGGTACGAGTGTACATATATTAAGGCATTTATATATATATGGTACGAGTGTACATATATAAAGGCAGTTATATATATGGAACGTACGAGTGTACATATATTAAGGCAGTTATATATTATGTGGTACGTACGAGTGTACATATATTAAGGCAGTTATATATATATATATGGTACGAGTGTACATATATTAAGGCAGTTATAATTATGGTACGAGTGTACATATATTAAGGCAGTTATATATATATGGTACGTACGAGTGTACATATATAAAGGCAGTTATAAAAAGTACTTTTTTGTAGGAGCTGGTTTCAGCAAGACAGACAAAACTCTTTCATGTACATACGTATCAACGGGTAAACTGCAATTTTAACGTTCATGTGTGTTTTTTTATTTTCTTTTACTTTATTTGATCATACTACAATCTTATATATTTGGTTTGACATTATTCCAGCAACAATTGTATATTTAACTGATTGGCAACCACTGTTTCAAGTAGTTTTGTTAACAGTTTGTACCACCAACTATTGTTAACATATAGTGATATTGTCTATAGACGTGGCCCATAAATTCATATTCCCGAAAAGGCCCATCAATGACAAACAAGTTCGTTATCGCGGTTCACGTCACCCGGACCGCATGCAAAGCCAGAATTGAAAAGAAGATTAGAATGTTCCTTAAGTTATACACACTGGAAAAGATTCAGGGTATATATACTGCTCATACATTACAGGCGTACGTTTTTTTTGGCGTTCATATTTTTAATGCCTGTTTACAAATCTGGCCGATGAGAGTTTAATATCAAAAATGTGTGTAACAACTTTTATATAACAACAGTTAATATTGTACATTTTGTTGCAAAAAAAAAACAAAACAACAAAAAACTTGAGAACATAAACAGCACGACAATTGAATTGCCTTAGAATTTTGTTTGTTTTCGCACTTACTCTTCAACAATCAGTTAACATACAATAGTAAATTTGTCAAATGGAACCCTGTCATTTTTTAATGAGTATGGTTTAAATAAGAACTATATCTATTTGGATGCATATTTTTTATACGTTTTATCCTTATCACTTATTTTTGGAACTGTTTTTTTATTTTCGTATGCAGACAATTACCTAAATGGTTATCGTCATATCAAATTCCGCCATTTTCGATCGCTAGAGTCTCGGTGTAAAAGCATTTTATTTAAGAAAAAGTTTGGCGAATCTGTGAGGTCTGATCATGGCCTGCACTGTTCGTTATTCAGTCAGTACCTAAATTAAAATGTAGATTGAAGAATGAACAAATCTATTTAAGGTATTTAGCGTGGCAAGGGTTCGAACTGGATTTCGAAATGCGCAAATGTGCTTTAATACATTGCAAAATGATTTAATTAATGTTATTACTGACTATACGAATTGTTATCATACTAGACTTACTATAAAAATACACTATTAACGTGTTTATATGATAAGTACTACGTATTTCTATTTTAGATGGGGACGTAACCTGACATTCAGTAGAACAAGACGCTTCATAAAAGGAATGTTCCCGACGGTGAGGGTGAGTACTTTGACATGATTCTTGACACATTACTCCGGCTGTCCATGATTCTTTAGAAGTTCAATGCGTCTCTGTTTCTTTTTATCATATTGAAATGAATCAAAATTATTGCGCACAAATCTTGACCTTATTGAGATGCTGTGCAGACGACAGGTTATGCAAAATGTTGTGCTTTCTCTGTATTTCTTGACGTTATTGAAATAGCTGGAAATTATTTGCAGAAATGTCAGCTATGGCATTATGCACAGGGTTGGTTTAACAAACAATTTTCTGTCCGTCCATTGTTGAGCATATTGTATGTCTGGTCCGTATCAGAGTAGATCAGAGGTATTTAACAAAAATTCAGAGCGCCTCGCCTCTTAATCATAATCATACCGGAGACAGCACAGGTTGAAATTAGTTCTAGCACCTTACTTACAATCTGTTTAAATAACCAGAGGGTGTTTAATGAGTAGCAAATGTATCTTATGGACATCCAAAAGAAAATAGCCCTTTCCGATAAAATCATGAGTGAAAAGTATGTCAATCAGAATAAATAAAAGATTTGACATTGACGTAAGATTGTAACCAAGTTAAACATATCATCAACAGGTAAACGTGCGCATTTTCGGTTTCTACAAACATAAAAAGTAATGTTATTATCTCATGTTTACTTTAATATTCTATAGATTTAATTTATTTAGGTGGATTTTATAAATGCGCGATATAACGGAATAACTTAAGTCAACAAATCCAAGCATTTGTCTTTTACTTGTTTAAGTTAGACTGCAATACCGAAACCATTCTTTTGTGTTCGAAATACTTTTCCGAAGTTTAACGGAAATGCCCGAAAAGTGCCAATTGGTAGAATGACATTGAACTGTAAAGACAAAAAAAAACGTAATAAAAATGATAACATTAACAAATGTATTGCACCATGGTGGAAATCATTGATCACGGCCAATGATTGTCACTGGCTACTTGAGGCATACATGTATTTTTTTCTGTCTGTCATTCTGTCTCATTTTTAGCACTTACTTGTTAGCTCTTTCTTTTATCTGATTAAGGTTTTAATAATTTTATGGTCAAATGTGTATTTAATTGGAATGATTACATTCGTTTATTACATGTTCCGAAATTGCTGGCATGTTAATCTCCTTTGATAAACAGTGCTACTCGCTTAATCTTTTTTGGAGAACTAAATAATAAAAAACGCAAATATAGAATTTGCCCCCCCAAAAAAAAAAAACAAAAAAAAACGATTTCATAGACGGACATTGAAGAAATGAATATAACCAAAAGTAAATCCATACATTTATGAAGGCAGACGAAGTTAAAACGTGTTAACGTGCAATTTTAAAATAATCAAGTTATCAAAATTCGAATTTTAATCTTTACAATATTGATGACATAGAATTAGAGCTAAATGCGTAAAGACAAAATATTTGCTTGAATTTGGATGCACATATCCAAAGTATACAGCTTACGTAAGTTGAATACGTTGTCAACTTACGAATAGAGCTCACCGTAAGATGTATACGTTTTCACCCAAAGTATACGGCTCACGCGTAAGCTATGTATGTCGTAAGCCGTATAGTTTGCAAAATGATAATGATTGCATGCAGTGATGATTGATATTTTTTACGATTACATACATTTATGATGATTTATATAGAATTGGACCGCCACTGATTATTTTGTAAAAAACCTTTGTATTATGTGTTTGTATATATGTACTTACAGGCATTTGCCTTTTGTTCAATAAAATTATTTTATTCTATTCTATACGGTGCAACACAATATTCATGCGTTACTTGGTGTACACGGTGGTATACATTAATTATCAGATCGATGTTTGTAGGGCTGTTTCAATTCGTTAAATGTTCGATAGCGGCATTCTTTGCTTTCGTTAATTTTGTTTTGCCTTACTATTTTGTCTCGTATAACGCCAAAACTTCAAAGCCGTTTGTTTTCAATCTATAAATCAACATGCATTTATTTGTCAATCGACTAAACAAACTTTAAATTGCAGTTGTTATTTCTTTGTGTACAATACACTTTTGTGAATGTTTCACATAAACATCCGCGCTTTGATAATACGTTTGTATTAATACAAAGTTTCAAAAATAAACAAATAAAAAATAACATACCTTGGTTAGCAATGCTGATAACCCGATAATGCAAGTGAAATGCAAAAAAAAAAACACACAAAAAAACAACAAAAAACGCAACATTTTATCACCAGGAGAACTTTATTAACCTCGCTAATTTAAGGCACTTTTCCACCCTGTGTTTAGGTCCCGCAAAGAAATTTTTTTCATTTCATAATCATTATGCAAAAGTAATCCAGCTAACTTTAAATGATCTGAAGTTCTACGTAGACATCCACTTATGCAAAAGAAAAAAACTCAAGTGAGGAGGAACTATTTGGTATTAACTTTATTGTCGTTCCTTAATTAAGGTAGACCATGGGTAATGGGCACTATAAGGAAACATAGGACATTCACGTGTCTTAAAGGTCACCTGTGTGCAAATTTAAATAAAATTTACCGTGTGGTTAATGAGTTATGGATATATTTCTGAATTAAAACTTTGCTATTACAAGTGATTTTATTTCAGAAATGAGGAAACTCTAAATAATCTATAATATCATCATTATGAAAAATGTTTTCCTATTGCTCATTGTTAAGAAACAAATAATAACCTTTAGGTAACGAATTACACGAGCAAAATGATTGTTTCTAAACAAAATGTTTTTCATGCGTATAAAAATGTTACCCTACCCCACCCACTTTTAAATACTTATTAATTTAATACGACAAATAGTGTATATGAAAAGATATAAATGTCTTGCTGCCAAAATATCGAGGATGTCAACACACAGAGTCGTAGTGTTACAATGTTAGCTTTTAACAAAGTCAAAATAACATTAGGTTTTAAGCAAGCATAAAAATTGTACGGACTCGTTCGTGGTAAATGTATATCGTAACACTTACCACCTCTTAAACCATTAAAATGATACGGCTATCTGCAGATGATCACATACTTAATCCAAAGGAACGTTACATCGGGCAAGTACAAAATAGTACCAGTAACTCCATGGTTTGGCTGTCAGTTAAAACTGATCCCTTCTCTTAAAGGCCGACTGTTTCAACAGCACATTAATTTTGTCTAAAGAATCTTTATCGAAAACAGCATAAGCATTGGAAAAAAATAAGCTTTTAGTTCCTTACATAAACATATTAAATAATGTTAAAAGGAAACAAAAAATGACCCTACTGGCGTTTGATCCCACGACCCTAAGTTAAAATAAAGTTGACAGTAATTGTAGCTTAATTAAAAATACTCTTCAAAGCGGAGGTAATATTCCTTAAAGTGCATTGACTTTGTAAGTTAAAACTTTGTATATGGATACATCTGAATGAGGTATTCCTGTGACACTCATTTTCAGGTCAAAATGTCAAAAGTTACGGTCACTCGGACCTGCAAAAGTTTAAGTATAAATCTGGACTTCAGGTTGCAATCGTGCCTAACATAATGCCCGAAGGGATACCTTAGATTTCCTTCCACCTGCTACACAATAAATTTAACATTGTCTACTCAGTGTCGGTGTGCCTTTAAACACTACAAAACAAACAAACAATCCTGTCAATTAATTGGAAACAGTTTTCGGTAAGCATGATAGAAAAATTTTAAAAGCAAACAAACCTTACACATAAATCAGGTCATATGTGATAAAATTGTTCAAAAGTGTCCTCACCTTTTCACTAAATTGACAAAGTTTTAAGTGATTATGTCATCAGAGAAATGGTGCTAATATCCCGTCTCCAAGATACGTTAAACATTTAACGACATAAATTAAAATTTCTCCACAAAAAGTGTCAGTGTTTCCTGCGTTGAAATTGATAGATGGCGCATAATTTTCTAAGGGCGCGCAAAATCAATTATGTCACACATGCATGAAAAAACTGCACACAATGTAGGGAAAAAAGGTTTAACTATATATTTTTGTTTCGCCAAACGAGTTACATTGAAACGTAAAATTAATCGGCCGATTTAATGCAATCTTTACAAAAGTGTTAGTAAGACTTTTTATCGGATTGCACTTAATGCAAGTTTATTTATTTGTTTTATTTTATTTGGTTTTACGGCACATCATCATAATTAAGGTCATATGCAATTTTAGCCGTTGTTTCCTCGAGCAAGAAACTTTATATTCATTGCTTAGTACTGATTGGTTCCAGGAACGGATTCGAGAATGTTTCAATAAGCTTATAGCTAACAACACAATCGAACTAAAATAAATTTTTATAAACTACCCCACAACAGAAAGTGTCCTTTAAGTAGATTCACCACCCCGCGCGCTTTCTGTTAAAATATAAATATCTATCACATTTTGTAAAACAAGAAAAGGCCTTTACAATGAAATTATAAATGCAAAATAACCATTCAAGCTAAAAATCCGCGAACGAGAGACACGCCTCATATAGAGCGGATCAAATACTTATTATCAAAGCCGCGTACTAATCCCCTTGAACAAACTCTAATTTCTAGCAGAATACCACCTTTGTATGGTTTCATAAATTTGTCTGTATGTGGACATGAAAAACAATAAAAGAGATGATCTGGACACCATACTGATTGTCACTGTTCGGAATCAAACGTGTTAGTTATCGTATTATCGTACATACAAGTCGTTATAAAAATACGCATAAGCCTTTTTTCACAAATCTCTCTGAACTCTAATCAGTTTAATATTAACTTTTAAACAGCGATACACTAATTGTTAAGATGCGTATTTACTCATGACTGATGTTAGGAGGTGTTTATCTTTATTTTATTGGTTCCGTTAGTACATAATTAGGGCATAATGCAGGCAGGGTTGGTATAATGGTAACCAACTATAAGTAACTTGTTCAAGTAATGGTCTGCATTAAAGCTTTTGCACGACGACAATAACATTGGCTTTTGTTTAGTATCCTAGTCATACCAACGCCTGGTGACTTTCTTATATGGACTTGACCAGCTTCCATTTTCGGAACTGTAGTTTATAAATTGTGGGATGTCAAAAAAAATCAGCCAGCTGTAAAGAGCATGCTCAGGCTGCATGAATGCAAGTGACAAAGGCTAATTTAGGTTCCAGACGGATAAGGGTTAAAACACTAAATAATACGCCGACGACTTTTCATTATCTTTTGAGCATATTTCTTCCATAAATTACTTACAAAAAAAAAAAAAAAAAAAAAAAAAAAAATAAATAAAAAAAAAAGAAGAGCCCGGCCGGGTGATACTCCCCGAAAAGGTTTTGGACACAGGAAAGTACACTTTGTAGTTTCAGAGTTATGTCCCTGGAAAAAGTTCAAAGTGCAATAATTCCAAAATTGGACAAGGCAGAGATACTGTTCTTTGCACTGCACTTCTAATCAATGCGATCTATCAACCTAAAAAGTTTCTTGTTGATACTTCTTATGGTTTCCGAGTTATGTCCCGGACAAAGTTCAAAATGTAAAAATGAACAAAGGGCAATAACTACAAAATTTGGCAAGGCGGAGTTCAAGTTCTTAAGCACTTCATATTTACCCATTGAGATTTATCTACCTACAAAGTTTCATGTTGATATCTCTTGTAATTTTAGAGTTATTTCCCGGACAAGATTATTTTAAAAGGGGAGATAATTCCAAAATTTGGCAAAACAGAGTTATCTTTATTTTGTAATACACTTTAACTCAATGAGATCTATCTAACAACAAAGTTTTATGTTGATATCTCTTATACTTTTAGAGAAATGTCCTAGAGAAAGTTTAAAAAGGAAAAACTAAACAAAGGGCAATAACTACAAAATTAGGCTAGGCAGAGTTATTTTCTTATGCACTACACATCTACCTATTGAGATATTTCTACCTACAAAGTTTCATGTTGATATCTCTTATAGTTTTACAGCTATGTCCTGGACAAGATTTTCCTAAAAGGAGAGATAATTCAAAAATGAGGCTTAACAGAGTTATGGTTCTTTTGCACTGCACTTTTACTCAATGAGATCTGTCTACCTACAAGGCTTTATCTTGATATCTCTTATAGTTATTGAGTTATGTTCCGGACAATGTTCAAAGTGTTAAAATTAACAAAGGACAATAACTCCAAAATTAGGCAAAAAAAGTTATGGTTCTTGTGCAATGCACATTATCCCATTGAGATAATTAAGGGGGGATAATTGAAAAACCAGGCAAAATAGGGTTATGGTACTTTGACACTGCACTCCCCCTCAATGCCCTCTACCACTGTATGAAGTTTAAACAAATTATCTCCAAGGGTTTTCAAGTTATGCTCCGGACAAGACAACGGACGGACAGACGGACGGACGGACAAGGTGGCGACTATATGCTCTCCCTTCGGGGAGCATTTTGTTTGTTTGTTTGTTTCATTTTACGCCTTTTCCCAACAGTATTTCAGTCATTTAGGTGGATAGTTTCCTAACCATCGTTCCTGGAGAGTTACACCAGTACTAGACTACCTTCGGGGAGCATAAAAATAAAAAAACAACATTAAACAAACAAAAACAATTAATACTAAATATCCGCACTTTTGAGACTTTTCTTAAAATTAGATATTTCTTGTGTAGCATTGGAAAGTAGTACTTGACCAAGTTTATTATGCCCCCACCCCTTTAGAAGAGGGGAGGGGTACTGTTTCGCTAATGTCGGTCGGTCTGTCTGTCCATCGGTAGAGCATATGGTTTCCGTTGATTATCTTAAAACTATTTATCACAAAGTTTTCATATTTCACATACTGATTGGTCATAACTAGTAGATGTCCCTTGTGATTTTGGGGAAATTAGGTCAAAGGTTAAGGTTACATTGGCCTTAAATCACAGAATGGCTTCCGTGCATTATCTTGATTTTTTTCCACAAAGTCTTCATATTTACATACTTATTGATCACAACTAGTAGATGACCCTATTGATTTTTGGATCACTACGTCAAAGGTCAGGACATGGGGCATTAAATGTCAACATGGTTTCTGCAGATTATCTTGAAAACCATTTAGCACAAAGTCTTTATTTTTCACATATTGATTAAGCATATGAAGTAGATGATCCCTATCAATGTTAGGGTCACTATGGCAAAAGTCAAGGTCACAAAGGTCTTAAATATCAGGATGGTTTCTGTTCATTATCTGGAAAATAGTTTATCATAAAGTCTTTATATTTCACATACTGATTGATCAACTAGAATATGTCCCCTATTGATTTTGGGGTCACTAATTTATAGGTAAAGGTTAAACTAATTTATAGGTAAAGGTTAAAGGGGCCTTAAATATCAGAATGGTTTCTGAATGGTTTCTCATAAATCTTGAAAACTATTTATTACCAAGTCTTTATATTTTATATATTGCTTGGTTATAACTAGTAGATGACCCCTATAGATTTTGAGGTCTTAAGGTCAAAGGTCAAGGCCATTGGGACTTTTGTCTGTCTGTCTCTCTGTACGTGGGAAAACACATGCTTTCCGCTGATTATCTTAAAATATTTTATCACAAGTCCTCATTTTGCATAAATTAATTACTCATAACTAGAAGATGTCCCCTCATGATTTTGGGGACACTAGGTCAAAGTCAAGATCGTAGAGGCATTAAATGTCAGAATGGAAACTGCTCATTATGCGTATGATAGCTTATTCAGTTTCAGGTCATATATTGGTCATTATTTTTCTTTTTCTATAAATAAACACTTCCACGTACTCATTTATGGGATGTTTCTATTATGATAACAAAGTTACCAATAATATGAGTCAATGTTTAGAAATGGGGGCATATGTGTCAAAATCATTATTTTTGGTCAAAGCTGACCACATTATTTTACATAGTTTATATAGGAGGAATTTTTTTTTCTTCTGATTTTCCAATAACTGCAGGATTAAGGACAACGATTGTTTTTAAATCTAAATTGCATATCATAATGATTGTGTTGCTTAAATTATGTCCTACATTCGGTAACCTATACGATTTAATGTGATGGAGATGTAATGGAGATCGCAAATATATTTTAAAGAATACTATAATGTTCTTACTTTTACATTTTTTTTCTTTTTAAAGGGTTTCGTACTTCATGGAATAACGTCAGCAAAATGTACGAACAGAATGGGTTCTAGTACGGGATTTATACTGGCAAGAATGGTGCTTGCTGTGTTGTTACTGTTGCCCCGTGAGTACAATTCTGATAGTCCATAAGTTGTTTATAGTTCAATGTTTTAATTCTAACATTTTCCCAAGTTTGTTTTATTTTGGTAAAGGGCGGCTGTGCGTATATGAGGATATGAATAAGTAAAGATTAATTCTTGTCCGGCATTCTCTTAAATCCTCATATAATCATTTATACATTTTGTACCATGAAATTGTCATGAAGGGATTGATGCTTGATTGTTTCTAAACTTAGGATTGAAAATCATCGTGTGCTACACAAATTAATACAAAGAATACAAGACAGATATTTGCAGGTACATTACTTAAAAAATGTCTAAGAGCACCTAGTATGCCCCCTTTAAAAACGCAAATATATATTGTTTTTTACGTGTGTCTGTCCGTCTGTATATACAGCGAATTTTGTCCGACCAATGGCTAGAGAACGCTTTGTTACACATTCATATTATTTGATGAAAAAGTTGGCCAGGAATAGTGGAACACTATAGATTCAGAGGTCAGTTGGTCAAAAGGTATGGCATCACTAAACGATTATCCGACCAATAGATAAAACAACGTTGACCTAAATTCCTACTGTAAGGTACGAAGACTAGCCATGATTTGGACACCCACCGTGACTTTGACCAATAGAACGTATGTAATCAGCCACAATTATGCATTTCCTTTGATGACCAGAAATGACTAGTAAATAGTTACTGTTTATTTCGGGGTCAGTAAGTCAGTAAAAGGTCCAAGTTCACTGTGTTTATGACTAATGAAAGCTTTTGTGAGCAATTATTGAGAATTGTTTGATTTCATGTAAAGGTTTGTTATGACTAGTAGATGACCCCTTTGACTTTTATATTTTTTTCTAATTCATTTATTTCATGACAGATGATGTTGCGGACGCTGCAAACACTGCAAACACATCTTCTACTAATTCTTCAATAACTACCGGCTCGACATCCACTAACACTGCTTCTACTAACGCACTTACAAAAAAAGATGGTGTTGGATCTTCATCGTCGTCACTTGACACAACTTTAATGTCAACAGCTACTTCTAGCTTAAATGTTTCCTTTTCAGTACATAACATAAAATCTACTGACACTGATGATAAAAGTTTAGTATCTGCCACTGCATTCACAATTACGACGGAAAGTGAAGCATCCAGCAAAAAAAATACCGTAAATCATGGAAGTACAGCATCAAAAATTGTAACCGATTCTATTTCAGACAAAGAAAACTCTAGTATTAAAACATATATTACTCCTACCCAACGAAGTAAAACTTCAAATTGGGTTTCTTTAGAAAGTCTAAATTCTAGTAATACATCTAATATAACTCCGGATATTAAAGCAGATATCACTACAAACAATTTAAGTACAGACAGTGCATCATCAAGTACAATATCCATAACAACTCCAGACACTACATCTAACATTACAAAAAATACCGCACCCTTGACAACCAAATCTAGCACCGGTGCCGATATTTCCACACTAAGTTCAACATCTAGCACTCTAACCGATGTTTCATCCGGCAGCAAAACTTCTGGCACTACAAGTAGCCTTGGTTCAGAACCTAGTACAGTGCATGTCAGGTAGAGCAATACAAAGTTTCAGGGCAATGTAGTGCAATGCTAGTACAGGTATCTCCGCTTAAACGAAAAAAGGAAGTACAACAATTTTAGGTTATTAGGGAAGGTTGACTTCAGGCACCACATTGAGCAAAACCCCAATTAATATAACTCCACGGAAATAAAAAAATATAACTCAGACAGTACATCAACTCAAGTACCATCATGTCCCCATATCAACTCCTAGGAAAAGACATCAAAACCTTACAAAGGACGCTGTGAGTACAAAAGCATACTACGGAGAAACTATCTGGCCTCTTGAGTACATTTGTCTGCCACTCTTGGAAAACAAACTACGGAAGTGCTGCCTCGAGTAACATTGTCTACATTTGACTAAAGGAACAACAACCTAGAGGTTACTTCAAGCATTACAAACCCAAGCACTGCAACTAATATAAATCAATATATTACAGCAAATATCACTACAAATGATGTAAGTACAGACAGTGCATCATTCAAGTACAATATCTATAACAACTCCAGGCACAACGTCTAACATTACAAAATATACCACACCCTTGACAACCGAATCTAGCACTGATGCCGATATTTCTACACTAAGTTCAACATCTAGCACACCAACAGATGTTGCATCCGGCAGCAAAACTTCTTTCACTACAAGTAGCCTTGGTTCAGAACCCAGTACAGTGCCTGTCACTGTAGACAAACAAACTTCAGGCAATGTTGCCTCTAGTACAGTATCTTCCTTAACGGAAGGAAGTACAACATCTAGGACTATTACCGAGGTTACTTCAGGCACAACAGGCTCTAGCACAACAACTAATATAACTCCAGGCAATAAAGAAAATATAACGATAAGCAATGTAGGTACAGACAGTACATCATCAAGTACATCATCCATATCAACTCCAGGAACAAAGACATCAAACATTACAAAGGACGCTGTGAGTACAGAATCCAGCACTGTTGCCGATATTTCTACACAAAGTTCTGCATCTAGCCCAACAAACAAGGGTACTCCTGGCAGCAAACTATCTGGCACTACAACCAATCTTGGTACAGAATACAGTACAGTGTCTGCCACTCTTGCAAAACATACTACGGAGAGTGCTGCCTCGAGTACATTTTCTACTTTGACTAAAGGAAGTACAACATCTAGAACAACAACCGAGGTTACTTCAAGCATTACAAACCCAAGCACTGCAACTAATATAAATCAATATATTACAGCAAATATCACTACAAATGATGTAAGTACAGACAGTGCATCATCAAGTACAATATCTATAACAACTCCAGGCACAACGTCTAACATTACAAAATATACCACACCCTTGACAACCGAATCTAGCACTGATGCCGATATTTCTACACTAAGTTCAACATCTAGCACACCAACAGATGTTGCATCCGGCAGCAAAACTTCTTTCACTACAAGTAGCCTTGGTTCAGAACCCAGTACAGTGCCTGTCACTGTAGACAAACAAACTTCAGGCAATGTTGCCTCTAGTACAGTATCTTCCTTAACGGAAGGAAGTACAACATCTAGGACTATTACCGAGGTTACTTCAGGCACAACAGGCTCTAGCACAACAACTAATATAACTCCAGGCAATAAAGAAAATATAACGATAAGCAATGTAGGTACAGACAGTACATCATCAAGTACATCATCCATATCAACTCCAGGAACAAAGACATCAAACATTACAAAGGACGCTGTGAGTACAGAACCCAGCACTGTCGCCGATATTTCTACACAAAGTTCTGCATCTAGCCCAACAAGCAAGGGTACTCCTGGCAGCAAACTATCTGGCACTACAACCAATCTTGGTACAGAATACAGTACAGTGTCTGCCACCCTTGCAAAACATACTACGGAGAGTGCTGCCTCGAGTACATTTTCTACTTTGCCTAAAGGAAGTACAACATCTAGAACAACAACCGAAATTACTTCAAGCATTACAAACCCAAGCACTGCAACTAATTTAAATCAATATATTTCAGCAAATATCACTACAAATGATGTAAGTACAGACAGTGCATCATCAAGTACAATATCTATAAAAACTCCAGACACAACGTCTAACATTACAAAATATACCACACCCTTGACAACCGAATCTAGCACAGATGCCGATATTTCTACACTAAGTTCAACATCTAGCACACCAACAGATTTTGCATCCGGCAGCAAAACTTCTTTCACTACAAGTAGCCTTGGTTCAAAGCCCAGTACAGTGCCTGTCACTGTAGACAAACAAACTTCAGACAATATTGCCTCTAGTACAGTATCTTCCTTAACGGAAGGAAGTACAACATCTAGGACTATTACCGATGTTACTTCAGGCACAACAGCATCTAGCACAACAACTAATATAACTCCAGGCAATAAAGAAAATATAACGATAAGCAATGTAGGTACAGACAGTACATCATCAAGTACATCATCCATATCAACACCAGGAACAAAGACATCAAACATTACAAAGGACGCTGTCAGTACAGAATCCAGCACTGTTGCCGATATTTCTACACAAAGTTCTGCATCTAGTCCAACAAGCAAGGGTACTCCTGGCAGCAAACTTTCTGGCACTACAACCAATCTTGGTACAGAATACAGTACAGTGTCTGCCACTCTTGCAAAACATACTACGGAGAGTGCTGCCTCGAGTACATTTTCTACTTTGACTAAAGGAAGTACAACATCTAGAACAACAACCGAGGTTACTTCAAGCATTACAAACCCAAGCACTGCAACTAATATAAATCAATATATTACAGCAAATATCACTACAAATGATGTAAGTACAGACAGTGCATCATCAAGTACAATATCTATAACAACTCCAGACACAACGTCTAACATTACAAAATATACCACACCCTTGACAACCGAATCTAGCACTGATGCCGATATTTCTACACTAAGTTCAACATCTAGCACACCAACAGATGTTGCATCCGGCAGCAAAACTTCTTTCACTACAAGTAGCCTTGGTTCAGAACCCAGTACAGTGCCTGTCACCGTAAACAAACAAACTTCAGGCAATGTTGCCTCTAGTACAGTATCTTCCTTAACGGAAGGAAGTACAACATTTAGGACTATTACCGATGTTACTTCAGGCACAACAGGCTCTAGCACAACAACTAATATAACTCCAGGCAATAAAGAAAATATAACGATAAGCAATGTAGGTACAGACAGTACATCATCAAGTACATCATCCATATCAACTCCAGGAACAAAGACATCAAACATTACAAAGGACGCTGTGAGTACAGAATCCAGCACTGTTGCCGATATTTCTACACAAAGTTCTGCATCTAGCCCAACAAGCAAGGGTACTCCTGGCAGCAAACTATCTGGCACTACAACCAATCTTGGTACAGAATACAGTACAGCGTCTGCCACTCTTGCAAAACATACTACGGAGAGTGCTGCCTCGAGTACATTTTCTACTTTGACTAAAGGAAGTACAACATCTAGAACAACAACCGAGGTTGCTTCAAGCATGACAAACCCAAACACAGCAACTAATATAAATCAATACATTACAGCAAATATCACTACAAATGATGTAAGTACAGACAGTGCATCATCAAGTACAATATCTATAACAAGTCCAGGCACAACGTCTAACATTACAAAATATACCACACCCTTGACAACCGAATCTAGCACTGATGCCGATATTTCTACACTAAGTTCAACATCTAGCACACCAACAGATGTTGCATCCGGCAGCAAAACTTCTTTCACTACAAGTAGCCTTGGTTCAGAGCCAAGTACAGTGCCTGTCACTGTAGACAAACAAACTTCAGGCAATGTTACCTCTAGTACAGTATCTTCCTTAACGGAAGGAAGTACAACATCTAGGACTATTACCGAGGTTACTTCAGGCACAACAGGCTCTAGCACAACAACTAATATAACTCAAGGCAATAAAGAAAATATAACGATAAGCAATGTAGGTACAGACAGTACATCACCAAGTACATCATCCATATCAACTCCAGGAACAAAGACATCAAACATTACAAAGGACGCTGTGAGTACAGAATCCAGCACTGTTGCCGATATTTCTACACAAAGTTCTGCATCTAGCCCAACAAGCAAGGGTACTCCTGGCAGCAAACTATCTGGCACTACAACCAATCTTGGTACAGAATACAGTACAGTGTCTGCCACCCTTGCAAAACATACTACGGAGAGTGCTGCCTCGAGTACATTTTCTACTTTGACTAAAGGAAGTACAACATCTAGAACAACAACCGAGGTTACTTCAAGCATTACAAACCCAAGCACTGCAACTAATATAAATCAATATATTTCAGCAAATATCACTACAAATGATGTAAGTACAGACAGTGCATCATCAAGTACAATATCTAGAACAACTCCAGGCACAACGTCTAACATTACAAAATATACCACACCCTTGACAACCGAATCTAGCACTGATGCCGATATTTCTACACTAAGTTCAACATCTAGCACACCAACAGATGTTGCATCCGGCAGCAAAACTTCTTTCACTACAAGTAGCCTTGGTTCAGAACCCAGTACAGTGCCTGTCACTGTAGACAAACAAACTTCAGGCAATGTTGCCTCTAGTACAGGATCTTCCTTAACGGAAGGAAGTACAACATCTAGGACTATTACCGAGGTTACTTCAGGCACAACAGGCTCTAGCACAACAACTAATATAACTCCAGGCAATAAAGAAAATATAACGATAAGCAATGTAGGTACAGACAGTACATCATCAAGTACATCGTCCATATCAACTCCAGGAACAAAGACATCAAACATTACAAAGGACGCTGTGAGTACCGAATCCAGCACTGTTGCCGATATTTCTACACAAAGTTCTGCATCTAGCCCAACAAACGAGAGTACTCCTGGCAGCAAGCTATCTGGCACTACAACCAATATTGGTACAGAATACAGTACAGTGTCTGCCACTCTTGCAAAACATACTACGGAGAGTGCTGCCTCGAACAAATTTTCTTCTTTGACTAAAGGAAGTACAGCATCTAGAACAATTACCGAGGTTACTTCAAGCATTAAAAACCCAAGCACTGCAACTAATATAAATCAATATATTACAGCAAATATCACTACAAATGATGTAAGTACAGACAGCGCAACATCAAGTACAATATCTATAACAAGTCCAGGCACAATGCCTAACATTACAAAATATACCACACCCTTGACAACCGAATCTAGCACTGATGCCGATATTTCTACACTAAGTTCAACATCTAGCACACCAACAGATGTTGCATCCGGCAGCAAAACATCTTTCACTACAAGTAGCCTTGGTTCAGAACCCAGTACATTGCCTGTCACTGTAGACAAACAAACTTCAGGCAATGTTGCCTCTAGTACAGGATCTTCCTTAACGGAAGGAAGTACAACATCTAGGACTATTACCGAGGTTACTTCAGGCACAACAGGCTCTAGCACAACAATTAATATAACTACAGGCAATAAAGAAAATATAACGATAAGCAATGTAGGTACAGACAGTACATCATCAAGTACATCATCCATATCAACTATAGGAACAGAGACATCAAACATTACAAAGGAAGCTGTGAGTACAGAATCCAGCACTGTTGCCGATATTTCTACACGAAGTTCTGCATCTAGCCCAACAAACAACGGTACTCCTGGCAGCAAACTATCTGGCACTACAACCAATCTTGGTACAGAATACAGTACAGTGTCTGCCACTCTTGCAAAACATACTACGGAGAGTGCTGCCTCGAGCACATTTTCTACTGTGACTAAAGGAAGTACAACATCTAGAACAATAACCGAGGTTACTTCAAACATAACACACCCAAGTACTGCAACTAATATTACTCCAGATATCACAGCAAATATCACTACAAACAATGTTAGTACAGGCAGTATATCATCAATTTCAATATCCACAACCTTTATCTTTACAACCAATATCACACCAAGACGTTCAACTAGCACTTTGCAATCTTCATCATTTACGAAGGACACATCTAACAGTACAGGAAGTACGGTAGCGACCAGCGTATATGCTTCTATATCTACGACACATACTTCTGGAAATCAAGCTTCTGCTATTTCAAACATCGTTTCAGGTTTATCATTATTGATTTATTTTATGCTTTGATAAATTGCCTACTTTTAATACGTTCTTAGGTTGCAATAAACACATTTACTGCTGATTATATGTATAGAATAGAAAATATTATTTGTAACCATAACATTCTTTGATAATGTTCTTACGTCCCTAAAGGGGGATTAAATGAGAATTTTGCAAAAACAGGAAATTCACAGAGGATAATTTATACAAGTATTTTTTTCTAGAAATACAAGCTTTATCTACATTGAGTGATATTAAAATTATATAAATTATATTTCATTAGTGGTGGTAGCCACAAGTGAAATACGATAATTTTCATATGACGAGATGAAAATAAATCATGTATTCTGTTTATTATATACTTTTATGGGACCTTACAGTGCATCAGACGTATCCTTTTGTTTTGTGTATTGGCTGAATTAAGAAGAAAATAGTCCGATAAGACACCAGTGTAAATACTGAAAATATGCTTCACTCTGGGACGGAAGATAACTTTCTGTCCCAGCTTCACTAAAGCTAAAGTGAAAAAAAATATTTCTTTACATTAAAACATTGAAAATACGGCAATATTTCCAATTATTTCATTTATGAGTATATCATAAATTCCGTGATGATATGGTTACAAATTACACTTTCTACATATAAAGTCATAGCCTGCTTGCAGCTACTGAATATCTACGCGACCAGTGTTGACCACAATCAACCGGCACAGTCTGGTTATGGTCTAGTAGTAGTCCACTTGTCGCTATTCAATCAGTACATACGTAATAATTTTCCTTAAAAAGTGATTTTTTTCTCAAGATTTTCTCATATTTTCACTAGCAATTTCTAAAAAATAAATTAAATGAATTAAATTATCTTAAAGTACTCAAGAAAGTTCATGTTACTATATTGTAATTTATAATGTAATAATGCTATTGTTTGTATCGACAATGCAATCAGAAATATTGATAACGTTTGATTTCCGTAAAATCATAAGTACTAATGTATACCGAAGTATAAAATAATCATATTTAACAAAGCACTTTAATGACCTGAATACATCGAAGTGTGAAAGATTTAATAAAAAGATCAAATCATTTTGTAAATACTTTAGGGCAATTTAGGGAATGTAAGTTATGAAGTTTAGCAAGGGCTGTATTTAACATGTACTGAAGCATGTGCATTAAAGCTGATGAATTTGATGGCAGCCAAGTGGAAATTAAGTTCTTAGGACGATCAGATATATCCACAGGAAATCACATGTATACATAAACTTTTTATATGTGTAATGCTGCACGTTCATAACTGGGTTTTCTTTGGATAATCATGAATTCATGGTATGAATATATGAAATTTTCAAAAGTTACTTGGTTATGCAGTATTAAAAGTCTTCCAAAAGAAAATGGTTAAGGTTTAATATCATGCTTTATTAATAATGTTTTATGAAAATTCATTTATGTTCCGTAATGCTATTTCAAAAATTACATTTATTCGTTTGTTTTGTTTTGTATATAGCTCAACAGACAGGAGTTCAAGCAACAGTTTCACCAACATCGGTCATGTCAACAGCGATATCCGAAACAGGAACAACAGTTACACCATCAATAATGATAATTACAACGGAAACATCATCTCACATTTCCCCATCATCTACATTAGAGCTGACTGCTACAACAACAACAACACGAACTACAACAGGCTCCCCATCCACAATGTTGACTGAATTGTCTAAAACAACAGCATTAATGTCAGCTGAAGCGACCACTACGACAACGACAACAACAACCCCAACAATAACACATTTTTCAACAGAATTGCAAACCACAATGACATCTTCTCAAAATAATTCGTCCGTGCTACCTTCGACAAGATCATCCCAAGCACAGACTGATTCAAGTTCATTAACTCCTTCTGTTTCGGCATCAGTCACAGTGCTGTCTGCAACAACAACTACAACAAGAACAACAACAGGTTCTCCATCAACATTAATTACAAAACTATCTCCTACGGCAGCAATGTCTTCAACCGAATCTTTTACAACAACAATAGTGTCAACCGAATCAAAACAAACAATGTCATATGAAACATCAATTACTGTGATAACCGGATCAATAGCAACAAACACAGTATCGCTTACACCAACATTACAGCCTTCAACATCATCGCAATTACATTCGTCTTCAAAATTTATCACTGAAACCACCACTGCCTTGCCTTCGCCATCATCACTTCAGACTTCTGTTTCATCTAGTTTTTCATTAACAACAACGATTGTGACATCGTCAATACCAATAGCAACAGTGACTAGTTCATCTATTACATTAACTGCGAAATCAAAAGAAACACAGTCAACTTTACCTTCATTCACAAATGTATTGTCTTCGTCTTCATCTCTTTCTTTTTCGGATGTGTCTACTTCGCCGTCCTTTAAAACCACGATAGTGTCACAATCAACATCAATCACAAAGCTGGATAGTTCTTCTATCACAAAGGCATATACAGATACATTGTCAACTTTACCTTTATCTACATCGGTGTTGCCTTCGTCCTCATCTCCCGATTTGTCTTCTACCTTTACAACAACTATTACGCCATCGTCATTATCAGAAGCAAGCGTGACTACTTCGGCTATTCATGTGACATCTACAGATACACAGTCATTGCCTTTGTCATCATCGACAGTGCCTCCGTTTTCTTCAAGTTCCCAATCAAAAGAAATGTCAACATCAACAATAATGCTGTCAACGTTATCGCCATCATCTAAACGAGGGGAGTCTAGTTCTTTTTCCGTGTCGACTAAACATAAACAGTCAACAATCTCTTTAACAACAACATTTTTACCTTCGTCATCAAAGATTATATCTTCCGATTCTTCAAGTTCTGAGAGAGAATCCGTTACAGCAACAATAATTTCAACATCGTCATCAGAGATTGTCGTGTCTAGTTCTGCCATTCCGATATCCAAAAGTACAAAATCAACTTTACCTCCATCAATGACTTCCTTATCGACACAAATATTCACTTCTTCAGTCGATATAAGCTCCTCGTCAGGTGACTCGACATTCTCAAAGATGCCTACAACAATTACTATACCATCGACATCTCTATTACATTCAAGTTCCGTTTCGTCAGTGAAATTTGATAGCACAAATAGTAAGTCATCACAGCTTCATTCAACAGTTACAACATCTGATATGTCATCCCAAATACAGACTGCTGCGACTACATTCAGTGTTTCCATCTCACCGACATCAGCCACCCTGTCGCCTACTATGTCACCAACAATATCTCGACCGAAATCAACTTCTAGTGTTGAAAATCTGTCAACAGTGCATTCGACTACAGTTATTACGCCTTCGTCGTCACAAGTAAAGACTAATGACTCAGTCTCGACAAGCAAAATGTCATCAAGCATACCTCTTTCTACAGTAATATTACCGTCTACAGTCAGTTCATTACAAACAACAGAAATATTATCAACAGTGCCTCTGACAACTGAATCGACAATTGCAGCAAAATCGAGTTCCTCTGTCAAGCTTGCGTCGCCTACAGCATCGTCGTCATCTAAGATTGTCGTGTCTAGTTCTCCTATTCCCGTGACGACCAAACATGAACAGTCAACCATCCCTTTAACAACAACATTATTGTCTTCGTCATCAATGATCTTATCTTCCGATTCTTCAAGTTCTCCGAAAGAATCCCTTACAGAAACAATTATTTCAACATCGGCATCAGTTACAACATCTGATATGTCATCCCAAATACAGACTGCTGCGACTACATTCAGTATTTCCATCTCACCTACATCAGCCACGCTGTTGCCAACTATATCACCAACAATATCTCGACCGAAATCAACTTCAAGTGTTGAAAATCTGTCAACAGTGCATTCGACTACAGTTATTACGCCTTCGTCGTCACAAGTAAAGACTAATGACTCAGTCTCGACAAGCAAAATGTCATCAAGCATACCTCTTTCTACAGTAATATTACCGTCTACAGTCAGTTCATTACAAACAACAGAAATATTATCAACAGTGCCTCTGACAACTGAATCGACAATTGCAGCAAAATCGAGTTCGTCTGTCAATCTTGCGTCACCTACAGCATCGTCGTCATCAAAGATTGTCGTGTCTAGTTCTTCTATTCCCGTGACGACCAAACATGAACAGTCAACCATCCCTTTAACAACAACATTATTGTCTTCGTCATCAATGATCTTATCTTCCGATTCTTCAAGTTCTCCAAAAGAATCCCTTACAGAAACAATAATTTCAACATCGTCATCAGTTACAACATCTGATATGTCATCCCAAATACAGACTGATGCGACTACATTCAGTATTTCCATCTCACCTACATCAGCCACGCTGTTGCCAACTATATCACCAACAATATCTCGACCGAAATCAACATCTAGTGTTGAAAATCTGTCAACAGTGCATCCGACTACAGTTATTACGCCTTCGTCGTCACAAGTAAAAACTAATGACTCGGTTTTGAAAAGCGAAATAACATCAAGCATATCTCTTTCTTCGGTAATAATACCGTCCACAGACAGTTCATTAAAAACAACTGGAATATTATCGACAGTGCCTCTGACTACTGAATCTACAATTGTAGCAACGTCAAGTTCCTCTATAAAACTAGCATCTCCTACATCATCGACCCCATTTTTTACTGCCTCAAGCTTTCCAGTCACGTCAACAGTGTCATCTTTATCCGTGATAGCACCTTCGTCATCAGTCGTAACTACAACATCAATAACAACGGAACAGCCAACAACAAATGCCACAGTACCCAATACACGAGCAGCACCACCTTTAACATCGACAACATCAAGCACTGGAAAGTCGTCCACAACGACGTCAAAACCACCAAGTTTCTCAAGTATATATTATTCATATATTATTCTTTATTAGTTTTTAAGATTTTAAAACGTTTGCCAAAAGGTCTGTTAATTTTGTGTAATTAAATGAAACCTCATTTTTCACATTATCCACTTATTTTTCTAATGTTTTAAGTACTTATATGGAATTTTTCACCAACGCTTAAAAAATACTCAATATTAATGCGGCAAACAGATTCTCTCTTACTTTTCTAAATACGCAGACACCACTTCAAGCAATACCTTGGTTATTAACTAGTACACTAATTCAGTCTTTGTGTTTTTTGTTGTTGTTTTTTTTGTTCATAACGTGTGAATATCGTTTTAACTACTGCAAACTTTTAATTGTTCGTGCGGCACTAATTTTCGTGGTTTTCGTGGGTAATTAAATTAATGAATTTTAAATCCGACAAATTTTATTTCGGCGGCTGTAAATCATTACATTATTTGCATTACTTTAAAAAAAAGTAGACAATCTGCGAATTTGACAAAACCACGAAACTTCATGCCCACGAAATCAAATGAATTCACAGTATTTCATTCATGAGCATGAGTTTATATACATTTGATTCTTCCCCAGCCACAGTCATAGAATATGGTTCTGTCAACAACGACCGAGCTATTGAAGTTACTGGAAATGACGATTTCTACGGTCCTATTGACACGCCAATTGGATTTGCATGCGGATGTGAATGGTCAAGGCAGCTTCATGTAAGTTTTTTATTAAAAGCGAAATAAAAATGATGTTAAAAATGGAATTTATTACAGAACCCAACTGATAACTCCTCTTCGTCTAAACTTTTTATTTACACCTGATACGTCTCATATTGCACTTAAATTGTTAAGCTCCGTAGATATAATGTCCACGATTCCATAAATATTCTTGTCTTCAACCTATACCTCAATACAATTAATTGATGTATCCAGAACTAACAAGAGCAATATTTATAAATGACAGCCTAGCTTGCTATGAATACCAGCTGATGGTTAAAGACCATTCTTCTTTGGTTCTGTCACTAAAGAATACTAATAATTTAGTAATATGAATGATGCTGTTGTCAACCATTGTCAGCTAGGGGAAGGGACCCTGCCCTTAAATTTTGAAAAGAGGATGAAAACTGAATTCAAGAGGATCGAAGACTGCATGATTTTAAAGAATTTTCCAGAGGGGAAGAGGCCCTGCTACAGAGGGAAAAAATGTCCTGTATAATTTATCCCGATAATTCAAAAATGCTTATTAGGCTTGTTACAATTTTACATCATTTAAGCTTCTGTATGCCTATTTTATGCTAATAAAAGAGTCTAAAAGATACACATACATTATCACATTCGAGGGGCTCTAATTTAACACCACAGTATTATGCAGACGCTTGAATCTGCCGTGATCAGCTAAAAGCGTCTGCGTGGCTCACATATGCGTATTGGCCTGAGTTTTTGCCATAGGAACTCGAGAACGGGACCGCAGATTGCGGCGCATATTTTCGATCGTGTAACGGTTTTTAAAAATGTTTCTGCTACATCTAAATATCTTTTAGTATTATCCGAGTGTATGGACTCAAAAAATATATTATCAATTGAACCCAATCTGTCTCTTTTAAAACTGGTCAAATTTTACGGTATTATAAAAAATTCTTTTTTCAATATACCGTAAATTTGACTGATTTTTAAATTAGCAGATTATATTAAATTGAGATTAGATAATTAAAGACCACCCGCTCGCATAATATGAAAAGATATTCAAAGGTCGGACAAACAATATGTAAAGCCGGTACGGATTCGGATTTATGCGCCGCAATATGCGGTCCTGTTCCAGAGTTCCTGCCCATATGGTCTCTTTCTGGTGGCGAGGGTAAACAAACGCAAACACAAACAAAAACAAGCCTGAGTTTTATAAAAGAAAACCCAGCAGGAGTCCAGGCGCCAGTTAAAAAGTATTTAGTTACCTACTGTAATTTAACTGCAGCCATTTTTTGCTCTCCATTTTCCGACAAGGGGCCTGTCTAAAACGCGGACGCCTTAAGCGGACAATATAAACATATAGGGAAAACGCTGACAATATAGACAAAGAGGAAAAAAGCGGACGATATAGATATATAGTGTAGACTAATTGGTGATGATTTTGGGCATTGATGAAGTTTATAAAAATGATGTGTAATTGGATACTTTAATATATAAAAAAATATAATAAATTAGCAAATTGGGAGAAATATTAAAGTAATTTATGATTGAATGTCAATGAATTTTATATTATATTTATATGACACATTTTTCGGAATTTCTAAATATTGAAAACTAATATATGAAACAAATGGATCAAATGAATGTCTTTAGAATTACAATGATGGTACTAAATTGGCAACAGCTGATATGTAATTAAGGATATGTATTTCATTTTGGCATTGTTTTTGTCTGTCTTTATGTGCAGTAGGCGGACAAAATTTTTGTTCGCAAAATAAAGAAAGCCTTGATTTTTCAAAATCAAAAGTTTGTAAGAGTAATTTTTAATCATAAATTATTGATATAAATAAGTAATGACAGGCTGTTGTTTTTTATTAATACAATATAAGCAGAAGCGTGCTGCAAATTAACGGTAATTATATAAGTGTGAACAACACGCTACTGATTAATCGTGTCGGCACATAGCTAGAGATAACATGATACGAATTTGTATATCCGAAACAGGGACATCCTTTCCGAATATTTTCATAGCATTAGAATACAAATAGTTTGAAAGTGTCTCGGTCTGTGTTTCAACAGTATAGTTATCCCCAACGCAGGAATCTATATCAGTTTTATTTGCAAGTAGAAGTTCTAAAAAATCTTTTACTTTGTCATTATCCCAAATTATTTTGTTTTCAGTAACATTTTCTTTAACCCTGCTATATGTCTGATCATTAAATAGACGACATTTTCTATTAAAGGTAAAATATAAAGGTGCATGATCCGAAAATTCATTCCATTCTAGAATATTAAAATCAAAATCAGAAATAAAACTATAATTCAAAAAATGTGATAAAAGATAATCAGTTACACTAAGTCCACGTGCTGAGCAGAAGGTAAAGTCACCTTTACCTTGATCTCCATGTATTCGACCATTAAGTATGATATATCCTGTACTTTTACACATAGAAATTAATTTTTTTCCATTATTATCAATACAATTATCTTGATTTATACGTATTGGTATATTACTAATTTCAACCATTAAATCATCATCATTATCAATATCAAGGTATCTATCATACTCTAAAATATCATTTAAATCGGACGTTCTTGAATTGAAGTCTCCTATTACATAGACTTTTCCTTATTTACTATATTTTTCTATACCTTTTCAATTTCTTCAAAAAAATCTACTTCTTTATGATTTAATACATTTGAGCCTTTCGGCGGAATATACAAATTACATAAAAATACATCTTCATTGAAATCAAAAACATCATGAGAAATTTTAAGCCATATAAAGTCCATCATTGTTCTTTTCAATAACAGATATTTTACTTTTTAACTTATTACGAAAATATATTGAGAGTCCTCCACTATATCGACCTTTCTTAGTTCCTATGCTTTTATTACCAAAAATATGAACACTGCTATATCCTTCGATATCTATATTGTATGTATGTGTTTTACTAATCCATGTTTCGCTTAACAAAATTAGGTCAAACGAATTTATGTATTTAATAAATTCATCATCAGTTATCTTTCTCAATAAGCCATTAACATTCCATGAGATACACTTAAGCTCCTCTCGACATCCCTAGTTTGTGATTTGCTTAAATTCCTCACTGTCTTTATGTTGAACAAAAAGTCTATCACCGATCCACTTGATCTTATTTCCGGCTGCTTTTTCTCTCCGCATAATATGATTTAACGCTTGCCTTTTTTCTAGAGTTGATTTAGTGAGTTGTACTCCTACACCAGCTTTCAAAGATTTTAAATGCTCTTTTCGTTCAAAAGATGTTTTCGGATCAATTCCCTATCCTTTAGCCGATTAAATTTTTACCAAATAGGCCTGGGTCCCTTTCCTTCTTTTGAACCAATTCTATTTACGAAATCAATTTGTATATCATCCGTTATATTCAGATTGTCTTTAATGAACCTTTTTATCGTTTGCTCACAGTCCTCGTCAACTTCTTCTTTTAATCCATAAAACATAAGATTTTCTCTTAATCCATGAAATTCCACATCATTAACTTTTGATTCGAGTTGTTGGTTTTTGGCTTCAAGATTGTTCACCATTTCCTGGAAATTTTTACATTTTTCACCTAGCCTTTTAATTTCTTGCTTTGCCGACTCTAACTTCTTCTTACTTTCCTCAGTTTCCTGATTTATGAATGTACATGATGCTTCAGTTTGTTCAACTCGTATGTCAATGTCTTTGACTTTAGTTTCTAATGTATCCACTTTCAAACATACCCTATTTACGGCTTTTTCAATACTATCAATTTTAGACATTGACTTTTTAATTTGTTTCATATCGTTTATCAAATCAGCAGCCCAAGGTGGCGGGCTGATACTCTGTACACCGGCAGCATTGAAAGGCATGTATGACTGTGGTGGCATGAATGTCATGTTTAAAGGGTTCGGAATGGGAGGGATGTATGCCATACTGGATGGTATATTGTTATCCATTTCATAAGTCTTTGCGCCAAATTTGAAATAGTCCGGCGAAGAAGTATTAAGTCGTTTGTTTTGTTTACTCACACTTTGTGTACTGTCCGTTTCCTGACCACTGGTCAAACCGGTTTCCCCCGTTATGTGTGTAAAGTCTGTGTTATCTAAGTTTATCGGTGAAATAACTTTCCTTTTTCCTCGCTTTTTCTTCGACTCTGAGTTCGCTTTATCACTATTTATCTTCGGAGGCATCAAGTATTAATATTATACATTTATTTCGTCAGCGTTTTCCTTCTATATCTATATCGTCCGCTTTTTCACTATATGTCTATAATGTCCGCATTTTCTGTAGCCACTTTATTAATTGTACAAGGGTGAGATGTGTGATTACTTGAAATATACAAGTGTTGGTGCGTGATTAAGTCAAATACACAGGTGACACGTGGATACTTTAATTAGTTGATTGGTATTTATAGCAGAAAGTTTCTTTTATTTACATAATGGATAAAATATAAATAAAGCTAAAAAATATTATGAATTAAAGAAAGTTAATTGATATAAATTAATTATATACATGGTAGAAGCCAGATATTTTTTTATTCATAACAGTTTTCTATTCTCCCGTTTTATACATTTATTTCGTCAGCGTTTTCCTTCTATATCTATATCGTCCGCTTTTTCACTATATGTCTATATTGTCCGCATTTTCTGTAGCCACTTTATTAATTGTACAAGGGTGAGATGTGTAATTACTTGAAATATACAAGTGTTGGTGCGTGATTAAGTCAAATACACAGGTGACACGTGGATACTTCAATTAGTTGATTGGTATTTATAGCAGAAAGTTTCTTTTATTTACTTAATGGATAAAATATAAATAAAACTAAAAAATATTATGAATTAAAGAAAGTTAATTGATATAAATTACTTATATACATGGTAGAAGCCAGATATTTTTTTATTTATAACAGTTTTCTATTCTCCCGTTTTATACATTTATTTCGTCAGCGTTTTCCTTCTATATCTATATCGTCCGCTTTTTCACTATATGTCTATATTGTCCGCATTTTCTGTAGCCACTTTATTAATTGTACATGGGTGAGATGTGTAATTACTTGAAATATACAAGTGTTGGTGCGTGATTAAGTCAAATACACAGGTGACACGTGGATACTTTAATTAGTTGATTGGTATTTATAGCAGAAAGTTTCTTTTATTTACTTAATGGATAAAATATAAATAAAACTAAAACATATTATGATTTAAAGAAAGTTAATTGATATAAATTAATTATGTACATGGTAGAAGCCAAATATTTTTTTTTTATTTATAACAGTTTTCTATTCTCAAATTTTATACATTTATTTCGTCAGCGTTTTCCTTCTATATCTATATCGTCCGCTTTTTCACTATATGTCTATATTGTCCGCATTTTCTGTAGCCACTTTATTAATTGTACAAGGGTGAGATGTGTAATTACTTGAAATATACAAGTGTTGGTGCGTGATTAAGTCAAATACACAGGTGACACGTGGATACTTTAATTAGTTGATTGGTATTTATAGTAAAAAGTTTCTTTTATTTACATAATGGATAAAATATAAATAAAGCTAAAAAATATTATGAATTAAAGAAAGTTAATTGATATAAATTAATTATATACATGGTAGAAGCCAGATATTTTTTTATTCATAACAGTTTTCTATTCTCCCGTTTTATACATTTATTTCGTCAGCGTTTTCCTTCTATATCTATATCGTCCGCTTTTTCACTATATGTCTATATTGTCCGCAATTTCTGTAGCCACTTTATTAATTGTACAAGGGTGAGATGTGTAATTACTTGAAATATACAAGTGTTGGTGCGTGATTAAGTCAAATACACAGGTGACACGTGGATACTTTAATTAGTTGATTGGTATTTGTAGTAAAAAGTTTCTTTTATTTACATAATGGATAAAATATAAATAAAGCTAAAAATATTATGAATTAAAGAAAGTTAATTGATATAAATTAAATATATACATGGTAGAAGCCAGATATTTTTTTATTTATAACAGTTTTCTATTCTCCCGTTTTATACATTTATTTCGTCAGCGTTTTCCTTCTATATCTATATCGTCCGCTTTTTCACTATATGTCTATATTGTCCGCATTTTCTGTAGCCACTTTATTAATTGTACAAGGGTGAGATGTATGATTACTTGAAATATACAAGTGTCGGTGCGTGATTAAGTCAAATACACAGGTGACACGTGGATACTTTAATTAGTTGATTGGTATTTATAGCAGAAAGTTTTTTTATTTACTTAATGGATAAAATATAAATAAAACTAAAAAATATTATGAATTAAAGAAAGTTAATTGATATAAATTACTTATATACATGGTAGAAGCCAGATATTTTTTTATTCATAACAGTTTTCTATTCTCCCGTTCTTTACATTTATTTCGTCAGCGTTTTCCCTCTATATCTATATCGTCGCGCTTTTCACTATATGTCTATATTGTCCGCGTTTTCTATTTCGACTTGATGAAATATGGTATAAAGTATCATGTGTATGATGAAATTAAACACGTGCAGGATTATATCAAATATACAAGTGACACGTGGACACTTTATTTAAATAAAAAAAATGGAATCAGTATATACATAAATATATAATTTATACATTTCTTACTGTTTTATTGTCTGGTAGAACATAACATGATTGTTCAAGAAAATTCATATCTTATTCAGGTTGATAAAGATTACAATGGGGAATATCATTGATTAATTTGAACAAATAAATAAACTAAAGTCTTTTTTAATTATTATAATAATTACACCTTTCAGATATTACTTTATAAAAGCCAATTATTAGCCTTTAATATGAATTTAACTATGCTCAGTCATTTTACACTATATATCTATATCGTCCGCTTTTTTCCTCTTTGTCTATATCATCAGCGTTTTCCCTATATGTTTATATTGTCCGCTTAAAGCGTCCGCGTTTTAGACTGCGCCCTCCGACAAGTAGGCATGTGTATTTGCCCTTTGAATTTAAACGCCATTTGCAATCATATTAGCTGTTCAGGTAAAAATGTTTATTAATTCCAATGAACTATAGATGTATAAAGGCATGTGATTTTTAAATCATAGCTTTGTAATTTCGTTTTCGATGTTTTGCGTTATGATGACGTTTTTACTTTTTGAACAAAATGTTGACTTTATATCACGGATCCATGTAGGCTACTTGCTACACTTCTATATCATATTGCCTTAAAATCGTTTTTCGATATCAATGATGATCATTCAAATTATTAAGTCATATTCCATAAAAATCTAGACTGGTATAGATCTATCTAGATCATAATTGTTACAAAGTGACTTATGTTAGTCAAAATATAATAATATTGACGTGCCAAAGCTACAGATACCAAGATTTAGAATCTGGCGTCTAGAGACGACATATTGCACATGTGCAGAATAGCATAATATCTCAGCGCATTGTACAAAAAGTTGTATTACAAAGTAACTTAGATTCATGTCTTACATAATGTTGTAAAAATAGTTTTTTTTAGATTTTTACACTTTTGTCCATACTGGCATGCGAGCAGTTCCCGTTCAAAAATCGTATTAACTTAAAAATTATTTTACCAAAAAATTGAATATTACAAATAAATATTCGGCTCATCACAGTCATCATGGAAATTCCATTATGTTCTAAACATAGAATAACCCCTAGCTATGAGGCTTCATATGGGGTACCCAAATTATCCATTATTTTGTATGAAGAGAAGTAGTTCCTGTACATAATATATAACCCATTATTATTACACAATGTTGTTATATCAGACCTATTTTTCATTTATAATTGTTGAACAGACCATTTTCCCCAGAGCTAAATAGATGTAATTCTGGAAATAAGGCGTAGACTAAACACTGGTATCTATTACCCGGTACCGTTACCCCAACGCATTCACATGCAATGGCATGCTTGTATGCATGGTATTTTACAAATTACAGCCATAAAATTATTTGATATAGTAATATAGGTCAAAATTCTGATAATTAAACAAGTTTTCATCGCATTGCCTACATGTTTGTACACAGGTGGTATTAGTGGAAAACCCTCTAACAGGCCTCATGTGTAAGTATTTTTGCGCATGCTCGCAAGGACGGAATCCCCCAAAGTAAACAAGGTTACGTTTTGACAATGCACAGGTGAAAGTGATTCAAAATGAAACTTTTTATACATACTGCAGAACTCACTCTTAGATTTTGTCTCGTTTATGCATCTGCTTGAGTTGATATCAATTTTTGAAGAATGCAAGTAAAAATCAAGCTTTTAAATGAAAAAAAACGGGTACTGCTTCTGTACGGAAACTGCTCACATGCCAGTACAACCTTTATTTATTGACATAGGCCTATACCATATTTGGTAGAAAGATAACAGGCATGGTCTTGTTCCTTTCGATTTAACGAGGGGTCAGTGGTTTGAGGTCAATGATACCAATAAAAGATTTCTACATGTTTGCTTTTTCTACACATTTGCTTTTCTTAAATTTTTAATGTGAGGGTACTGTAAATATGTTTAATTTAAACTGTTTAACTTCACATACCTTTTTGAAAATACCTGCTTTATTGCTTATTTTCCTTTAAGCTACATGCATTGCATGATGTCAAGTGTAAGATTTAATAAAAAAAAACAAGGAACCTGAATTTCTTTCAATAGAATTACTTGAATTATGTTGATAATGAGGCACGTTTTCATTCTTTTAGTTCACTTAATTATGTATTGTAATCAAAAACAATTTTATCGACTTTCAGATTTCAGTCAATGGCTTTGTCATACTTGGATCTAGATGGGGTTCAGCCCCTCCACGGCCGCCTAAAATACCCGTTGATCCAACTGATACAAGTGGAATACGACCCCATATCATTGCACCATTCTGGACGGACCTCAAGTTCAAAACAAATGTTTCAAATGTTTGGTATCAGACCTACTACACGTATGCTCCGAGTGGAAGTGGTTGGAACAATAACCTATCTTTGATACAGAATTTTAAGAGTGAAAGTAAAGGTCTAGATGGATTTGAACCACTTCAGGCAGTAGTAATTACTTGGGAGAAAATGGTCCCTATAGATGTGAATGAGACTTCATCTAATGAGGTTAGACAATCTGTTATTTCTACATCCATTCATAAACAGCCCTAATGTCCAGTATTAATAACATAAGAGGAGTGGTTGCCTAGTGGTTAAGGACTGTCTGCCTCTCAACCGAGTTATCATGGGTTCAAGCTCTACTCGTGTCACAATCATAATTTCCAGAGTCCTTATATGACACTTAAAGTACTGGCTAATTCCAGGAAGCAGATACCAAAGTAATGTATATAAGATGCAAGAACTTATTTGGCAATCAAGTTATAATAAATACATGTATATGTTAAAACTAATAACATGTTTAAACATTTACTATTTGTAAGATTAATTTTATATTACAATTGATTTGGTGTTTGTGATGTCCAGGGCAGAGAAACTTTGCTAATTATCATATTTCCACATTATGGCATTCCAAATGGTGTTAGCAAGTGACTGATGGCAAGAAAAACTATGCTAACTAACATATTTTTAGTTTATGACATTTCAATTTATGAGATGGCCAGGGTAACTATTCTTATAATCATATTTTCAGTTTATGACATTCCAATTGGTTATAATGACAGATGGGCAGAATAACTATGCAGTCTTTAATTACGGAGAGAATAATTGGAATACAGAAAATCTTGTTAAAAGGCCTGCTTCAATGTCATGGCAATGTAGCCAGAGATCCTACGAAAATTCACTATCTTTATCAAAAAATATTTACAGTGAGGCTTTCCAAAGTACCAATATAGAAAACAGCAGTAAAGGTAAGATGAATATTTGTTTTAACTTAGAAAATCAGAACATTTTTTTTTTTTTAGGTATTTAAGCTTTTATTAGCGTTACTTAATATTTATCATGTTTATAAGCAATGTTCATTTTCTCTCAGACTGGTGTTTACCACTGTGTTGTCTTTATTGGACAAGTTAAATGACTGCCATACATGCTTATTCTCATTCATGATCCTTTAATTAATTGATACACATTTTTTATATGTATTGTTTTCATCCTCAAATACAGATGGTAAATAACTCCTTTACTTTGGTAATAATAATGTTTTTTTTAGAAACTTTCAAACAGATTTTTTTAAAGTGACACTTAATGCCCAGATAAACTGGTGAGTTCAAAGGTATAACTCTCATTATAACTTTACTCTTTGCTACAATTGTGTTCAATCTTATATTTTACTACATATGTATAAGAATAATCCAAAAAACATGTGACCCACACAAATACCTATAAATTGTGTTCAGGAATGTATCAGTAATGCTGACATTAGTTTTAAGAAGAGTGGTGCAGAATTTTTATAATTTAGGTTGTCTTTATATTTAATCCAAAACATTTTTCATTTAAATTCTGTAAAATTTAAGTCAAAATTACTTCTTTCATTATTTCAGATACTAAAGGAAGATGGCTATTTAAAATGGATTATTGCCCTTCATCCCATATAAATTATCGTAACAAATGTTACAGTTGGAGTTTTGATGAGACGAATACCACAGGGCTCAATGCTAACATGTCTCAAATAAATGAGTTAACACCAAATTGCCCATGCAATGCAAAAAGTGCATTAGAAGATAAAAGATTTGAGCCAGTCTCAATTGGCTTCGGCTTGTGCTACTCAACTAGTTTCCCAAGCTTAGATGATAAAGGCATTCGAGTATGTTAAGTTTTGTTATACACATATATTAAGCTAAATATCTTAAATGAACTTGTCCTTCTTTCATTATTTAGACAAATCCGTTCATCATTTTTTTGGAAAATTTCAAAATAGAAATAATGAGGCAACTCCGAGGGTTAACGCTCTGGACTAGTAATCTAATGATCTCTAGCCGAATGGGTTCAAACCCTGACAGGGGCAAGTCCTTGATTCCTTCGGCAAGAAACTTTACACTCATTGCTCAATACTGGTTGGTTTCAGGAACGGATTCGAAAGTGCGTTTATAAGCTACAGTACGCTCACCGCGGGTTTTGCTTTTTCCGCGATACCACCGCGGACGATTTTTTTTATCGCGGACAAACGCGGGGGTTCGTCCGCGATGAAAGCCTAATTTCCCCCGCGATCCCCGGTGTTCAGTTGTTTCCACCGCAGACAAAATTCTGACGACTGTTCTTCATTCGTCGATAAAATCAGTCACCCGTTTCCCGCGGGGGAACGCCATGGTCAGTTGGTCAGTATAAATTAACCTCCAAAAATAATAGACGTTTTTATTATTTTTTAACGTCATCTCTTTTACACAATGACTTGAAAATTGACCACAATCGTCTCCTTAAATGTTATTATACGTTTAATTTTTGAATGGAATTTGAAATAAAAATAATTACAGCTGTACCTGTTTTTGTTGTTGTTTTTAATATTTTTGTTATAAACGTCCACAAAACTATTCGTCCACATACCAATATTTTTACAACTGAAATCGTCATTTATCATTGTCATCTTTGCTCTTTTATTCCTTGTGGTTCTCAAAGTATTATTGCTGTTAAACTATATGGGAGCCATAAATATGATACTTAGTAAAAAAAGGACATTTGTGCTGATTTCTAAATGATGACTGACGCTACAGTACATGTCCTGTAAGAGGTCGATGAGTGTGAATACAAGACAAGACATAAATAAAATACATGTACATATATTAGAAATAAAAGAAAAAGATATTTAAACCATCTATAAGATTTTATTTGTATTTATATTCATAGACTTTATGATCAACATGCAAATAAACAGAAACAGTAAAACGCATCTGACAATTGAAAGAGACGTCATGGAATATTGCCTGAATAAATTGTTGAGGGTTACGTTTTCAAAGTTTTTAAATAAGAAACAAAAGCTGGCATATAAATTGTTGTAGTATCTTTTTCATAAATGTCATATGCCGAATTTTTCATTATTTGACTTCAAGTTTCTCACTACCATGAAGTTGCGACGACAATGATTTATCTTGATGTCGAATATATATTATACATTACCCAACACAATAACTAGAAGAAGAAGAACAAGAAATACACTGCATTTGTACATGTACTTTAATTACAACAAAAAAGAAAACAAACAAACAAATTTTACATATAGTTATATGTACAGTACACGTTACAGTACGTACGTATACTGATGTTTAAATACAGTAATTAATTTTTAAAATTTAAGGTTTCCACCGCGTTGACCGGTGTTTGACCGCCGCGTTCCTCCGCAATTTACCGCTGCGTTCCGCGGGGGAAATGGTTTCAGCCGCCGATTTATGTCAGCGGTGGTGAAAATTTTCTGTCCGCGGGGTCACGCGGACAATATCTGAGCAAATTTTCGTCCGCGGTAAACCTCATCCGCGGGGTCACGCGGGTTTTGCAAAAGCCGCGCTGAGCGTACTGTATAAGCTTCCTGCAGACTCAAACTAAAATAAATTCTGTATAAAAAATAGATATTGACTGAATATAGAACAGTTGATGACATGGTCCATGATGGATGTACTGGTAACATGGGTAGAATCTGTAGTTGCCAGTAGACTAAAAGTTAAGGAAATGCACTGAGGCCCAAAGGCCTACAAATCTGTGAAATTTAAAATTTTTACATTGATTAACTTAAGAGCACATTAAACAAAAATATATGAAAAAAATAAGAAAAAGATACGCTCGGAATTAAATTGAAAAAAAAAATTAAGTGTAATTTTTAGCCTGATTTGTGTAAGAAGCATTGAAAGCCCAAAGGCTTTTAATTTTGAGTGTGACTAAAAAAAGGATTGGAGCACCACACTAAATACCGTATTCCGGTATATACCGGACAAGACGCTTGAATGATAAAATGCTAAAATCTTGCCTTTTCGCCCAACGGAATGAAATTTAAAAGGTCTAATTCATCTTTTCACACCGATTTATGTATGATAATGCATGAAAAATGTAAAAACCGGCAAAAAAAACGATATTTGTCTATTTTGTGATCATGATTTTTGCAAGCATCTAAAGGTACTGCTCCAATCCTGTATTGAGTTAAATCCTTTAATTTTTGGGTCATTTTGTAGATAATTCTAGAAAAATGGATTGAGCAAATGACTTGAATTACCTGAATAACTTGTAAGTAAATTTTATACTTGGATTATTCCAGTCCCATCATGTCAAAGTACATGGAGTCCCTTTAACATCACCAATTTATATGCCTTCACTATAATTACTGATCACTTTTCATTTGTATATGGATGGATCATTATCAAACCTTAAACTAAGAATCATAAATCAAATCCTCTGAATGTTCTTTAAATGAATTGGGGCATGCACATTGTAACTGGCCGTCAGAGTCCAAAAAAACAAGATCTTGGAAATTCAATATCTGTTTTGGTGAGCAATAATACAGCAATTTTTTTTACTAGGTGAAAGGTACATACTTTAAAGTATATTTTAAGTATGATTTCGTATATGAACAAGATTCTAAGTTTTTAAGTAAAGTGATTTTTCCATATATTCTAGTTATGTTGCTATGACAAATCTGCTGCACAAAGTTTGTTGACTACAATACCTGGAGCTGGTTTCCTCAGTCACTATAGCCCACTAAGAGCTACCATAGATTACCAGAAACATGACATGGAACCATATATGTAAGTATATGATAAATTTAAATATAAAATGTTTGGTTCCCTTTCTTGTTACTGCATTTTGTACAGTTAAAGATAATGAAGTCTTAATAGAAATTATATCCTGTTTTTAGCTCACCTGTCACAAAGTGACATGGTGAGCTTTTGTGATCGCTTTTCGTCTGGCGTCCGTCCGTCCACCGTCCGTCCGTAAACTTTTGCTTTAAACGACATCTCCTCATAAAACACTAAGCCAATTTCAACCAAACTTCACAGGAATGTTCCTTTGGTAGTCAACTTTTAATTTAATTCCATGCAAAACTCTGGTTGCCATGGCAACCAAAAGAAAAAACTTAAACAAATCTTCTTTAAAAAAAAGGAAAGAGCTAGAGGTAAAATATTTGGCATGAAACATTGTCTAGTCAGTGTCTACCAAATTTGTACAAATAAAAGCCCTGGGGTCGAAATTGGCCCCGCCCCAGGGGTTCACTACCAAATTTATACAAATAAAAGCTCTGGGGTCGAAATTGGCCCCGCCCCAGGGGTTTATTGATTTTCCCTCTTTGTATATAGTAAAAATTTAAAAAATCTTCTTTTAAAAAGCCCAAATAGCTAGAGCTTAGATATTAAGCATGATGGGCCGGGAAGGGGAGGGTCATTGTTTTTCCCTATATGTGTATTATAGTAAAAATCTTTATATAGCTAGAGCTTAGATATTTATCATGAAACATCTTCAAATGGGTGTCTGCCAAGTTTGTTCAAATAAAAGCCCCTGGGTTAAAATTGGCCCGTCCGGGGGACCTATATACAGGTGAGCATCTTCAGAGCCATCATGGCCCTCTTGTTTTGTATTATTGTCAGGCTTGGAGGAACTAAACTTGTAAGGATGAACTTTACATAATAATTCTAAATAATAGTTATTATCTAATTAGTTTTTTCCCCCTATACAGTACACAGTGAAATTTCCCTTTACAGAATTATGAACAAATGTTACATCATAAACGTGAAACCTATGAAGAAATTGTTTATTTCTTTAAACTGACCTTTAAGCTATGAATTAACTAGGTACTTTATCCTATAATTAATTTATTACTGTGTACTAAACACTCATAAGACATCCGAGTCACCATTTACAGAAAAAAACACCATGTACTATTTCTTGTTTTCATTACAGTTGGTGTTGTGAGCAGAGTGACTTATGTGAACTATTTACTGCATTAAGACCAATAGACGACTGTACAAACTACAAAAGTCCTACCCCAGGTTTGTCATACTGTCAAAGTGTTCACTTTCCATGTTGCAAAATATGATTTGGGTGCCTTGTTAAATGCATTTGTATTTAGATAAAGTATATGTCAAGGTTTAAAGCTACTCTTGAAAAAGATTCATGCTCCCTGCTCTCAGTTCGAATCCTGCCAGGGACTTTGGATTCTTTCATGTGAGGAAGCTTTCAGCTAGCTTAAAGAAGGTTGATAATCCTTCTCAGTTACTCACTTGTGCCTGAAATAATGCACAAAGAGGCACACAAGGTCTTCTTTCACTAGTAAAGCTGGAAAGTTGCCATATGACCTATACTGTGTTGGAGCAATGTAGTAGTGAACCGATCAAAAAAGAAAAAATTGAAATGTCTTAGTATAGTACAAGAGGATATCAACCCTGCACTTGCTGGAACGGAAGGGTTTTTTATCCTTTGCCACCAGTCCAGAGTCAGGCCAGTTAGCACAATCATCAATCATGGCACTCAGTGTTTTACCAAGCTCATCAATTTTAATTTTCATCACCTGAATATTGATAACCGACCGTCCCAAAAATTAAAACTATTGACTAATGGATATATATGAAATACAGGAGGATAAGGGTAAATATTGTTCAAATTGTTGGTTTCAGGTTTTATGTTTGGTGATCCACATATCAGAACACTTGATGGCGCAGAGTATGCATTTAACGGACATGGGGAATATACATTGCTGAGGATATATGACAGCACCAGTGGAGAAGTTGTGTTTGAATTGCAGGGTATTGTCTTCAAAATTAATGTTAATTGATCAGATGATGTTCAATCTTTACACTTCCAGCATTATACAGTTCAACCTCTGCAAAGCAAGACCCTGTTGGAGGCAAAGATTTTGGTTGTTGTTGAAAGGTGTTCCTTTAGAGAGATTAAATCAAGCATTAATTCTTATATTGAGAATATTTTTTTCTGTTATTGTGAAGACAGATGGGTGCTCTGCAAAGGTTACACTGTATATGTCCTACTCTTAATATTTATTTGGCAAAAGACCTTGGTATACCCGCTGTTAAATGACATGGTCTATATGATTTAATTATATGGTATATGTACTTTTTTGGATACTCATTAATCATGTTTTGATGGAGGATGTAAAATAGTCATTATACTTTTTCTTTGTTCATATCTTTCATCAGTTTATATCAATTCTTTATATGTTGAAATTTACACAAATAGAAAAATAACCATTCATTTATTGTAGTACGTTCCTGTTCTACTTAATTCCTATTTTGTGTTGTCTGATCCTGATCTGTTCATTATTTGATATTATATATTTTAAAAATAATGAATTGTTATTTTGATATTCTGTCCATGTTTTAAGATGGATTTAAGATATTTAGCATTGTAAGGACTCAAACCTTTCAATCTGACCTCACATTATGCTAACTGATTGAATGTTTGAATTTAAAAAAAACAACAGGTATTGGTTAAATATGATTGACCTTATGATAATTTGATGATCAATTACATTTTTTTTACCTTTAACTCCTTTTGGCATCTTTGAAATGCATAAAATATCATGGCTTTATGTAAGTTATGTAAATTTTACATTTTATTCCCTTTCCTCATTTATTATGCAAGATTGTCCTTACACATACTAGAAAATTTGAGCTGCGTCATGACAAAACCAACATAGTGCGTTTGCTACCAGCATGGATCCAGACCAGCCTGCACATCTGAGCAGTCTTTTCAGGATCCATGCTGTTCGCTATCAGTTTCCTTCTTGTTATAGGGTTTCTAAAAGAACAGCATTGATTCTGATCAGACTGCGCTGATGCGCAGGCTGCTCTGGATCCATGCTGGTCGCAAACACATTATGTTGGTTTTGTCATGACACAGCTCAAATCATTATCTCAGTCATTTTGAGTTTCTAAAAGGTACAATACATTCTTCTCTTTGTAGAGTAATGGTATGAATATCTAATTAATTGTTTTTGTATATTTTGTAATGGTATGTTTTAGGAGAAAAAACACTTTTTTCTATTAATCAAGGTCGCACAGAACCAATCAACTCTACAGTAACTAATGAAAGGATAAATGCAACAGTTTTTACAGCTTTTTCGGCAGAGGATAAAATCAGCGGTGGTTATTTTCATGTGGAGGAAAACATTGCAAAAGATGGTACTGAAACTTATGTATCATTTTCTTTTGGTGTAAAGAATTGTTTTTAAATAGTATTAATGTATTTTCATAATTATGGTAATTTTCTGATATTATGAATAGTTTTACAGCACTATGGTCACTGTGTAAAACATTTTTTTTTTCATTTTAGAAATTTGCTTGAGTTGTGTATGTTAGAGATTTACTTAGATTATAGTGTATTCAGAAATTAACTTAAATCAAATTTACATAATTTGTAACTTATCTGAGTGATTTACCTGTATTGTTTTTAAGAAATTAACTTACCTTTAAATGCATTTAAGAGACTTAAATAGATCATGAATTAAATTTATTTCAGAAATTTCATTCAGAAATTTACTTAAATCATAAAATTAAGATCAAATTCTATTAACTTTTGTAATCACTGAAAGAAGATATAATTTCACACGCTTTAATTTTGCTTCAGCTCTAGCTCACTCTGAACTGGTTGGCTATTTACACTTAACTAATATCACCACATATGACCTTTAAGATTTATTTTGTTTTACAGGATTTATTCTATACAGTTATAAATCATCAGAGGCGGTGGATCACACACTAGATTTTCTTGGAAATATTTCTAATACTGTTCACAAAGACATTATTATACGCAAAATATCTGATACAAGTTTAGATGCTGTTTTTTCTAATGGTAAGTGTTTCTGTTGCTTTCATACATACATGCTAAGTATGGTTAACAAATCATTTTAATTGACTGTACCTATTTTAAGGTGTATATCTGTAATACATGAAAACAATGCAGGTTTACTCAGGTAACTTCTGTACATGCCAGAACAGAGGTACAGTGCTAATGACCGTAGGAAGAATTTCATAATCAGTTACATTATAAGTGACCTGCAGAGTCCAAAATTATACCTGAGTCGTCCAATTGTCAGTCCAATGTTCGGATGACTTCACAATTCTGTGCAATATATAGCTGTTACACACCAGCAACGTGTTAAGCAAATGGTCCAGTTTATTGTTTACTAAGGAAAGATATTCACTTTCAGCTTGGAATACATGTTCACTACCAAAATTTGAATGCATGTCTAATGGGAGGATTATGCAGTGCAGTGTATAGCTTTGTTTAATACAGTCCCTTATCATATATTAATGCTTTAGTAATTTTCTCAAAAATTCTTCAATCTTGAAATGCTAATGTTTACTGTCAAGGCAAATAATTCAGCAAAGAAGTTTTTTAGAATTATGCCCCCCTTTTCTGAAATCTGTGGAGCTGCGGGTTTGTTGTTAAGCATTTAGAGTCAAAGTGTTGACTATTTGATACATCGTCCTGCTATTACATTTGACCAGTCAAATTTAGGTTTTTTATAATTTATATTATATATCAAAACATTATTGCTGTAATTGCAGGTATAACTGTAAATGTAAGAATATCACTTGAGCTGCTTGATGCATCATTGACCATACCACAAACATTCCGAACAAATCACAGAATGGCTGGTCTGTTTGGAAACGATGATGACAACCAAGTGAATGATTTCGTATTTCCTAATGGAACGTTATTACCATTCAACAGTACAGAGAAAGAGATTTATGCCTATGGAGAAACGTGTATGTCATCTATGATGAATTTAGAGTAACTTACCAGAATTGGGCATAATGTAATCTTAGACTAATGTATTTTACCAGAATTGGGAATAATGTAATTTACAGTAACTTACCAGAGTTGGGAATATGTAATTTACAGTAACTTACCAGAATTGGGAATTATGTAATTACTGTAACTTTCCAGCATTGGGAATTATGTATTTGCTGTAACCAGAATTGGGAATAACGGAATTTACTGTAACTTACAAGAATTTGGAATACTGTTTTTTACTGTAACTTATTAAAGCAGGGAATAATGTTTTTTGCTGTAACTTGTCAATGTTGGGAATAATTTTTATACTGTAACTTACCAAAGTTGGGAATAATGTAATTTACTGAAACTTATCAAAGTTAAGAATGAATAATGTAATTACTGTAACAGAATAATGTTTTTACTGTAACTTACCAGAGTTGGAAATAATGTAATTTACTGTAACTTTTTAGAGTTGGGAAAATATAATTGCATATTCTTCCACAACCAGAATTATTTTGATCAGTGCTTACAATGTTGTAATTTATTGAAGGGTGATACATGTAAAATACAAGAAAAAACGCATAATAATTTATTGTATTTTATAGTCAAATTATATAAGATTGTTGTTTTTTTCAGGGAGGACAACATCTACATCAAGTTTATTCCAGTATAGGGCAGGTTTCCAGCATTCAGACTACCAGTTTCCAGATTTCCAGCCCCTATTTCTAGAAGACTATACTGATAAACAACGTGCTGATGCAGCCACCTTGTGCGGATTAGGAAACAATATTGCCTGTGTTTATGATTACCTAGCAACACAAGATGAAAACATTGCAGTACAGACAAAGAATGTCACAGATGAGGCGGAGATTATCTCAATCATAGCCAGTATGTTTAATATAATAACTAAGAACTTATCCAGGGTTTATAGATATCAGCAGCCTTATTACAATGAACCCAAAGAACAACTAAAAAAAAACATGACTTGTGAATTTCAACATTTTTTTTTTTAAGTTCTGCAAGTAACTTCTAACTTCTTATAACATCTGCAGTGGATTAAAGTTGCATTCAACATAATGTCTTAACTAAATTGTTGTGAGATGCTATATACCATGGCCAACTTAAACTCCTTTGTCCATAGATTTTACATTTTGTTTCCTTGCTAATCAGAGGGGACTACTTTCTTTTTCACCATAACAAAATCATGATTTATTTTTATACCAAATAAATAATATGATGCATTTTTTCTTCTTTTTTAATCAGAAAATTCTGCCCCAACTGTGAGGTTTGAGCTGCAGAAGATTAATGCCAAGGTGAAGGACACTGTATTGATCAATGTGAGGGTGGATGACCTTGACCTAGAGAATGTGACATTGTATTTCTATGGTCCGCAGAATGACACACAAATAGGAGCTAACTTCACTTACACCTACCCCTGGACAATTGAAAATATGCAACCAGTCAACATCAGGTAAATGTATATAACACCATGTATAATGTTTCCTTTTAATCTGTGATGATTGTGTAAATAAAGGCAAGTTTAGTTTGTCTCCTTCAAAGTTAATGTCAAGCTATTATGATAGCTGGGTTGTGGTCATTGTAGTTGAAGTCATTTTGTGGGGTTGCTTCAATAAAGTCAATCACTCAGACACTTATTAAGTTACCATCATGAAATTTGGAGAACTCAATTATCCTGAAAAAATATAGTTGAGAGAGACAAGGAGCATAATTTTGGGAAAGGAGTTATGCCTCTTTTTATCCTAGATTTTTTTTGGTTAAAATTGCCTATTAAGAAGAATGATTTCTAAAGTATGAAAGCTATCAACATGAAACTTGGAATACTTGATAATCATCACAAAGCACAAGTGTACCATAAGAGGCTTTGTTCTGAAACCAATATTTTTAGGAGTTATGCTACTTTCTATCTAAGATAGTTTTTGAGCATTGGTTATTAAGAGTTATTGCCCTCAACATACAAGTGATAACTCTACATGCAGTGCTCTTAGTTTTCTCACTGCTTCCAGGTCTATCTATCTATTAAAGTATTAAACTTCACAAGTACTCCCCAAGTTTCCCATGCTTCTCCTAACAAAGATTGATAGATTTACAAAATGTGTGCCTAAAGGACACTTCTGGGAGTTTTTTTCCCCACTTAAAATGTCCCTGTTACCATATTCTAACAACATGCCATGTTTTAAGAAATTCTATTGAACAAATTTAATTTTGCCTATATTTCTATATGAAAACTCCTGAAAACATAAAATTATTTAATTATCATAATTAATAATGTTAGTGTTTCTGCTTCTTCTATTTTAGTGTTTATGCAGATGACAGTAAAGTATCGTCCTCCCAGTTAAGATTGCCTGTCTCTATATGTAGTGGTTGTAGTGACCATGGAGACTGTGTTTATGGTGGTGCCATAGCAACTTGTAACTGCTACACTGGCTGGGAAGGTTTGTAGATCACTAATATTAACTATTTTATACTTAATATTCTTACCATATATCTGTATAAATTATATAAGTTTAAAGGAACTCAACTGAGTTTCAAATTTATAAAAGGACATAATAATAAATTTAATTATCACAAAGGTCAACTATAACATATAAAGGGACTCCCCTGAGGTTTTCTGACATGATGAGCTTGGAAATAATTTTTCTAGATTAATGTTCCATCATTTAAAGACCATGTATAGGAATTCTATTACCAAAGTCTGGAAAATTATTGATACCTGTTGAAAATGTAATAATGGTGCAGTAATGTTGCCTTTTTAAAACTGCAGCCAAAATATTTCAAGAAAATCAAACTTGAGAGAAGCTCATTATGATTTTAAGAAAAGTAAAAAGATTCATTAGATTCAAATAATACTTTACATGTTAGGTTCATTAAATGATTGATTTTTCAGTATGTATCATCATATTTCTAATGCGTGACTAAAGCAATATATCGATACAAGCAATACAGATGACAGATTGTTATAAAACTGTTAAATCAGTCTCAATTTAAACTGATCAGTATGTTGCATCATACTCTAGTTAGTTACTGAAACATTAAATGTAAATAGCACTGCCTCAAATAAGAGAAGAGTGTATTTGATATTATACAACAGACTTAGTAATGTTATCTGACTTGAGTAGAAATTCAGTTTCTTTTGTTCAGTGTGGTAGGCCAATGTTTGTTGACAATGTTTTATAATTTATACTTACAAATATTAAGTATCATTCTTAAGATTGTTACTTGTATATAATAAATAATTATGCTGCAGGCGTTGATTGTGCCAGAGACATAGATGAATGCCAATCAAAACCTTGTGCTGGAAATGCTAATTGTACCGATTTCACACCGGAACAGAAAATACAAAATGGCATTGGATATGATTGCATGTGCTTGGAGGGGTTTACCAAACTTAATGGCAAATGCATAGGTATGCCTAAATGAAATAAAAATAATTTTAATACTTTAAAGCAGTGAATATGTCATCATGATCTTAAACAGAAATTGAGAATCAAAATGCATAGCTATTGAAAATACATAACCTGGAATTGTTATGAAATGAAAAAGATCTAAATACTTTAAAGCTGTGAAAATAAAAGATGATCTTTTAGAGTAATTTGGAATAAACATGCATCAGTATTGCAAATTCATAACCAGATTGCTATGAAATGAAAAATATTCAAGCAAATACTGTAAAATCATTATTATTTATGGGGCACTAGTGTTTGTGGTTTTCGTGGATAGGTTACACCACGAATTTAAAACCAAACAAAATTTTATTTTGTCTCAGCTCTCAGATCATTTGACATAACAGTATTTGCATTTTACTTATTGCAAACTTAGACAACTACAATTTTATGAGCTTATGAAATTTGTCCTTTTTTATAACCACGAAAGTTCATGAATATGAAATATAGTGAATACACAATATATTATAATCTGTGATATATTGATTCCCCACACTTATGATTCACCTCATAATGATTTTTCCCTCATAAATGCAATATTGCACTTCTCTCATAGCTATCGATTTTAAATAAACATGATTAAAATGATAATGTTGTCATGTTGATGCCTGCTTTAATAACTTAAATAATTTCTTTGTTCTATAAATGAAAAAAAAAATTGTGTGTTTAAAGAAAGATTATTGGAACCTTTGTATTTTATGGTTAAATTTGTTAAATTTGAATGTCTTGCCCCTTAACCACTGCTTGTAAAAATCCTGTCCTCTTTCATTTGTTTAAGCTGTCAATCTGAATTATGGAAGGTCAGTGGTTCTACTTGGTAGATTTGGTCACCGCTGCTGAAAATGAAAAAATTTCTTTATTTATATATTTATATCACCATACCATATCATGATACTAACAGTTTGACAAACTGAATATTTGTAATGTTCAAGCCTTTCTTAGTTAATATCCACAAATTTCCATAGTTCTCCTTTTATATCTGATAATTCTGTTAAACCATCATTATGACTAGATCTTGACTAGTACTTTAAATATCCAAATGTGTATTTATATATTATTCATCGGGCTTATGATATGTAATAGAGTAATAAACAATAAGCAAGTATATGTATGTGAAACTACAGTATTGTTCTAACTGTTTAACAACATAACTAAAGAAAGCATCACCATGTATCGAAACCTCAGAACTGTATCACGATACTGTATTGTGATGTATCAATTATATCAGACCATCTCTACTACTTGGGTATCTGTTTACAGAATTGCATGTTATGTTGTCCTCTGCCAGTTATGCTTGAAAAATACCCTATTACATTTATGGTGTCAGGCTGACTTAAGAAATAAACAACAACAAAAAAGAATATATTTATAGAAATAATGATAAAATAGCTTCTTGTCTCTCTTATATTTCAGATATTGATGAATGTACACTAGATTCACCACCATGTGATCAGAAATGTGAAAATACAGAAGGGTCTTATATATGTTCCTGTAACTCCGGTTATAGGCTTACATCACAAAACAAGTGTCAAGGTAATGACTTAAGTTCTATTGCAGCATGCCCAGTGATGCACAATCCTGCATTTTTCACGCAGAATTCAATACAATGTGTATGCAAATTTTCCAAAGTCCATGCGTGCAAGTACGCACATTTATTGCTAATGAGAAATTAACAAAAATTGTCAAAAAAATGGTGGCACCAAACCGATAAGAAAATTAACATGATAATAAAGGGGCCTGTAAAAAGATCTAGCTATTGTACCTTTGATACTGAGTCAATGATATCAAACTCAGTCAATTTTGTCATTTTATGTTTCTTGCTATACCATCCCTAAAGTTTATATAGTGCATAGCTTGTTAAGTCTATTATACTTTTGTAGGACATACATTTAAGCATATTTCCAAGTTGGTTAGATGAAAAAATTTTAACCAATGTCTTAGAATAAACATGAAATTGGCTGCTGTTGCTTGTTAAGAGTGCATGAGGGGGTGAGAGTGAGTGAGGGAGGAGGCAGGGAAAGTGGGTAAAGCGAGGTCAGGTCAGGCCAAACGTGGTCAGTCAAATGAGTGGGGACATCAAAATAATGTATCCTATTGTTATAATGTTAAAGAAAAATAACGCTATGTTTACAGATATAAATGAATGTGCTATGAAAACCAGCCAGTGTCAACATATATGTGTCAACCAACTGGGCAGCTATAAATGTGAATGTCACAATAACTACACACTACAGAATGATGGAAAATCTTGTAAAATTGAAGGTTAGACATACACCATATTTGTTTAAAACTTATATACCTCATGATTCTTGCATTTGTAATTGTTATTACCACAAAAATGAAATTAATATATAACTGCTGTACATGATGATATGTACAAAAGACTCTTTCATTCTGTTTAGGTTTATTTGTGAAATTCTGCTCGTCTAGAATTACCCTTATTGTTAATTTTTTATATTGAAAAGATTCTGTAATGTAACTTAATTTAAAGAACTCACTATTAATTTCTTTTGGTACAATTGCATTAAAGATCAATTAGGAAGATTGATAATTGAATATCATGATGTTTGTTTTTTTCACTTTGATTAGTTTTTAAGGTGATTTTAAAGTCTTTTTTGGCCAAATCTTTTTGGTCAATCATCCTATCAGGCTTTCCTGTAATTACCAACTTCTGCACATGCAAAAGAGATTTTGTAATGTCAGTATGGGATTGGTTCCCCATATGGAATGGTTCTTCAACCCATACTGATCATTTGGATGGGGAGAACAAATGGGGTCACCCTCATTGTTGGGGCCTGAAAAAAAGAAAGAAAAAAAACCCCAACAACTTCTGCATAGGTGACCAACCACTTAATCTCACATGAATTTTAAATTAACATTCAGAAACAATGGACTATAAGACCTAATATCTGAGATAAACTGTCACAGAGTAATTTTTAGGCTTGCCGAGGATTAGACCAAGGACGCCTGAGATTACAAAAATATGATGCTCTCCCCTATAATTAAGCTAAGTAGGGGCTGAGAGATACCTTTATGATTTCATATGGAAATACTGTTAAATATATTCAGCATGTATGTTTTTTTTCAGAAACATTGAGACAACTATGTAAAGAGAAGGGCTGTGAGGATTGTGAAAGGGATGGAGATTCTGAAGTAAAATGTTTCTGTAGGATGGGTTATGTCCTAGCTAGTGATGGCCAAACTTGTCAAGGTAGGAATGTTCCTAATCAGAGCTTATCAGACTATTTATGCATATTTGTTTCAAACTAACTTTCAAACCAAATGTATGTATGTCTTTGCAATTTGTTGGATCAAAATTGATGATATACTGTTTGCTTATTCTGAATATGACAGACAACATTAACAATTATAGGCCTTAATCATTAAGTTAAAGTCTTAAAAGAAGTTTTTATACTGGGATATAAGATACCTGGATGAGTTCTAAATTTTGACACATTAAATGATAACTGACCTTTTTATGACCTTGATATTCAAGGTCAAATAGGTTTTATCCAAAATATGTTATCTTAATTAACAAATCTGGGACAGGGTCACGGTGTTATCATGAACACATCTTTGTTTTATGTGCAATAATGCAATTGCATGTTTTGGTTTAAGAAAGTTAATTTTAGAAAATAAATATACATGTACATAATTTATTCAATCTTAAATTAGGCAGAGAACGTAAAAATCAAATCAATCCCAAGTTATGTTATTACTTTATGTAACTTTGTCCAAATTAAAGTATGTTGCATTGGTTAAAATATCTTTGTCTTTTGAAATATAAAAAGGTTCAAGACAAGTCCATGACTGGTATAATATAATGCATGATATTGTTGGTATAAAAATGATGAAGTTATGAAAACTGGCTTTCTCTATTACTATTAAATAGACCATTAAAGCTGACACATTGAATTAAAAGTTAGAATTATAGCATATTGCTAATAGGTTTAATTACACACAAACCTAAGTTACTATAAATACATCCTGATTACAAATCTGTCAGGTAATTGGTTCTTTGGCTTGGTGATCTAGAAGGTAGTGGCAATTTGCTTGCTAGTCAGTGGTAATGAGTTTGAAATCAACACTGGATAGGTATCATCCAGATGTTCATGCATCATCATGTTATGAACTTAAAACTTTTAATAATATATAGTCTGGCTTAAAAAAATGTTTCAGTAGGTAGTTTTTTATATAAAGAAATATATTTTTCAACTTGACAGACATGGATGAATGTGAAACATCAACATGCTCTCAGAACTGTACAAATAGTGTTGGATCTTATAAATGCAGCTGTTTTGATGGATACCAATTGTCCAGTGATACACACAGTTGTATACGTAAGTCTTCCTATTCATTTAAGAATATCCTTTGCTATTATGACATGACGTCATTTGCGTTGTACAAATGTAGCAAAAAGACACGTTATATGTTAGCATTACATTCTAGGTGTTTCAATGAATAGGTGATTCTCTTTTACTACAAACAGTTTATATTTTGGATATGTGATAAGCAGAGTATTATATTTGTGTAAATTTGTTACTAAAAATATAATTAACTCATTGAATGAAGTAATATAAGGTGCATCTCTTTGAATAAAAAAATGTAGATCTAATGCTTGCCAACTCATTCCATAAATTCAGTAATAAACCTACACTCATTTAACATAGTCTTTTCACTATATACCTTCTGAAAAATTTATAAGAAAATCTGAGCTTATTTGATTATGAATTTAAAGTGAATACATATGTCCACATTTATTTAATTGAAAATGATCATATTTTTATAGAAAAAATAGTTATTAGTAATAAAAGGTGATATCTTATCAGATAATTATAGTATTAGCATGAAAATAGTATTGCAGTATTTTTGTTGTATTAGCATAAAGATAATAATGCTTTCTTTATTTACAAGATTGACATCAATTGATTTGAACAAACATGAAATAAATGGAAGGTATAATTGAGATGTTATATTTCAGCTTGTGAGAGTGGAAAATGGGGACCAGGATGTCAGAACAATTGTAACTGTGTCTATGCAACCAGATGTGACAAATCATTTGGCTGTGTTTGCCAGCCTGGCTGGACAGGGACACTTTGCGATGTGGATGTTAACGAGTGCGGGGTCAATGCATGCACTTTATTCCAGGACTGCTCTAACACTCCAGGCTCATACTCTTGTCAATGTAAAAATGGCTACACAGAAAATACCAACAAATCCTGCTCTAGTAAGTTGAGATTTTTATAGTTTCTTTTGCAATTACTATATAATTTTAATAAAGTAAAGATGTCAATGTGGCTTAAATTTTAATATTTGTTTATTGATGAAAACCTCATGCAGTGTAAATGTTTATCGATTGTGCAATGCATCCATTGTGTAACAAAAACTTCTTCATATTATGCACTAAAAAATCGAGGTATCAATTTGAAGAGGCCTGGTCTTTTTACTAGAGAATATTCAAAAACTCTTGATTTCTGAACTGAGAGACAACTGAAAGACCTTCAAAATTCTTTTTGTAAATTTTTTCTCTACTTTTCATGTTTATCAAGTAGTTTCAAAGTTAAGTTATAAAGCTTATTATGTCATTTAACAATCTAACAAATTTGTTCAGATATTGATGAGTGTTTGCCAGGGGGAGATAACACTTGTAATACGGAAACGGAAGAATGTATTGATGTCTCGCCTGGGTTTATTTGTAAGTGTCGCAGTGGTTATATCCAGAAAAACTCAGTTTGTGAAGGTAAGATTTTAAATATTTTTATTCTTAGCCCAACTTTTTGTCCAATGAGAATGCTTAGATTTTAAACTTCTGACTCCTTATGATTTTCTTTAAATTGTTCTTCAGCATATCTGTAACCATTTATTCAATTGTGGAGTCTATTTGGATGCATATCTGTTAAAGTAGGTGAACAACACACTTAGTTTGACACTGATATGGAAAAACGTTTTTAAAAACTTTTTCTCAGTTCAGTCGATCCTGATAATGATCCTCCATTCAGCTTTTAAAATTGATTTATTTGTACTAATTAGTGTCTATTTATTCCATGTATGCTTCTGAATACAAATATTAAGGAGACAATTATGTTTGCCATTTATTTGTTCTTCCCTTTTATTCTTCCATATAAAACACTTACATAAACTTACTGTTATAAGTAGTATATTTAGACTGATACCGTTGTTTGAAATTATTATATTGGTTCCTTGCATTGACCATAACCCTTTGGGGATTGTAGGGTCAAAAATTGTCTAGTAAAGCGGGTTTTACACTTTTACTTTTTCTCATAGATCTTTTTATATATGGACTGATATCTTGCATAATTATGTGGTGGCTTTTTATCCCCCGCCGATAGATCGGGGGATATTGTTTTGGTGTTGTCCGTCCGTCCGGATGTCCTTCCGTTCATCTGTCTGTCCATCCATCCGTCCGTCCGAATTTTGTTTCCGGACTAGTTCTCTGCAACTACTGGCTGGAATTCAACGAAACTTTATTAGAATCATCGATATTAAGAGGAGATGCGTAGATCGTCAGCTTGTTTCGGTCAGACCCTTTAACTCAGAGTTATGGCCCTTGATTAGTTATGCAGTATGCATATAGAGTAAAAATCGTTTCCGCGCTACTTCTCTGCTACTACTGGCTGGAATCCAACTAAACTTTATGGGAACCTTCAATACCAAGAGGAGATGCGCATATCTTCGCCTTCTTCCGGTCAGACACTTTAACTCAGAGTTATGGCCCTTGATTAGTTATGCAGTATGCATATAGAGTAAAAATCGTTTCCGTGCTACTTCTCTGTAACTACTGGCTGGAATTCAACGAAACTTTATGGGAACCTTCAATACCAAGAGGAGATGTGCATATACGAGGGATGATCAAAAATAAACTGTTCTGTGACTGGCAATTGAAGAATTTTCATCCTATCACTTATTGTTATATATCACACTTAATCGGAAAACAATACCTGTAAACTGATACTATATCTAACCTGATAACGCAAAAAGCTTGTCCGTAACAGCGAATTCAAAAACCATGGTAACACACACCCGGCGCAGTGCGTAAATTCGCCCTGACATCAGGCGCTTTATGCTGCGTGTATTTTACAATATGGTACATTTAGATTTCAGAATACGCCAAAACGTCATGTACCATATCTTTGACGTTGTCAGTAAAAATGACTTCATTTAAACCATATTTATATTTACAATCACAATTCAAACGTCTCAAGTTAATGAAATACTTGCATTAAAACTATGTCGTCGGAATGTCTCGAAAATTGATCAATAGGAAAAATTTGTCAAATGTAAGACGAGAAACTGTTTAAAACGTAGAAAAAGATTATGGCTATCAAGGGAAAAGTTCCAGAAAGCCACATCATATTTTTTGATTAGCTTAAAGGATTAAGAAAGGATAATAGAGAAATAGAAAACAAGTAAGGGAGAGACAGAAAAAAGACATTTTCAAAGACGTTGGTGACGTCAATTGCCAAGACGTTGAAAAATGACAGTCGATTGACTGCGGACATTGTCAACGATGTTCGACAGTAACTACGGGATGGTGCAGTCAACTCTGAGGATTTTAAAATGATAATGTTAATGCAGCTATTACATGTATTGTATTCTTGGTTTACAATTGTATCAATTATTTTCTTATTTTACGCAGTTTGAGTCTTATTGAGAAATCGTGTCAACAATTTAACAGTCACTGTTCAAATTGGCTATGCGTTTTATTTATTTTAAAATAATGACAATTTTGATCATATTTGTATTATTCTGTTATTTTTTCGTATGTATGATACATTATAATTCAGCAACATTATTGTACATTATTTGTAATACATAATATAGTTACTTGCATGTGCGATTTTATCAATTTACAATTTGCAATTTTGATCAAGTTACAGAAGGAAATAACGGAAGTTCGCGTCATTACAGGAGCTCTTTATCACCATTCACTCTATTACAATACAATATGATACCCACTTGTACAGAAATATATACAGGCAGTGTATCGGCCGCATCAATAACATAACTGTACCACATATTTGCCTACTCCGTGAATGAGTAAAAATCTGCTCTGTTAAGGACAATACACTTGTGACGTCGTTAACGTCACTTTTAAAGTTATACCGTGCGCCGCATTGCTTTACATGTGCATGCCATTAACAGCAATAACAACTTTTTTCTTTGTTAATATTTCTTGTTGGCATTTTTGTATCATTTAGGGGATAGATTCCGATTTATTTTCCGTGTATTGTTATGTAAATTCATTTAACAGGTTAAGAATCGTTTACAAAGTCCGGTTAATTTTTTATCATCCCTTGTAGTCGCCTTGTTTCGGTCAGACACTTTAACACAGAGTTTTAATCCTTGATTAGTTATGCAGTTTGCATATAGAACAATATTCGTTTCCGCGCAACTTCTCTGCAACTACTGGCTTGAATTAAATGAAACTTTATGGGAACATTCATATCATAGCCTTGTTCCAGTCAGACACTTTAACTCAGAGTTATGCCCCTTGATTAGTTATGCAGTATGCATTTAGAACAATATTCGTTTCTGCGCTACTTCTCTGCAACTACTGGCTGGAATTCAACAAAAGTTTATGGGAATCATCAATATCAAGAGGAGATGCACATATAGTTGGCTTGTTCTGGTCAATTGTTGAAGTTGTTCAGACCAGACCCTTCATTACAGAGTTGTGGTCCTTGATTAGTTATGTAGTATGCATATAGAGCAATATTGCTATTTCTTGCAACTGCTGTATTGATTTCAACAAAACTTTATGGCAACCATAGATACACAAAGGCAATTTACATCTCATTGGCATGTCCAGATATTACTATTATTATGGCTCTGTAATGCCCTGAATATTTATCAAGTACAAAGAATATTACTGTTTATGCCATGATAAATATATAAATAAAGCCTTATGTCTTCAGTTGTTGTGTTAGTAATAACCAGTACCCGGCGAGGGATATAAATTCAACAAAGGTGTTTAACTTTAAAATTTGATTTATGTCCTCTCCTATTGGCTAGAACGGCAAAATTCTAATTTGAGCTTTTTATGATTTCACTATGGTAACAAGTGACTGTACTTCAGATATTTTTCTATTTCTTGTTTCAGACATAGATGAGTGTATTGTAAAGCATGATTGTGAACAAATATGTATCAATGTAAATGGTTCATACAACTGTAGATGTCATGTAGGCTACTTGTTGAAAGATGACAGGAGGACTTGTGAGAAATGTAAGTAAATTCCAAACATGTGCTTGTATTATAAAATTAAAATTATAGTAATGCTTCTGAAATATATTCATGAAGCTGTGCATTTTAGCTTGTTACAAACATGACTAGTGTTTTTCGCTGTCTATACAATAGCAGTTTCTTTTAACAGAACTTGTGTCGCTATTACATTACTGTTCCTTTCTTTACTTGGCCTCATATCATCATAATTTGCAGAGTTATCGCCCCTGAAATGGCAAAAATAGGCATATTTTACCAAGTCTGTATTTAAAAGTTTCACTGTTTATACCAAACTTGCACAGTATTTGTACATGTATTACCAGTATATAACTATCTCTTCCTTGAAAATGCTTAATCATATTTGGCAGAGTTATGGTCCTTGAAAGGGCCAAAACTGGTGAAATTGACCATGTATGTATGATAGAAACATTTTGTTTTCTTTTTTTTATATGTTTGAATCAAACTTGTACAGTACATGTATTACAAGTTGATGTTGCTTCTTTAATTGAAAGGGTCTGATCAAGTCATGCATAATGGCCCTTTAAAAGGTCTAATAGAGGGATATTTTTGGATTTCAACTGTATTTTATGCCCTAGCTTAGAGGGAGAAGGTTTACCTGAATTTTATACATTTAATAATCTATTTTCTTCACATAAGTCATAAGTATCCCAAATAAATGGCTGATAGTTAACTATAATAATTACCTATTACATGTATTACTGTGCCTGATAATTGATATAAATTTGAGTTTATTATGGATTTATTATAAACATTCCAGCCAAAGATCCATGTGCTGGAAGTAGAAACAATGTAACATACGACACCTGTGTAAGTCAAGGTGCTTACGGTTGCCGTAGTAATAGTACTGATGGTGAATGCTTCTGTCAAAATGGATTCAAACTTTCATCTAGTGGAAGATGTGAAAGTAAGTTTGCGAAACATTCTTTTTTGTAATACCTTTCAATAGTTCTGCAAACATGTTCAGTAAATCACTTTCAGTTATAGACAGTTTTTATTGTATTATTAAGTGTTAACATATCTAGAAGAAGTGTAGCCTTTTGATTCATTAAAGTTATCACACAGTTAGGTTTTATTTTTCTGGTCATGCATTGTGCTGCCCTTTAAATTAAGATCTAAACAATTTTGTACACACAATCAATAAATAATTATCATTATCACTGATAGTTGTATAGACTTAACAGTGTTGGTGTAAATTTAAACAGAATTGAAAGTTAATTTAAATACGTTTTATTTCTAATGTATCTTAATTGTACAGGTATCAATGAATGTGAGCCTAACAATGGTATGGGTAGCTGCAGTGATAATTGTACAGATCTGGACATTAGCTACTCTTGTTCTTGTACAGAGGGGAGACAACTCCTCAATGATGGTCTAAATTGTCAAGGTATGAATATAATTTTGAATTAGATGCTTTATAATGTTGCCATGCTAAACATCACAAATAATCATATGATCAGAAACATGTTGATAGTAATGTTTTAAACTTTAGTTTAGGTTTACATTCTATTTATGTTAAAAGAGTAGCTGCTTTGAAAATTATATTTGATTTCAATTGGATGCTTTTTATTATGGTAACTTTTATTATGTTTCTAACTTTTGTCTAGGATTGCGTACAATCTATAGAAAGGAAATATTTTGAAAATGAAATTGAATCTCAAATGTTTGATTCATACTTAGAGTATACTATGTAATTATACCAATTAAACAATAACTTCCAAAAAAAACCTTATCAGCCAGTGGAAATTTTTGCTTGAAAGAGTTATTACCCCTGAATGTTAATTTTGCTTTTGATTTTCTTTACACCAGATTTTTATTATTGCCATTCAGGAAATGTTCATTAGTGTAAAATTGGTAGCTACATATGCAATAACATCATTTTTTTCTTTCCTTATAGCATGTAATGAAACTTCAACATGGGGAAGTAACTGTGAAAATAAATGTACATGTGGTCCCGGGTCTCTGTACTGTGACAGTGTTACAGGATGTAGATGTATGGAAGGTAAAATCAGCATCATTTTTGTTTAATACTTACAATAATGATTAAAGGGGACCTTTATCATATAGATCTCCTTAGAATGATTCAGTAATTGTGTGTTCTTCTGTTATTTTATATTTCATACTTTTATATTTTAGACATTTGAATGAATCATAATCATTTTTGGTTAAAAATGATTATTGTTTTGGGGTTACTATAAGAAGGCGATTTAAATTTCTTAAAATTTACTATTTATCATTATTTAATCTGTAAGCACAGAAAGACACTTGGTGTACATGATTGTAATTGTATACATTTAGAGATTTTATAAATATAATTACATACATTTATTTAAGGCACCATTTCATTTGATTTTCTATTTTTGCAAGGATGGACTGGTACTCGCTGTGGACTGAACATCAATGAATGTGAAAGTGGGGTTACGGTCTGTGCAAATAATGAGCGATGTACTGATACACCTGGATCCTTTATCTGTGTCTGTGAAGCTGGGTACAAGCACAGTACTGTTGATAACCAATGTATTGGTAAGTTACATTTGATTTTACTTACCTACAAAATAGTCATTATACTTAAAGCACTCAGTGTAGGGAAAGCATCAGGGCCTGATAATATTAAATACAGAATTCGAAAGGAACTATCAGGAGATCTTGGTGTACATCTCTGTCATATTTGAAATAAATCAGTTAGAACTTCCAATGTCCCTTCACAATGGAAGTTTGCTAATATCTGTGCATATTCTACAAAAAAGGTCACCCAAGAGTCATTTCTACGTAACTATAGACCTTTATTATAGACCTTCATCAGAACAGTTAGTAACTCTTTTTGTTCCCCCAAAAAACAAATCTAGACTCATTTTCCATATAGCTAAACCATTTATAGCTTCTTTTGCTATTTGGTAATTTAAGAATGGTTAAAATGATTAAGTATTTCATACGGCAGTTAAAGTTTCTCTTTGTTTATGACTAAAGTGCAATCTTTATGACAAAAATTATTTAACATTCATCATTTAATAATTCCTGTGATAAGCCTTTAGTATGTTTTAAATCTGTTATTAAACCATTACTTAATACATGTTTGTCTCTTTTTAAAGAATTTCTTCTTGGGGTACAATCTGCCTTCTTATTCTTGCTTCTTAATGATTAAGTACGAAGAATTTGGTTTTCGTCAGATATTTTGGCTGCTGCATAAGTAGTCTTGCTTCTTTGATAAATGCAGCTCATTTTAGACTAATATGCTGCCAGAACTATAATTATTATAAAATTACCAAAATGAAACAAAATATTTGTGTATTTTTTTCCTCCCAGATATTGATGAATGTGTAGAACAGCCTGAATGTAGTCAGCGATGTGTCAACTCACCAGGATCATATACATGTGCTTGTCTGATTGGTTTTGAATTTGCACCTGGATCTGCATCACAGTGTATCAGTATGTATACATTTACATGTAAAGATATTAAGTTATATTTCCTGACTCATTTCTTATTTCTACTACTACTACTACTACTACTACTACTACTACTACTACTACTGATTTGACAGTTTTGGGTCAAATTGTCACAGTGAGAATTATTGTTCTGGAAAAAACAGAGTGAGCAAATGGTCTGAAATTTTGGACACAAGTTATTGGTCTAGACCTACACCAAATGGAATAATAATCTCAAAAATTATTTCTAGCCCCATCATTTAAAAAGCCTAAGTGGAGTTCCTTTAAATTGTACAAAGCTTCATTAAGATTGGTCCCTTAATAAAAGCTTATTTCTTATATAACCGTATAAACAAAGTATAAGTGCTACAATTTTGATCATATACATCTAATTGATGAGCTTCAACCTTGTCAATATTGTCATAAATTCAACAGATCTTATTCGTATAATTTTTGTTTATAATTAACAGATATAGATGAATGTCAACTGAATTCCAATGACTGTGAGCAGGGATGTGTTGACAGTATTGGAAGCTACACGTGCTTCTGTAATGATGGATTTAAACTTGCAGATGACCAAAAAAGCTGTATTAAAGGTATGACAGCAATTAGTTTGTTTTGCTTTTGTTAATAGTATGTAAATGAATCATAAGTTAAAAAAATACAGTGGACTGTTAGAACTAAAACAACAGAAAACTGTCATTATGCACTTGAGAGGAGTAATGAAGCAAAAATAAGAAGAACAAAAACAATAGTTAGTAAAAAGAAAGGAAAACAATGCTATAATGAAGCAAAAGAAAGTAGCAAGAAAGAAAAAAGCTGTAAAAACAGTAGTGAGCAATAATAAAGTACATATTAAAGTGGTAAGAAATTAATAAAGAAAACAAAACTTAAGTAGGTAGAAAAGGTAGTAAGTAGTGAAATAACAAATCAAAGTAGCAATTAAGCAGTAATAAGTAACAAAACAATATGAAGTACTAAAAGTTAATGTAAAAGCACTAAAGACAACAGTAGCAATAGGAAACAATAGTAAGCAGTAAGAATTATTAGAGTTAGTAAGCAATAAAAAGCAATAGAAAATAGTTAGAAAGAATGATTTATGGTAATGAAAATAAAGTAACATTTAAAAAAAGATAATATACATGTATATCAAGAATAGAAACTATTAAAATCATTTCTCAGTTAGTTTTTTTCCAAAACCCTTTTGATAAATGATGAAAGTTAACCAGTAATGACTATGTATGTTACAGATAATGCTACAGATCCTTGTTTAACCTACAACACAAATTGCCAGTATGGTTGCTATGTGACCAACAATAATCCCACATGTTACTGTGCCCATGATTATAAACTAAATCCAGTGGATAAATCTTCTTGTATAGGTATAACACTTTTCATGTTTAATTAGTACTCTTAGTGTGACTTTTATAAATGGTTGTTTACATAGGAAAAAGTGCAGTAAACCTTATAAATATATAGAGGATATTGACTGTGTGTAGAGGTGCAGTTTTGAATTTATTGAATGAGTTTAATAAAATTAGATGATGCTGATGAGCATTATACAGTTTTCATTGAGTCAGGATAGCGACACAGGTATGTGATAAACTAAAATAGATTTTCAATATCCATCTGCATACCATCATAGGTCTTCTCATGTCCCCCTCTTAGCCCAATAAGAAGCATAACAGTCTTGTAATCAAGCTGAATGGGGTTGCCAGTCTGATCCTTAGACAAGGCCATATTTCTCTATGACAACTTATCTCGGATATTGACTTAAATGGTCATTTATTTCTGACTTATGTGTCAGAATCATATTGGAGTAATAGGTTTTTTTAATTTAAGCCAGGAAAGCTGGTTATATGGACTGACTCATGAAATACAATGTATGACCAAAAAATTGTTAAAATTGGTGTTAAAACTAACCAAACAAACAAACAAAAAGTATAACTTATAATCATCCATGCTTAGACAGAAAATACTGGTATAAAATATTGTAACCCTGATTCATTCATCATAAGCATCCCTTTGAATGTTATTTTTATCTAGGATAGAAAATGTGGCAAGACTTGTTTGATCTTGAGAAAGTCTTGTGTTAGTGATAAAACTGATATAATATGTTTTATTTTTTTCACAGCTTTAAACAACAAACTATGGGTAAATTTAACACCAGACCTAGAGTATTTCTCAGCTTATACCAGACCATCATCTCAAGATTACAAGAATATAGTCAGTGATCTCAGAAAATCAGTAAGTATGCTTGCTTTTTAATTGCTATTCCTTTTTGGTTTTATATTCTGTTACAGATTTATTTTTAGGAAAAGAAATATATCATTTCACAGTAACTAATAACTAGACATATTTTGCCCGCCAGTTTAGCTCAAAAAGAGAAGATTGGATTTGGAATCCAGATGTTGCTGGTTCGATTTTCAGGCAAGGAAAAAGTCTTTGACTATTGATCTCTGACACTATTTGTCTCTCAAAGCTGATTCAGGAATATTGCAGGATTAGTAGTCAGTCATAATAGCAGAGAAATTTATAATTACTCGTAAGTTAACTAGGAAAGTTTGTTTAATGAATTAACCCATTACGCGATATACACGCCTTTTAACGCCTTTTTCACCCCGCCCCCTTTTGTTGTCACTAATGGTGAAAAAATGCCTTATTTAGGCCCCCAACACTTGTTTTTGTTTGAGAAATGTTGTTAAAAAAAGTGACCACTTTTTTGGCGCGGCCCCCAACCAAAAGATACATCAGGGGGTTGACAGAAGGGGGATGTGCCAAGAAAATTTTGGACTTGTGAGAGGTTATAAATGACCCCAGATTGATCATAAGGTAACATGTAACCAACACTGAAAAGCATTTGACTCTATCTCAATCCATTGAGAAGTTGCAGCACTTTGAAATCAATTTTGATGGAAAAAATCAACGCAAAATAGTGATTTTTGGCAATTTTGAGATGTCCCCTCGTTGCCATGGTAACAGAAAATTTAAGCCTTAGCATGTTGTTTCAAGGGCAATGGTCCAGTCAACATTTGTGCCAAGTTTGATTAGTGTTGAAGCAGTTTTAATAGTATTATAGCAATTTGAACTTGTAACGGGAGTCTTTTCAATGAAAACAGCCATTTTTCACAAAATGCTCATGAAGTAATTGGTTAACTGCCATGATATGACAAAAATTGTGTTAAAATAAGTGGAAAAAAAGAGCAAATAAACAAGACATATTTTGCATTGATTCAATATTTAATTTTTTAAGCTTGAAAAAAAATGCTTTTATGTTGAATCATTGAATAAGATTTTGCTATTTGATCATACATTAATGAATATAATAAGGAAAAATATGTTTGGTACATTAAAATGTATAGTGATCTATTTCGTATAATACCTTTATTTTTTTAGCTTTTGGCACTTTACCAGTCAGCAAATTTGACCAATGTAAAAGATGTCCGAATCGAAAGTATTTCGTAAGTTTACTTTTATAACATTATCTTATATCATTGTGTTTGATAGAATTTTCTTTATCTAAATAAAATAGACAGGTTATATTTATGACAGTTACAATTCGGTCTGCTTTCCTCTGTAGGTAGAGCATGAGATTTATGTCCCACTGGTAACAAGTTTCATCCTCAGAAAAAGCCAAATTACTCTTTGACAGATGATCTTTGACCCTAATTGTTATTTGTCTCTGACACCTCAGATTCAAAATCCAGAAACATGTTGAAATTATGAGTAGTCATTTAATTGTGGAGAAGGAATTATTAAATAAATACAGTGAATGAGAAATACAATGAACATTTTAAAAACAACTCACGGAGCACAATAATTATTTTATTGCAATTTCAAAGAGCTGTGTGAATAGACAAAGTCTCAAAACATTAAGAAGAATTCTCACATTTCTTTAATTCTGCAAGGACAGAAACACATATTGAGTATTCTTTTGTATTAAAGGTCTAATTTCGAGGTTAAACATGTAGTGTTTTTTGATGTGAAAAATATTACATTGGTTATGGAGATTGAGTTTGCTCAGGTATTAAAGAATCTACGAGAAAGCAATTTTACAGTGGGCCAGGTGAAAACAAAAATCCAGAAAGAACCAACTATAGCTTCCTCGGCGAAAGGATCACCATGTAAGTTTCATTTACATATGAATATGTCATTAAAGCCTGTTACATGTTTATCATCAACATCATATTGAATAAGATATATTGTATCAATAGGAAACTGTCAAATTATTGCCCTTTTATGTAATTGTCTGATAGATTATGCCAAGTATTTCTGTGTGAAGACATCATAGCAGCCTTTAACTTTCAAATATTGAGAACAGCTATATGTAAAATCATAGGAGCTGTAGTGGTTGAATAAATTGCAATTTGCTTAATATGTATGAAATTGAAAATGGTAATACTAATTCATGAGTAATAAGAAATGACAAAATGAGTCTGTTTATTTTAATATGTAATAGGACATAATTAAACATTTTTCAATAGAATTATTTTGTATATTGTATTCAACAGATAGGTTTAGTAACTTAAAAAATTAGGGTTAAGTTATTTCTTATGTGAAATAATAATGCCTCATGTCTTAAATAAGTCCTAATATGTTACTTTATACATGTGTTTGGATATTGAAGAATTTAGCTACCATTTCACATATATGACATTATTATGTGATATAATTTCAGCCTATGTGACCTGTATGCTGTGTAGTCCAACAGTTTGTATATTAACTAATGAGAAAGAAGATACTTATTCCTGTGAAATACAACCAGGTAAGACTGCACACCAACATTTTTCACTTATTTATTAATTAATTATTTACTAGAAAGTGCATCTAAACACAAGATTATCTGATTTGTATGAGGGGGTGACTATATCAGAATGCCAAGTGTTTTGATGTTCTTCCTTTTTCATAGTATTTGTGTACCATAGGCAAATAATAAAAACACATTCCCTGTCGTCACAATATTAAACCCCAGTAAAAAGTGACCAATATATGAGCATCTGAATATGACTTTTCTATCGTTATATCCTTCCAAGTAAACCCCAGAAAAAAAGAGCCAATCAATGAGCATGCACTAAACAGATAGTGAGTGTGGGTAACTAATATCAGCACTCCAGTTAACGCACTGTGCATGTATTACATACCATTTAATTCTGACACTTTTTCAATAGTAAAGTCTCCAAACTGAGATATAATTATCAATTATGCCTGCTCAGCCAAATAGGGAGTGCATCATATTGTAATCCACTGGTGTTGCTGGTTTGATCCTCATGTGAGGGAAAATTTCTCTGTTGATCTATGACATAGAGTCTGTTGGTCATTTATCTGTCACCAATGATTTACAATTTATGTTGGATTTGTAGTTGGTCACTTGCAAAGAAATTGGTACACAATGTTATAGCTGTGCAGTTATACAGGAAAGCTGATTAGGTTGACAGACCGCTGAAATATGACCAAAAACTGCCGGTGTAAAAACCAGACAAACAAACTTTTGTTGCATTGTGTCACAATGTTTCAAGATCTTTATCTGTTACATATTTGCTTCTTTAATTAATAAAGCTAATAGCTTTATTTGTTTATAGATGTTTGCGAAATAAATCATGTTTATTCAATGTTAGATCATAATGGCATCTAGTACATTATTTAGATTTGAAAATGATAAAAAAAGTTATAGATTGCGATTGTATAAATGAAATGATTTGTTTGAATGCTGACATGTGATTACAATGTAACACATTGGCCTAGTTATTTAATATATGAATCGATGGTCCCGAAGGTTCAAACTCCATCATGTTGAGCTAGAAATCATGGGATAAGCAGTAAGTCACTTGCATAGAAATGGATAATTACTGGTTAGTTAATCAGATGAATTTACTGCCAAGATATGACTAAAAATATGTTAAAATGATCATAAAAGACAACAACAGAAAAACAAACTAACACAATTGATAATGCTTATGTTGCTTGTTTTGTTTGGAAATAACATAAGACCTGAACTGTATTCTGTTTAAAATAGATATTTAATTTTAGTTGGTATCATTTTGCGTTTTCAATTACCACAGATGTTGGAAAATTTATTCACATGCAATTTTAATTTTGTATCATTTGCCTCTTAATTATGACAGATGTTGGAAAATTTATTCCTATTGAACTTGAAGTGAGGAAGGTGTTTGATAGTATTATGCAAGATAAATTGTCACCTAGGTTTGCTCAACTTTCTCGTGCAGTCACAATGTCTGTAAGTATAATGAAACATATCTGTTATTTACAATATTTTAACATGTACAAAGTAACAAGCTGTATATATTTTATGTCATGGATTTGTATGTCTCATGTTCTGATATTACTTTTAATTTTAAAACTGTACACTTCAAAGATTGCGATTCCTTTTGTCATGCTCTCATTTTAAAAGCTTGTTTTGGTTTATTTTGTGATTGACTTAGTACCTTTAAGGTAAAATTGTAAGGAAATTTACCATAGTTTATTTTTTATGTTGTTTATTCATTTTATTTATTAAGTAAAAGATTCAGACTGACCGATCAATTAAAATAAAATGATGTGTTCTATATACAGATTCTGTTCAATCTATTAAGTTTATTTGATCTTCTTTATTTCTATTCAAGATATATCAGTAATTAACTGAATATATGTTTATAAGGATAACAAAAACAAAATGATTCCCAGAAGAACCTTTCTTTGTTTTGTTTCATTATATTTTAATTAAATTTAACAATGAATAAATATAAGGATATAGATTTGGCAAATTTTGAAGTTTTTATCTTTTAGTTAACCACTCTGTTCAGTACAGTACCTGGCTTTGCTGGAATAGGACCACTGACATTTAGGTAAGTATACTCATTTTATGTCAATGATAAAATGGGCTAAATACTGTTTGTTATGGAGAAAATTATTCTCCTTATTTCATACCAGTTTCATGTTCTATAAAGCACAGTCTCCATTTGCAACCATTCTTTTCTCAAAATGTTTTAAATGATCCAGCTAAATGGAAGCTCGTGTTAGTTACGTAAATAACTAAATAGGGCACTTGGGGGTGTATAGGAGCAATAATTGCTGACTTTAACTGCCCATAACCTATGTGTGCTACTCTTGGCTTACAAATGAACAAAGAGTCAAAACCTTACCTTGTCAGATAAAATAAAAAAATTGCCATGTGACTGAGTGACATGAACCCTAATGTAACAAAATGAAGAGAAACACAATGTCAATGTTTATATTATTTTTTCTATTTCTAGAAAGGGAAGTTTGAGTAATCAGGGAAGCACCTATATAGAAACTTCGGTGAGGTTCAACACAACATTTGGTAGTAACCAGATCTCAGAGGTTGCTCAAAGACTGGTAGACTTAGATGCAGACGGATGTTTACATATTGAGGATGATTGTGTTGATTTGGTGGGACAATCAGTTCTTGGGACCAGAAAGGAAATAGGTAAGTTTTTATGTTTTGTTCTTCTAAGTAAAGTAATGATAAAATATATAATATTAAAAATTTATCTCTCACAGCTTATTGAGATGTGATGTCGGAAAACAAGTTGGACATTTTTTGATAAATTGGTAAAACCACTGGTTATAGAAATCCTGGTAAGCCGGTTTGAAATAGACTGCCTCACCCATATATGACTTAAGATATGTAGTGATCAGTGTAAGAAGCGAACAAACAAACAAACCATTTTCATAACTAGCAAATGAAATAATGATATGAAATGATTATCTTTCAGCTGCATGTAAGGTTTGTTCAGGTAACGAAGACTGCGGAAAAAGTGAGGTTGACGGATTATTTAAATGTATACCAAAAGAAAATGTTGTCCCTTCGTCATCAGGTTAGTACTTACCTTGAAATATCTCCAATGTATTATCTGATTTATCATCTTGTGTCTATAATGATAAATGATATGTTAGCCATAGTGTTAATTCTGCTGTACCATTTTTATTTAAAGAGAAATCACAATGCTTATGTTAGGCTGTAAAGTTTCTAAATAAGCTATATATCTAAAGGAGATCATTGATAATTCATTAAGATGATTAAACAAATGTTTATTGTTTATGTTACTGAATAATATATAAAACAATTATAATATTAGTAGTTAATAAAGTTATAATTCTTTTTACTATGTTAAGTGATTGTTTTATTTTCTGTATTGCAGATAGTTCAGATTTAATTCTAGGACTAGGTATTGGTCTTCCACTGTTCCTAATTATCTTGTCTATATTGATTATAATATTTGTGTACTGTTTACGACGTAGAAGAGCAAACGATGGTGATTCTAGGGATTCATATACTGATGCGTATGTTGACATTTCTGTTATATTTTTGTATTCTGTCTTTGTGCTGTTATAAATGTAATTGTTGCAACAGGCTAAAGGTTTGTGTCATTTTTCAATATAATATTCTAATTATAATTTAAAAGATTTAAAATGTTTAACTACTTGAATATTGTTGGCCATATTTTAAGTTAATCAATTTCAATATAAGGTATATACTTTTATTATTGCTGCTTAAGCAATACTTGATATGAATATCTCATTCTTGTCCTTTTAAGGACTTATATAAAACATGACCCAGGGTCAACATTGATAACTAGTAAGTAATTAACAGCTTTTTACAATTCCCACATGATTCCTGAATCAACGGTGAGATACAAATTATGATCATTTTTACGCTGTCCAGCTATAATGAATTAGTTGTATATTTCAAAAGATTGACCATTACAATGGTGAACAGACAATAATTAATACTGATGAAAATACTTAGTTAGATATAAAAAAACAGACTTGGTCTTATTGTTTTTTTATAATTATGTCAAATAAGGTTAATATATCCCTTTCACTTGTAATCTGTACACAGGTATAATGTAAGACAAGCCTTTGGATCGTTGAGTTCAGCATTTAGTGGTAAACATAGTGATTTTAGTGAAACTGGTGGATTGTTTAACCGACAGTATCGTAAACACTGGGATAAACCACCTGAGACAGAAGAACCTTCCACTGTGATAAACTATTATAGAGATCCAGAAAGAAGAGATCCCTACACACAAATATATCGTATGTATAATACTTTGTTTTTCTATGACTTTAATCAACTTTATGGCAGGTTTTATTTTCCAAATGTGTCATCTTGCTATACATCATTCCAAATAGGCAGTTGGATAGATCATAGTTTACTATAATCATGAAAACGTTCAATGTTGTCTATAAACTTTATAGTAGAATGTACATAAGTGAATATTTCTTGAAATATCCTTCATATATAAAATATTTTAATCTGATGTCATTGAAGATATTAATTCTATTAAGAAATCAGCAAATTTTCTACATATAGCGCTAAGAGAACGAGATCAATTTGTGTCTATGTTAAAATAACTAGTAACTTTACTATTTCTGTGATAAATGCTGTCATTTTTGCTATACATATTTTTATTATGTCTTATGTATGTCTAATTTGTAGCATCCATAGATGTATATTTCTATTATAAATCTTTAAGTATGTATGGACGTTATAACTCTATACAAATTTGTCCTTTGTCATTTATTATTGACTAACAGTAAAATGACAATAAATGTGTAGTTGAATAGATTTTTATGCCCCCGCCATGAAATGGCCGGGGCATATAGTGTTACCCTGTTCCGTCATTCCGTCCTTCCGTCCTTCCGTCCTTCCATCCTTCCGTCCTTCCGTCCTTCCGTCCTTCCGTCATTCTGTCATTCCGTCATCATCAGTTTCCGTTCATTATCTTAAGAACGGTTGGGCACATTCAACTCAAATTTGACATATGGATATGTCATGAGAAAATACAGGTCAAGTTCGAATTTGGTCATGGTTCGATGATTTTTGGCAGAGTTATGCCCCTTTTACTTTGAAAATAATATGAAATTTCAGTTTCCGTTCATTATCTCAAGAACGGTTGGACACATTCAACTCAAACTTGACATATGGATATGTTATGAGAAAATACAGGTCAAGTTCGAATTTGGTTATGGTTCGATGATTTTTGGCAGAGTTATGCCCCTTTTACTTTGAAAATAATATGAAATTTTCAGTTTCCGTTCATTATCTCCCCAACGGTACAACACAATCAACTCAAACTTGACATATGGATATCTCATGAGAAAATACAGGTCAAGTTCGAATTTGGTCATGGTTCGATGATTTTTGGCAGAGTTATGTCCCTTTCACTTTGAAAATAATATTAAATTTTCAGTTTCCGTTCATTATCTCCCTCAAGGTACAACACATTCAACTCAAATGTGACATATTGATGCGTCAAAAGAATGCGCAGGTCAAGTTCAAATTTGGTCGTGGTTCGATGATTTTTGGCAGAGTTATGCCCCTTTTACTTTGAAAATAATATGAAATTTTCAGTTTCCGTTCATTATCTCCCTCAAGGTACAACACATTCAACTCAAACGTGACATATGGATGCGTCAAAAAAATGCGCATGTCAAGTTCAAATTTTGTCATGGTTCGATGGTTTTTGGCAGAGTTATGCCCCTTTCACTTTGAAAGTAATATGAAATTTTCAGTTTCCGTTTATTATCTCCCCAATGGTACAACACATTCAACTCAAATTTGACATATGGATATGTTTTTGGAATGCCCAGGTCAAGTTCAAATTTGGTCATGGTTCAATGATTTTTGGCAGAGTAATGCCCCTTTCACTTTGAAAATAATATGAAATTTACAGTTTCTGTTCATTATCTACCTAACAGTGTTACATATTCAATTTTAATTTGACATATGGATATGTCAAAGGAATGGGCAGGTCAAGTTCAAATTTTGTCATGGTTCGATGGTTTTTGGCAGAGTTATGCCCCTTTCACTTTGAAAATAATATGAAATTTTCAGTTTCCGTTTATTATCTCCCCAACAGTACAACACATTCAACTCAAATTTGACATATGGATATGTTTTTGGAATGCCCAGGCCAAGTTGGAATTTGGTCATGGTTCAATGATTTTTGGCAGAGTTATGCCCCTTTCACTTTGAAAATAATATGAAATTTTCAGTTTCCGTTTATTATCTCCCCAACAGTACAACACATTCAACTCAAATTTTACATATGGATATGTTTTTGGAATGCCCAGGCCAAGTTGGAATTTGGTCATGGTTCGATGATTTTTTAGCAGAGTTATGCCCCTTTCACTTTGAGAATAATATAGATACATCTTAGGAATAAGCAGTTTAAGTTTGAATTTGGTCATGGTTCAATGATTTTAGACAAACTTATCTTTCCTGAATGTTGGAAAAAATTTGAACTTTCAGTTTCAGCACTCATTCTTTTAGCCATTATTTTGGCTACAAATATGCAATATGCTTTTTCTAAAGGTTAAGACTGAATAATTTCAGTGCCTTGAACGTTGTATGGAAATGGTTTGTGTTAACATTGAAAAGTTTTAAGGGCTTTGAACTTAAAATGAAAAAAAAAAAATTAATGCACCATCTGAAATTTTGGCTGCATGCGGGGGCATCCGTGGCATGATGACACATTTCTAGTTTTTATTTTATTTCAGCTCCTTTAAACAGATCTTTCATACAGCCCAGTGCTCCACCAGAAGAACCACAAGTGCGGTCAGATTTCTCCTGGGATTTCCTTTATAATGCATTACAACCAAATGCAGATGTAAGTCATTTAGAATTGTTTCCCTTTAATATGCGTTTTTGGAATAATGTTCGCTGAATATGTGGAACGTTTTGGATTATCTTAGTAAGATATCGCTATTATATTGGTCCGCTCGTCCCAACACATGCAACTCGGTATACTGATCTTTTTCAGATGTGTATAAATTAATTCACACCGCCATAAGTAACATGCTTAAATATCTGGAAATTTTGTTAACATGATTACGTACATATATATAAATTACTTTTCCAAAAAACAGCTTTTTTTCTTTTCCTTACTTTTTATTACTTTAACATTGTAAATATGATTTTTTAATATGACGTACGAGCCCGAGTGGGTTAGGTCGTTGACTTTAAACAATATGCCCCTCACCCCTTTGGGTTCAAATCCCATAAGGTGCTTTGGATTCTTTCATACCTGTCTTTCTGGACGTCGGTGGTTCTAAACTGTTTGTGTGTGAAATTATGTACAAGGTGCACTTGAGGATTTCCTCCCTCAAAATAGCTGAAAAATTGCCATATGACCTCTTCTCTGTTGGTGCGAGTTAAACCCCAATCCAAAAAAAATATATTTTTGATTGATCTTAACAGTTTTCCCAATTCATTTCCTACTTTTAAATATTATGTCTTTTGTTTTTTTTTAGTTTCGAATACAGAGACCTCAAGTAAACACAAGACCTGCGGAAGTGTTCCAGGTATGAACATGCTTGAATAAATAAAATGATATTGAAAAACATAGTTAAAAGTCATGTTTTTTTATCAGAATAGAAAATCTGTATAATATATGTTGTACAGTGAGTGAGTGTACAGTAATTTATAACCAATATATCTTCCATTGAATTTATTTTAGTTAAACGAATGTCCTATATAAGGAATTTTTTTACAGACCAAAAAAAATCAGATATTTATTATACATATTTTAATCACTTGTATTGTTTTTAAATTTCAGGACTCTCAGGCATAAAGGAAATGGGGAGGCTTTTTCATGAATAGGTGTTCATTAAAGATTATTATGTGTTCATTATTGTGAAGTAGTGTAGAAAATATGACCAGTGCTGTTTGAGGAAATACATAAGAAATGTAGTACAAACATTAAGCCCGAATTCCTGAGATAAAGTTTAAAAACAATGAAAACACAATGGCTTTGAATAAAGTCAGCGTTAATCGAAAAGGACTACATATGTAAGGCTTAAGTCTTCAAACAAAGGAAAAAAATTAATGTTTTTGATAAACTTAGAGAAAGAAAAGGTAGTACTTATTACTAATCAAAATGGTATAATAATAATTGTAATATAAACAGTTTAAATCAACGCTGTAAAGTGATGGAAACCAGAATGATTAATAAAGACAAGATGAAATTAAGCTGAAGCAAAGCAATTGTCAGCAGGAGTTTGGAAAAGTGTAACAGTTGGTCTGAAAACGGCTTGAGGTTTCAAACAATGTTAGTATTGGAATGGCTCAGGTCATTTATGAGTTTATGTAGGATTCTGATGAAAACAAATATTAAACTTTTCATTTTAATATGAAAATAATAGACTGTTTAATTTCTGCCACCGAGCAAGAAAATGTAACATATGTAGACAGTGTGTTATTTTCATTCCATCAACATTAGTGTTCCATAAATTGATTGTCTTTTTTATTGTAAAGATTCCGTTATTGCTTTAGTACATCATAAAAAAGCTGAGACTGAAAGTTTGGTTGAGTTATGAATTATTTATATATCATAGAATATTTTCAAATTAACCTTGCAAAATAGAAATGTTGTTTTTTTATTATAAAACTGGTATCATATAATTATTAAAGGATAACATATTGTTAAGTAAAGTTTATAAGAATTTTTACCCTTTTTTGAGAACAGTTATTTATATTTGACATTTTATTTTATTATGTTGAATGGTTTGTTATTAAAATATGTACTGATAATATGCTATTTGACACTCAATCATAAGCTTAATATAAGAGTATGGCAATGTGTCAAACTCCTGTTCTGAAATTATTAATTCTTTTTAATGAGGTGATACCATATTCATAAATTATTTTCCATGAAATCTGAATCATACTTTACTATATGATAACATGTTGGTAATTCTAATAAAAAGTTCTATTTGATCAATTGTCATCATATAAGAAATTATTTTTAAACACTCTAAATTCTAGTTGATTTACTGTTAATATGATTGAAATTGTTAAGTTATACAGAAAAAGATTGTTTTTCTATTTGAATTATTTGAATAAACGCGTATGCCTTCCTTATGTTAATATTTGTGTTTTTGTTAAATTGTAATTATGTTGTAAAAATTATGTTATGTATTAACTTGAATGACATTTAATTTCTTTGAATAAATATAATTAAAATTGTACATATTATTTGTATTTCATAATCCTGACAGTTCCAAAATAGGTAAATGTTAATTAAGTTGTTTAGGCAAGATAGACCGAATATAATTTAATATAATTTGTCTGAAAGTATGTGAGACTTAATCGTACTGAATATTTTATAATAACTTATGAGATTTGTATTCACGTCGTGATATGATTATGTAGTTTTGCTCATATTACATTATTGTCCGTCTGGCCACCAATCTTTTCCGAGAAATGCATCACAATAGTTGACTCTATGTAAATCAAATATTACTATTGCTAACAAAATTCCCGCCAATTCTCCATATCTTGAGTCTATTTTAAGCTAGCTTATGGAACATCGGTGGTTTTACTTTGTTACACGGCCATAATGCATGTAGGTGTCTTCTTCCACCAATTAAAGCTGAAAAGTCACCACACGATGTGGCTTAAAACCCCAAAAACAACAAAATCAAACGTGAATTACATCTGGTGCAAGCTATGTCATGGTCAAAGTGACCTTGAAACAGATACTTTTGTCGATCTAACACTGGAAACGTCACGGCAAAATAAATGACTATGGGCAGTAAGGAGGCCCCTATTATTCACGTCGAGGAACATAAAAATTTGAGAGTAACAAGTGAAGGTCAAGAGTTATTTTTCTTTCTGTCAGCTGCCTTCTACTTGTTTAAATGTTATCATTCCATGTATCTGTGTTTTTTCACCTTATAAATGAAGACAAACTCGAAATAAATGTGAGTTCGAACAGTTTGTGATACTTAGTATATATCTAAATAATAAACAAGCAAAACGATATGCTTTTATCTAGCATTTTAATGATATTTCTAGTCTTGAAATAGAGAAGCACAATTTCATTTAATATCCGAATCTAAGAAGGTTTTCATACTGTCGGGTTTGGTCTGATCATCTTCTGTCAAGAAACGTACCAAGCCAGCTAATGATACTTCTACAGGAATACGCCCATTTATATCCGGAAAGGAGAAGAAAAACTTCTCGTTATTTGCCATGTCCATCTGACCTATCGAATCCATGTCTGCTACGAACTCCTCTATAGAAATAAAGTTCTACAACTCTAGTTGAAAAACAGTCCAAACAAGTATGTTTGTTTTAAGTTTGGCCTTAAACTGATTTTCATTGGTAATGTCCTTCAGATAGTCTGGCAATGAATTCCACCATTTAGGTCCCACAATGGCCAAGGATCTATCAGCAAGTTTTGAATCTGTTGATGGTATATCAAACCGAATGTGGCTAGATGATGCGGATCTCAGTCTTTTCCTGTACTGACTCTGGCATTTAGTGAACAATTTACGAAGATGCAATGGAGCGGCGCCATTTGCAACACGAAACACAGTCAAAATAACTTTTAAATGATTCTTGCTCGAATTGGAAGCCAGTGGAGTGATTTAAGAATTTCAGCACTGGATTGATAGTCATCAGCTCCAGTGACAATTTTAGCACGTTGTAATTTATCAAGTTGATCTGTTGGAATATCAGCGAATAATCCATTGCAGAAGTCTAAATGTGAATGAACCAAACCGTGAACAAGGATTTCTTTGCAGATTTCTTTGTGAGATGTTTTCTGATTGCTTTCAAGTTTCTGAACTGCATGTTTGCATGAATATTTGATCTCTGTAATTTTGAATATTTGATAAAGTTTATTATTTAAGTGCTAATCAGTTCTTTTTTATAGTTAATACGAGCGTACATCAAAATGGCCCTATAATTATAGATGGTTCAATCATTTCTACTTTTACTATTGAATAAAGTTCTCCTGAATATATGAACAAGAATTATAAAGAGGATATTTGTTTGTTTGTGTGTAAGATGAAATTTTATTTCATCTTTTGAGCTTTAAAACAGAATTATCACGAGTGGCACAGCACATGACTCTCATAATCAGTTGATATCATATGCAATTTTGTTACTCTACATACATATAGTAGCAAGTGTATGTAGAGGATATTTGTTTGTTTGTGTGTAATATGAAACTTTATTAAATCGAGTGAGCTTTAAAACAATATTTTCGCGTGTGGCGTAGCCAATAATTGGTGATTGGTAATTTGAATGAATCGAAGTAAGTTTTTTTTTCTTTTTGTTACTCAGTTGTCCAAACAAAAGCATAAAATAAGACACTACTACCTTATTGTCCGCTGTATAATTATCCTGATGTCAGATGGTATGTACAAACTGAACGTATAGATTCATAACCATACCTACTGTATAATCTTAACCAACCGAAGATATCATTCACATTCATCTGGTTTACGTACTAGTGTCCAAAAATGAATGCATCTAGAACGATGTACTGTTCAATATTGCGTAAATCATGAGGAAATGAGTTAATTGGGAAGATATATACATGTTAGTTTTATATTTATATGCAACATTGTTTCTTTATAAATTGTTTGACGAAGTTAGAATAAAAGTATAGGTCAATTTTAATATGAGGTAAACATAATTATCATTGTCCTTTCTCGGAAATTCTGATCAAATATTAAGTTTTCTAATTTTTTTTATAATAGTTATGAAAATTCGCGATCTGATATTCATTTGCATATACTTTTATGAGTATAAGTATTTACTTGTTTTTTTTAATTCAAAGTGACTCAAAAGGATGAATGTTCCATGACTAAAGGGCAAATAACGGAGTCTGTAAATATCTAGTTGAACGAAGAAAATAGATATTTATAAAATTTGTTTTCAGTGACAGCTGTAGAGGCATGCCAAATGTTTTCATGTTTGCACGTTCAATTTTTGTTTGCTTTTAATTAAACGATTTCTATAGCAGGTGCATAATTCATGCATTATTTACTCATAATCAATATGTTATAGCTGCGAAATGTATAATCTAAAGTAGAGTTTTGTTACTGACCGTTCTTAGGTAGTGTCCTTAGTTGATCACGCTGACATTGAATTAAAGGAACAGCTGGACGCGCAGCTGAGAAATTCCCTTACGTTACTAGTCAAATAGTCAAAGCAAATAAAGAGTTTAAATACAGATGTACACATTGATAAACATATGAATACAAAACCAACATTTTACAATAAACGATTAATGACATGAGATTACATTTTCATATACATAATTATAGCAATAAATACAAAAATTGAACACGTTTGATAGCTTTATGTTAAATAAAGGCACAGGAGGGAAATTGTGAAGTAAATTTGCAAAACAATCTCATTTATTTTCGTTTGCCACTGTAGCAAGCAATCAATTCAAATTAAAACGATATTGATATTAGTTTAATCCTTTTTTAAAGCAGTATAGATATATATAAATATAAATAATTACAAGCGAAAGATATTGATATCTGTATTCTGTACAAATACGGAGTTCTCTCACACTTGTGCTAGTGTATATGAAGATAATAAACATGCAAGGAATACAGTTGATTATGTTCTGTACGATTCCAATTTTATTGGCAATGTGTTTCACTGGTAATGTATTGTTTTAACTAATCATAAATGATTTGCAATTTTGTTTACGGAATCGAATTACGCAGTGTAAAATATCATAATTGTGTTTATTGTAGATGTAATAGCATATTAACCATGTCATTCACATAATTCTTTATTGTAGCATCTGCCGGTCCTTTAGGAACAAAAACAGGACGAAGCAAGGTACATACGTACATTTTTGTTCGTTACAAACTCTATATAATTAAAATATTGACATGCTACCAGTCTAACATTTTTGAAAGTTTAAATCGAATCGAAATAGTTAAATAGTCGAAAAGAAGCGAGAGTAAAATGCTTAAATGGTTGAAATGTAAACCACATCCATATGAAATGATGATTGGAAAAAACACAACAATTTGTTTAAATGTTTAGAAAGAAATTTCGTAAAATTATACTGAACAAAATTAAATCTAACTCACTATGATAACTAATACTGGTTTACCATATTGTTATAAAAATACAGTCATTGTCAGGCAGCTTTTAGAACGCTACGAATGGATTTTGCATTAATAAGTCAGTTTATCAATCGTCCTTGTCACAGATTAAAGTTCTGATTTGTATACCTTATAGTGCACGTTAATATTCTTATTGATGATTTTGTAGAAAACTGTTAAGATCTTTAGATGTTTACATCATTTTATGGTTTTGTTTCAGGCGAACACATACCTTATTAATAAGTGGAAAATTTGGTTTGACTTAAATGACGTGAATGATGATGGAATTCTTTCATTAGATGACACCAAAATCTTCGAGTAAGAAATATTTTTCAATCTTAGATCGTTGGAAAGTTAAGTTCTAAAGTGAAAAAGTCAATAATGTAAAGTAATCAGTACTATAAATAATTTTGATGATACTAATATTGACGATTACTAATTATGAAGGAATAATATCTGGATATTATTTGTAAGTGAGAATACATAATCCTATTTAGGCAGATGATGCTTGTTTGTAGAAGAATAACTATTATTCATCATACCAGTGTTCCAACTGAATCAATTAGATCTAGAGCATTATTTTTCAAGATATTATTCATAAGTATATCCAAATGATACATTTCTACAATTTTATCAATATTTGAAATACTTATCTTAAATATGCCCAATGTAGACTATTTCACTTTTCAAGTGCTGTGTTATCGAAGAAAATACATGTTCCATGATAATGAATGAGTAAATGTCATGATGAATAAATAAATGAATGAATAAATGAATGAATGAATGAATGAATGAATAAATGAATGAATAAAAGAATAAATAACTGTATAAAATGCTGAATCATACATTAAGCAATTTTAAGGCTTTTGAAAACAGTCATTAGTAAATTAATTATTAATCAAACATAAGAAATTACATTTTAAATGTTGCTCGTCCCCTTTGTGTTCATTAATATCATACGTTATAATTACTTATAATGTATTCTATTATCGGGCTAATTAATATTAATATTAATGTTAAATATTTTATACTTGATATTATAACAGTTTCGAAAAATGTCATTGTAGCATAAAAATCGTTCCACAAGGAATTTTGTATATTTTAATTTCTTACTTATATAACTACATACTATATTAAAACCTCAAATATATGACAATCTTCGCTGACAGTTTACCGTATTGAGATTATATTATTTATCAAGTTATTTTAAACCATTTTTATTCCTACTACTATTATTTTTAGACGAAAATTCCACGAGGGTCTTGATGATTTGAACAATGGTTATCTTATGCTTGATAACAAAACGGAAATTGCCGAAGATGACTTTATAGAAATACTTAAGGTAAGATATGAATCCGACAAAGCTGAGTTCACAGAGATGATATATGAGCTTGAATTGGAATTGTCTCGTGCACTGGACTTAGACGGGGACAACTTCGTTTCAAAGGATGAACTTGTAGATAACATGGTTTCAGCAGGTCACAAAAACAGAAAAGAGGACGAGAGTTTTTTCTTCGCCTTTCCAGATATAAACGAACGTGTTCCTGTGGAAGTGATGGCTACTTGTTTCGTACGCTTTCTTACTGAAGATGATAAGACTAAACCTGACGTCCTCAAACTACTTTTTGATTCTGTTTAAGTGTTGTTTTAAAGTTAAGTTTGCTTTTCCAACTTAGTGTCACTTAGACGATTTTATGTTCCTTATGAAATATTACTGAAATATTACTGCTCAGTCATAAAAGAACAAAAACATATTTTTTTTTAAAATTATGTCATTGTTTAATATCTAAATTACTAAGTAATTCAGAAATAATTTTAATTTATTGAAATGTGTAACTTAACGTCTGTTTAATAATTAAAGACTACTGGAACTCCATATCGGCGTCAATCTATTTTATGGGTTGTTGGTGCATGCTTTCATCAGAACTAGACCTTCGCGGGTCGGATGAGTCGCCTTTTAAACAATAAAGTTTAGGAGAAACGGCCAGAACAAAAATGAAATATGAAAATTAACAAGAGCAAAAAATCAAAAAATAAGAAGAGAAGGGCAGCATTTTCTGTGCACTGAACTTCTAATAAATAAGATCTATCATCTTATGAAGTTTCAAGTCCATAGCTTTTATAATGGCACTTACTTGTCACATTGAAGGTTCCACCGTATAAACACATGTACTGAATTCAAAATATTTCCATTTCATAGCAAATGTTGAATTCTGATTTCGTCGTTGATACGTGGCGTGGACAGTAGCTTTATATTTTCAGTAGCGTCAATGAACAAAACTACATCGAACCTAAAACATTTTAAATTGTGATAACGATTAATTTTCTCTTAATATTTTCCACATCTAAAGGTTTATAATACGTGTCAAAATATTAGGTTTATAACTATGTTTAAATATATTACTACGTGGGGTGATCAAGAATTAAGTAATCTGGTTCAATATCTTTGAAACGGACCCCTATAAAATATTTTTATTTATGTCACTGTCGTGACCTATCTCTTTGCCACTTACAAGGAGCTGTAAATCACACAGACACTTGGGGTTTGGAGCTCAAAACGCCTTTAAAATAAAATGCATATATGTCAATCCCAGCACATCTACTGATCATATATATCAAAAAAATTGTTATTAGCCGTTTTTTTTTTAAAAAAATATATATTTCAACATCTATAATAATACACACGATAAAAATGTTCGCCGGAAAAAATCCGCACCCCTACCGTCATAATCACCATGTATTTCATTCCATGTCCAATATTTTCACATAATCCTTTGGTCCCTCGACACAGAAGATATAATTCTTCACGATGATGGTCAATTTTAAACTTCGACGGTAATATAAACAACGCAACAGCTGAAATAAACATCAAGATTATCGCCGTTTTCCTCCATTTACAAAATCTTTCGATAAATTCTACAAAGGTAATTATAATCTAAAAAAATGCTAAACTGGAAACAATTAAAGGGACACTGGAACGGCGATGGAGAAGAGTTATGTTAGACAACAGGGTAAGCATTTCTCTAGGGGACTTTACAAGTATGTTTAAGGAACGATATGAATCCGACAAACCAGCTTTCACTAAAATGATAACCGAGGTCAAAGCAATAGATTCTAACGGCGACAACATGATTTCTAAAGAGGAGTTCATAAAGGACATGGATTCGACAGGTCGGATGGACATGGCAAATAACTCCAAGTTTTTCTTCTCCTTTCCGGATATTAATGGTACGTTTTTTGACAGAAAACAATCAGACCAAACCTGACTGTATCAATTAAATGAAACTGTGCTTCTCAATATCATGATTAAAATAAGATATCATTAAAATGCCATAAAGGTGTAGCATTTTGATTGCTATTATTTAGATATATGCTTAATTTCTCAAACTCTCCAAACTCATATTTATTTCGGGTTTATCTTCACTAATTAAGCTAGAAAACACAGGTTCATGAAATGATATAATAAAAAAGAAGAAGGCAGCTGACAGAAAGGGAAATAGCACTTGAGCTTCACCTGTTTGTCTTAATTTCTTATTCTACTCGACGTGAATTTTCGGAGTCATTTTTTTTCTACTGTTTAGACAGTCCTTATGTCGTGACGTTTTCAGTGTTCAAAAGTCACTTTGACCAGGACATTGATTGAACCAGATGTAGTTCAGAATTGTTGTTGTTGGTTTGGAGTTTTAATTCACAACGTCAATTAATTGTCATGTGGTGATTTTCCAGCTTTAATTGGTGGAAAAACCCTTACGTGCATTATTTAAGATATGGTTGTGTATTAAAGTAGAACCACTGGTGTTCCATAAGCTAACAGATAGGTTCCTGACATGACATTGACGGAATTCGTGTCAGCAATAGTAATATTTGCTTTAAGAAGGGTCAATTATAAATGTCAATGTATTGCACAGAAAGTACTTTGGCCAGACGGAAAATAATTTAATTAGAAGAAAGCAAATAACATAATAATTTCACGACGTCAATACAAATCCCATCCAAAGTAATCTTAGATTTCATGTCACTGACAGTCTGACACAGTTTAGGTCATATTGGGATTTTCCATCTGAACATTTTTACCCTGTGGCATACCTAAGCCATGGGCAGCCCTCATTGGAGATATGTAGGTGCAAAGCTAGCAATTCTTTCTCCTTTAATCAAATCAAGAGCTCTTTATATTTATTTAAAGAACTTTTAATGACTTTCAACTTGAAGGTTCCATGATAACCGCCGTATGAAAACATCTGCGGATGATTTCTAAATTCACAATTTTACCATTTCATGTTCAAATGTTGAATTTTGCTTGAGCCGGTGCTAGAGGACCTAGACGGTAGTTTGCACATGACAGTACCATGAACAGGTTCAATTAAACCGGGCCTGCAACATTTTCAATTTTGCCGTTCTGGGCTTTCTATTTTCTCTGTTTTATAGCCACATCAGCGTTGTTTGTGTCGTTTGGAGGCTGTAGAAAGTCGCCCCATACATTCAATCAGAGATGATAGTTCCGATCCTTAAAGATCGTTCTGCACAACATTATTGTTTTGTTTGTGTTGTTCTTAGTTTCAATTAATTGGCATCTTCTAGTTTGGTGGTTCCAATATTCCTACTTTAATGACGTTGAATCACCCTGAGGATATGTTTTCTGCTTTTAAATTTGTCTTTTGGCGTTTTATCTGTAATATGTAGGTTTCATAACTATGATCCCCTTTATCTATAATATGTAGGTTTTATAACCTTTGATCCCCTTTCAAAATTCCATTTTATTTAGTTCCAACCATTGTTTCTTGTTAAGGACACACGCCTTCTATTATTTGGGGATCATACGCCGCTTTTTATGGATGGCACAGAAGAGTCACATTAAAGGTTCCATGATAACCTGCGGGTGATTCTAAATTAGAAATTTTACCATTTCATGTTTAATTGTTAAATTTTGCTTCAGAATTCAGCTAGGGGGCGTGGACGGTACTTTGTACTTGACAGTTACGTCCATGAACAGGCTCAATCAACCGATTCTGCAACATTTTCAGTTTCGCCGTTTAGGGCTCTTTTTAGTTATTCATATTTTCTATAGTTCATATTTCTCTAGGTCAAATAAATAGTTAATGGATGATATCAGTTTTATATCTCAAGAATTAACAATGGACAGTTCTTTAAATAAAATCTAAAAATCCAATCTTCAAAAGTTTATTAATTCGTTAATTGTAAATCAAAAGTATGTGTTAATGGTAGGTTTCTTTTCAGCAATAATGGCACCTGAGCTGTGCATAACAATGCATAATGAATAATTATACATAAAAATTGTATAACGAACCAATCGTTTAAAATGAAAGCATGACAGAAAATTCAATCTTTAATAAGCACATATTTCAAGGAAACAAAATTGATCATATACTTTCTTGTAAATGCTTTTAAATGCATTTTGTTTTAACGTCATTTATTTTTTAAAACGCTTAAACTAACCTGAATGTTTTATTATCTTTAAAAGTCAAGGACATCCACTTAGATACCTTTAAATGAAACTGTTTATTTTCACATACATACTAAAATTATTATAAGCTGTAAGCAGACACACAAACAGGCAGACAAATAACAAACCATGTTTCGGTAAATGGAGTTATGTCGAACCATGAAAGGGAATATTTTATACTTTGTTTTTAGTGACATCTGTAGTATCATGGCAAATATATTCAATTTTGCAAACTCAAGTTTCGAATTCTGTAGTGTAAACGATTTCTAAAACAAGTTCAGAAAACATAAATCATACTCATGAGAAATTTTATACAACTGCAACATGTACAATGCGTTAAATTTCCCTGGTTGACGTTTTGTTACTGGCCGTTCAAAATGATCATTAGAATATGTTTTGTTCAAGATGTATTCCGGTAGATCACGCCGACATTTAACTAAATGAGCAGCTGGACACGCAGCTGAGAAATGCCTTTACGTTACCGATCACGTAAAATGAGGTAAAATACAGATGTAAGAATAATAAACATATGCAGTCAAAACCAACATTTTACAATCAACGATTAATCTCATTTGACCCATGACATGTCATTTTCAAATGAATAAAGTAAATATTGAATACATGTGGTAGCTTTATGTTTAAAGATGGAACATGCGGAGAAGAAATAAAACTTTCAGCATAAGGTAGAGAATAATTAATATCGACCTTCGTTGCAAATGCTACAAATAATATCAATTTAGTAAATCAGGTAACAGTAACTGTTGTTTCCATCCGCTAGCCTCATTTATTAAACTTCTCCGTAACATTTGATTTCGGACACTGCGTCTAATGTTCATTTGTCACCGCTGATTCAGAAAGTATGTGGCATTATAAGTCGTAATACTGCAGAGAGAATGGTAATTGCTGACTAGTTATCCAGGAAAATATGTAACATAAGGTGGACCGACTGCCAAGATATTATTAAAATGTCTTAAAATTGGCAAAAACAAAACGATATATAACGATATAATTTTTTTTATCTAGAACCGTCATATCGCATGCGTCGCAAGCTTTACTCTATATTTTAGATTCAGCCATGTCGGGATTTGACCATTGGTCACTATATACATATTACGAAACCAGTCCGCGTTGCTCTCCACGTAAGGCGTATCGCAATGTTCCCCAGTCACGGTATCTTTTTGGCATAAAGCTCATAAATTGTATGCATGAAGATATTCAAAATGTTTATACAACAAGAATAAATTGCCTTAACAAATTTTGAAACTCAGTGCCGTTGAGTTTACAGCCAAAATCAATGTTACACAAAGACTTTTCTAGTGTAATATTCATTATATATGATGTAAATTGGTAAAAACAGTTTCCCTGAAGTTCTGTCATAAGGGAATAATAATCCAACAAGCACACATGTACAATTCCAGTTGTAAAAGTGAGTGCTGTT